CATTTATGCTTGACACCCATAAACATATGTACAAGGACATGGTAGTTTCAGTTCATTTCACCACACTCAAGGAAAGTGCCAAGCTCTTTAGCCAACAGTTCAAGACTAATCACCATATCACGTGGTAGTTCTTCTGCCTAAGCGTCTCGGTCTGATTGCATTTCCACGAAGAAATGATCATTAATTTTCTTCCTTGAGCTGTGTCACCCCGCTGCAGTTCATAATGGACTGGCCTGAGGTCTCCGTACAAATAAGTGGCTGCTGGAAGAGAGTAGGTGAGTTGTGTTTAGTGTCTTTGCTAAAGAAATTAGGCAAAGCTAAAAAGATGTTTGGTGGCTAGTGCTATTGCTGAGCCCCTACATGTACTGTTGATGAAGTTAGGTGCTGTTCTGGGCATTGTTTTTGGCTATAGAGTGGCGTTTTGGTTGAGGTTTGTTTATGGCTCCTCAGACAGTTGTGTATTGCTATTGTGGTCGTTACTGAAGTTGGTAGAACTAGAGAAGCAATCGGTCGACAACATTTATCTCTTGAGGGGATGTCTAACTCAGTGTGTTTGACCCTAAATTAATTTTACGCTGGAATATCCCTTTAAGAGCTGAGCGTGGAGCTGGGGTTGAGAAAGGACCTGTAGAATTGGACAGGTTGCTGCACTTAGTTGCAGATATCTGGGTTAAAGACTTTAACCTGAACTAAATCACTGTTAAATGACCACTGAACAGTTCAGTGAGGATGCCACATCCACTATGCCTCTTTAATCTCCACATTAACTTCTTATGTATACTGCCAATGTTCACTAAATGTAAGCGAAGAATCCCACTTTTACTACATAAAACCAGAGTACTCCAGGTAACAAAATCCTGACCAGCATCTTATGGATTATATTCTTTAGGAGCTCTCACACCAGGTGAAGACAGTTACTTATCTTATGTTGGAAAGTCTGGACCAAAAGACTCTGGTCCCAGGAGTTATTGTTGAATTTTTTTTCTCTGATGTTGATTTAATTTGTGGCTAAGAGCCAAGAAGCTTCCCCAATGCAAACACTACACATCCACAAGGTCTATAAAGCACTCGGACCTGACCCCCAGCAGCCAGGACTGCAAACACTCGGTGAGATCAAAGCAGTGGAACCAGCCCTGGGCATCACCTGACCTGAATTCAATTAAAGCTTTACAGGCAGATCAGAGAAGAGGCTAAGAGGGGGAGGGAAAAAAAAGCTGTTTCAGACACTGAACATTGTCTAGGACAAAAACCGGACCGAGAGACAAAAGTGAGACTAAAAGAGAGGAGAGAGAGAGAGAGATGAAACATTTCACACTTCGCCTCCTGACACACAAGCTCAATCTTGTCCCTCCCTGAGTACACACACACACACACACACACACACACACACACACACACACACCAAACCCATAGGTCTTGTTCGTTTACTCAGCCTGTGGGCAAATGTGACTTTAATGAGCCGGTGCTGAATGGACATTAGGCAGAGATTCTCACGCTGGAGCTGGACCGCCGGCTCCAGCAGTCCCCCTCATCCCTCCCCCGACTCTGCTCTGCCGTGCTGTGGCATTTTTTGGCAGCCACTTCACAGCACGATGTCAAGTTTAGTCTTTAAACAACCACACGTTTGAGGAGAAGGAGAAGGACATTTGCCTCTGCAATTCTCAAGTCCCTCTACTGAAAAAAAACAAACAATGATTGGGTTTCTGGTGTTTGAATTAAATTCAGAAACATGGTTAATAAAAAAAAAAAAGAAAAGAGCTAGACAACAGGATGCACACGGTAGGGTGATAGGGCGAGAGACAGTAGGAGAGAGACAGATCCATGATACCAAAGCAAAGCTGATGGAGTCACATCCTTAGGATAGATGTGATGTGTCCCTGGTTTAAACTTTGTTTTTAATGTGTGACTTGAACATGAATTTCAGGAGCCGAAATGATGATTTAAAAGAGCATTTAAATATTTATTTTGCCTTTTTTCCCCTATTCCTCTGAGCTGTCTAAGGAATAAAATATGCACAAGATCTACAAGTCACGTTTTCATTAATTCTCTAACCTAAGGGGTTTTGTCTAATAAATAATTAGATAAGCGTGAAGCTAAAGAAGAAACATATGGCCCAATAATCAAATACACTACTTTCTTTATCACGCTGTTGAGTCCTTTCACTCCGCCCCCCTCAGAAGCTCTGCCACTTTTTTTTCCAAACGGGAGACAAGAATATCAAGACAGCTCTTCCTTTTTTTTCTCTACTTAGTGAGCTCCAATTTGGGTTGCGATATTTCCGATATCACCTGAAGGCAGCAACACCATGCAACTCCACCTGAACCTTTGTAGAGGAGGGGAGCGAGGCAATCCGTAGCCTACAGCTTCACTGTCTGAAGCCACCAAGTGGGATGTCTGTGAGTGGAGCGGAACAGAAGGCTCAGAGCACCGAAAGGGACTGAGTGAGGAATAAAAAAACTGACGGATCTTCACCAACAGAAGCCTCCCTCATCTGAGAGATGCATCCGGAAAATGTTTACTCAAAACGTCTAGAATTCATGTGAAGTTTCGCGGCAGCCGGCGATCATCCAGCTGGTCTGGTGAGTAGATCTGAGTCAAATTTGAGCGCATTGGGCTCATGCTTTCGCCTCTAAATGAGACTCTTAAAACTTTGTGCTCAACTCGGGGTTTCTTAAAGAAGGCGTAAAAGTGTTTCCAAATAACTTGTGCCAGACATCCATGCGCACAAATACGCACGCTTAACGCGCATTCAGTTGCGGTACAAGTTGACAAGTTGTGAAGCTGCATGCAGCACAGGGTTTTCTGCAGGCGCTCCAGCTGTATGACTGCAGTCCGGGAAAGAGCAGTGAGACAGCGCCATCAATCGCATAGCAACCTCACTCCTGCAGCTCCCGTGGAAGAAGCGGAGTGCAGCTTTGGTCTCAGAGGCAGTCTGCGTGTCTGTGAGGAGAGGGGGGTTGATGGGATCAGCGACTGCACGGCGTGTACCTCAGTCACTCTGCCCTTAATGCCAAAATACAAGCCCCCGGACGCTCAGCTGGGCACTATATTTCCAGCCTAAACCAGGATTTTAAAAACAATACCATTAGTGAGAGTAATGAGAGGAGGATAATCTCCAGAATTGATGTGAAAACTCATGAAATGCAACAGCACGCGCGAGGAACTTTGCATTTGCAAGTATTATAAGCCTATTTATCATCATCAGGGATGCCCCAGAATGTGAGCTCTTTTTTTGGAAAATAGAGTTTCTTTTCCTCTTTATCATGACAACAAAATTATGATGTGAAACCACGGGTCATTTTTCAACACACCGAACATAAATCCTCGTCTAATTGCAGCTGTTTCTGTAGTATTTGTTTCCTTTACCACCAGCTTGAGGTCACAATTAACACACCTCTTGCACAAATAAACGTACATCAGGTGGGTTGGGCTGCATTTTAAGATCTGGATATTGGATTAAGGTGAGCCCCATATGGGATGCGCTGTGTTTTGCTCTGTACAGGGACTATCTCACGTGCTGGGACCTAATCACAATGGAGCAGGAGGGAGTTGGGAATTAATGCAATCTTATGATAAGCAAAAGCGGAGAGGGACACATTAGATAAAACTCTGGGTTATAGGGATTAAAAATAGTCATATGCCTAAATGATGCACAGCCTCACATTTAAAAGCTCCTCTGGGGAACTTTGGTTTGATGTTGATTTTGGCACCTCCAGTAGACAAATAGGTCTTTTCCTTGCGCAGGTGAAATGGAAAATTTTCACAAAAATTCTTACCCTGCTGGCCAACAGCTGTCAATTTACTATAGAAAATTTGAAGTATATATAGTTTTTGCTGTGTGCCGGTTAACACTTGAACTGACACCTACCCAGCCGCAGCAGTTTTATACACGGAACATGATTATTCAGGAGTAATGCATGCTGTTGACGATGATCTTGTTTGATTTTGTCGATCATAAAGAAGCATTGGCGTCGATTTTGTTCTGGGTGACAACATAGACTGTATATACTATGGACAACTTGGTTCCGCCTTCCACCAGTATACGGATTTGAAGCTGAAAAGCTCTCAGTAATTCTGCGTTTTCATTCCGTTTCCTGAAACCAACATTGCGCAGTAGCGTAGTACGCACTCCACCACTTGCGCAGTAGCTTTGTGCGCATTCGGCGGGAGAGTCGCTGTGATGACGCTCGGCTCACACAGCGTATCCCCCGGGTGAGTTACGCAATCTTCGTACGCCCATAGGCTGTATCAAGTGTCAATCATAGAAAACATGAACCCCCTAATAACTTTTAAAAATGGAGCTGTACAGAAAAAAAGGACTTGAGCACAAACCGGTTTTATAATAACTGCATGTCAACATCGCAAGCAGGGGGGAGAAAAATTTATGTTCTGTGTAATAAATTTCTAAAGTTTGTCCACAGCCCCATAAGCTTTGCTGGCGAAGGCGGGATTTATGACCTATACTGCAGCCTGTCACCAGAGGGTGCTGTTCTCGGAGTGGCTGGCAGACGCTGTCTGCCTAGTTGATGAAATAAAAAAAAAGATTTAAAAAATGATTAAAAAAGAGAGCAAACATGATGGGAAAAATAAAGTACATTGCAATAATAAAATAAATAAATAAAATACTCGGGGGGGAAAAAAAATCTAGTGCACTGTTGGGAATTTAATAGTTCTGGTAAGATTATCCCTTATTAAAGAGCAGGTCACTTTTAGTTGAAGGTAAATTGCTGCTTTAAGATCCTTGCGTATTGGTTTATTGTGAACTTTAAAGGAATATTTCCCATAAATATTTATGTATATATATATATAGAGAAAGAAAATCTCAGTCAGGCACCACCTGGGTCGGGGGTTTGATCCTGCTGCCAGCCGGTAAGTAGATCCGGACGTGCGCAGCGCGGAGAGATACCAGCAGTAGCTCCAGTGTGGGAGTGAGAAAGAGAAGCGGTGAAGGGAGAGAGAGAGAAAAAAGAGAGAGAGGGGGAGAGAGAGAGAGGCTGCTCGCTTTGCCTGCCTGGTGGTGGTAGTTGGAGTAACGGAGAGGAGACGGGTCCACGTATTACCATGCCGAGATTTGGACTATACAAACTACATGCAAAACATCCAAATATGCGAGATTAATCTAAACCGAGGTAGGTGAATGTTTGTATGAGTGCACGGTGGACATGTTTGGTCTTTAATAGCTCTGCTTCAGTGTGTGAGAAACGTTTAAAAAAGTTGAGGTAGGTTAGCTCTCGCTATTGTGGACGCTTGAAGAAACCAGGCGCCGCTGCTTTCTCTGCTTCTTCTCCGGGGAAGTTTAACCTCTGTAAAAGTATCCGTCCAGAGCCGCTTTGGCAGCACCACTGGCTTTATTTTGTCAAACTCGTTCGCTCGGGAGCTTGTGCGTTGTCGGCTAAGTGTTTGTGAAAAGTATGAGTGTTTTTTCAAGCATTTTTCTCCTTAGCGCAAAGGCTGCCCTCGGCTCATAAAGTGAACGGTTTAAGTTGGGGGATGGGGTTAGAAATGAAGCAGTCTGGAGGCACTAAACTTACTTTCTTCAAACAATTCCTGCTTTTTCAAAATAAATCAAGTGTATTTGCAGCTTTAGAGGAAGCGAATGAAGTAAACGACACGTCTTTTTCAATGACTTTACGTTAAAAAAAGTAGAAGGAGTTCAGATTTTCCTTGGGATTTTTTTTCTTTTACAATGGTTTCCCACAAGCAGATGGTTCTTTTGTACCTGCAGGCTGGTACGGGATACTCTGAGATTTGAGGTGACTCAAGCACGCCTGTGTTACTTATTAACCCTACATGGTGCATTAATAACTAAACCGAGGCAGGGTCATTTTACTACCAGTAAAAGTAAATAATGTAGGTTTTATATTCAACACTCCTGAGCAGACATAGCAACGTCCTGCTCTTATTTGTCTTTGTAGGGACTCCAGAGGTTATAAAGCGGCTGTAAACTACTGAGTGTGCAATTTTAAAGCAGTTTTCCTCTAATCTCCTCCTGCGGTTATAACATTGATCGTGTTTCAATGAGTTTGAAAGGTTTTCTGTAAATGTGTCACACATTGCTGGTGGTATTGTTGTAGTATACCGTTGTTGCAAGTTGTATAAAATAGACTCTGAAATCCTTGGTGGTTTACCAGAATTCACTGCATGTCCACTAAATATGCAATTGAAGTTTTTTTTCTGAACTCATCCGCCTGTGTTTAAATTAGACTCATCTGTTCTTGAGTGCTCATAGCTGGCATCTGGCATTGTGCATAGAGCGCTGAGCAGAGGCACAGACTTAGATCTCCTCACCTGACTGCCTGCTCTGCTTTATCTTATTTCCACATGGAACATATTTGGCTGTTCACCAGCGGAGCCATCACTTGTCATGACATTAAAGGGAGTCTGGGAAAGTGCACTGCAGAGAGAGGAATATGGTTAAAGCATTAGGAGTATCTTTCCACGGGGGAAGATAGTGGAAAATAGTGATTTCATGTGGTTATTTGCTATTTCTATCTCTCTTAGTTTGAATTCCAGTTTGCTTTATATACATGCTTGATACTAACAGGTTTTTTTTTGTGTGTGTTTGTGTTTCTAGGTGGTTCTGTGTCAAACACGGTACGATAATGGGGAAGCACTTGGTTTCACTGCTCGCGCTGCTTCTGCAGCTCCTCAGTGGCTGTGCAGGGAACCAAAGGACGGTGGGGGCCGCCTCCATGCAGTTCACCCACTCTGTTTACAACGCCACCATATATGAGAACTCTGCTGCTAAGACTTACTTAGAGAGTCACACAAAGATGGGGATCTACATCACGGACCCAACCTGGGAGATACGGTACAAAATCATCTCTGGAGACAACGAAAACTTGTTCAAAGCAGAGGACTACCTGCTGGGAGATTTCAGTTTTTTGCGAATAAGGACCAAAGGAGGCAGCACTGCTATACTGAATCGGGAGGTTAAAGACCACTACATGCTGACTGTTAAGGCGTCAGAGAGGAGCACTAACTTTGAGTGTCGCACTAGAGTAAAGGTGCAGGTACTGGACACCAATGATTTACGGCCTCTCTTTTCACCAACGTCCTACAGCATTTCTCTGCCCGAGAACACGGCCATACGTTCCAGTGTGGCCAAGGTCACAGCAACAGATGCAGATATCGGTACAAACGGAGAGTACTACTACAGTTTCAGGGAGTGGACGGACATGTTTGCGGTCCATCCCACAAGTGGCGTTGTGACGCTGACGGGAAAACTTGACTACTCTGAGACAAAGCTGTACGAGTTGGAGATCCTCGCGGTGGACAGAGGGATGAAGCTGTACGGTAGCAGCGGTTTCAGCAGCATGGCCAAACTCACTGTGAGGGTGGAGCAGGCAAACGAACATGCACCTGTAATCACTGCGGTTACCCTAGCACCCTCTGATGCAGACCATGACCCTACCTATGCTATTGTGACAGTGGAGGATAGTGACCAGGGACCAAATGGAGAGATAGCATCATTGAGTATTGTAGCTGGTGACCCTCTTCAGCAGTTCAAAGCTGTGAGAACCAGCCCTGGGAGCAAAGAGTATAAAATCAAAGCAGTCAAAGAGGTGGACTGGGACAGCCAGCCTTTTGGATACAACCTCACTTTGCAGGCGAAAGACAAAGGGAGCCCCCCTCAATTTTCATCTGCTAAATTGGTACATGTCACTTCAGCACAGTTCAAAGTGGGCCCTCCAGTGTTTGAAAGGGCCGTTTACAGAGTCAATCTGAGTGAATTCGCCCCTCTTCACACACCTGTCACTATGGTAACAGCCATGCCAAAGCACCCACAGTTAAAATACGCTTTTAGACACAAATCTGACAAAAACAGATTTGCTATCAATCCAGATACAGGCTTAATCAGCACAGCGGGACCAATCAATGCTGACATTGCCCCGCGATTCGAGCTCGATGTGATTACAAGTGACAAAAAAGCGGCCACAAAAGTAATCGTTGATGTGATTGATGTGAATAACAATGGACCCGAGTTTGAGCAGACGTCCTACAAGGCCACTGTTGATGAGGATGTACCCATTGGGACCAGCGTGGTTACAGTCAAAGCCACAGATCTAGACAAAGGCGAGAATGGCTATGTGACCTACAGCATTACCAATCTGAGCCCTCAGCCATTTGTTATTGATTATTTCTCTGGTGTCATCAGTACCTCAGAGGTCCTGGATTATGAGCTCATGCCAAGGATTTACAATCTCAAAGTCAGGGCATCAGATTGGGGATCCCCTTTCCGGAGAGAGGTGGAGGCATCAGTCACCATAACATTAAATAACCTCAATGACAATAAGCCTCTGTTTGAAAATGTGGACTGTGAAGTGACTGTGCCGAGAGACCATGGTGTTGGAGAGCAGATAACAACAGTATCTGCCATTGATGCTGATGAACTGCAGCTGGTACGATACTACATAAAAGCTGGAAATGACCTCGATCTGTTTGAACTGAACCCAAACTCTGGCATGCTCTCTCTGAAGCACCCGCTGAGCGAGGGGGAGGCAGCTAAAGTGTCCCTTCATAGTTTACAGATCATTGCGTCTGACGGCGAACATGAGACTCACCCTATGATCATGAACATAACTGTCATCACGGCACGCAAACCTGTACAGCTGAAATGTGTTGAAACGGGTGTCGCTACCATGTTGGCGGAAAAGCTACTCCAGGGCAGCAAAATCCACACGCAGACTGAGCCGGATGACAACTTAATGGACATTCACTCAGTCAACCGGTACTCTCCCCAGTTTGCTGAATCTTTCCCCAGTGTCGTTGAAGTCAAAGAGGACCTCCCTGTTGGGGCCCGGATTGTCCATTTGAGCGCCACAGATTCAGATAGCGGCTTCAATGGGAAACTAGTGTACGTTATTTCTGGAGGAGACACAGATAGTAGCTTTATAGTAGATATGGAAACTGGCTGGCTTTTGGTTTATTCCCCATTAGATAGGGAAACAACTGACTATTACACCCTAAACATCACAGTTTATGATCTAGGCATACCCCAGAAGTCCTCATCTCGCCTCTTGGGTGTCAAGATCATAGATGCAAATGATAACAGCCCTCAGTTTCTGCAAGATTCATACTCAGTTGAGATAAGTGAGAACACACCTGTTGGAACAGATATTATCCAGGTGGATTCGACAGACAAGGACCAAGGACATAACGGGGTTGTGAGGTATTCAATTCTGGGGGGGACCAATCATTTTGTGATCAATGAGGAGACTGGCGTGGTGACTGTGACAAAGCCGTTAGATCGTGAGCTCCATCCAGTTTATATCTTGAAAATAGCAGCACGTGATCAGGCCGTGAATGAGCCTCAGCTGGTGTCGACTGTGCCGCTGAAAATCACCTTGGAAGACGTGAATGATAACCCACCGAAGTTTGTTCCTCCTAATTATCGTGTGAAGGTTCGTGAAGACCTTCCCATCGGTACTGTGATCATGTGGCTGGAAGCTCATGATCCTGACGTTGGACCTTCCAGTCAGGTACGATACAGTCTTATTGATAACGGAGATGGAAATTTTGAAGTGGACAAACTGAGTGGCGCTTTGCGGATTGTGCAGAACCTAGATTATGAGACCAAGCAGGTGTACAATCTAACAGCTAAAGCTAAAGACAAAGGGAAGCCCATGTCCTTGTCTTCAACCTGTTTCATCGAGGTGGATGTCGTGGACGTAAATGAGAACCTGTACAGGCCTTTGTTCCGATCGTTTGTGGAAAAGGGATTTATAAAAGAGGACGCACTCATCGGGACTTCTGTGATGACTGTGACAGCAGAAGACGAGGACACGGGACGAGATGGAGAGATTCGATACTCCATACGGGATGGATCTGGCCTGGGGATATTTACCATCGATGAGGAAACTGGTGAGTTTCTTTTTTTCAGTTTGTGTGAAGGCTGTGATAAATCCTGAAATGGGCAGCTTGAATGAATTTGCATTGGGAAAGTTTCATGCAGTTGGAGTTCATTCAGCCATGACGCTTTGTGGATCAGTGGGGTAAAGGGAGTCTTCCTGCAGACAGTTAAGGTTCCTGATTCCAGTCATTTTTCTTCTTTGGAGGAATTGACTGCAGGAACAGATGGACCAGCTGTCTCTCAGACCTGTGTGGACATTCCTGAGTGGTTGCTGTGGTTCTAGAAAAGACTGAGTGATTCCACCTCCTTTTCCGCAGCTCTGCTCTCAAGAGTGCGAGGACGTTTTAAAATAGTTCTGGTTGTAAAATTAAGAATATCTGTTAGACCTAAGGTTAAAATATTCTAATAGCATTCTTACACTGGCATATTTTCAGTGCTCCAGGCAGGATTTACTTGCGGGTTTCTTATTATTTTGCAGAAAAAATGTTAATACGCACCCAGCTGCCCAGAAAGATTTTAACAGCTGACTCAAATTAGCTCAAAATAAGCAGTCTGGAATTCCAGGAGTTCCTGCCCAAAACCTTGCAATCACCTGATTTGGATGTTTTGGACTTGGCTAGCTGCCCCCCTTTTCTGATGGCGGTAACCACATTCCACATGTGACTTTTTCTTAATTGAAGCTCAATTTCTCACTGAATTATACACAGTTGAAGTCTGAGCCAGTGAAACTTCATGCACTATACATTGAATTCTCTTGGCAAATGTAACCTCAAAGGTTCAATGCAGCATGAAAGCGGGGGATTAAATTTTTCAGTCTGCTGCTGACTTTACTGCTGCAAAAGTGACTTATAGCTCCGGTTTAATGTTTATTACAAATCAGGTGTATGTGAATTATTCAGGAAGCTGACAGGAAGTCTCTTCAGTGACTCTGTTGGGAAATACTTTCTTCTGCCGGGTAAATTTAGCATGAGGAGATAAAGCTTTATGAAGGATTCGTCCTCCAGGGCTTTGTGTCAGCTGTGGTGTGTTTGTGATTGTTTCTGTGGTCGTGGTTGGGTGTCTGATTTGTAATAAGATCTGTTTTATGAACAGAGATGCAGAGGGATTTAAAGTAAGACTGCCTTTTCCTTCATGTCAGTATTGCAAGTTGCATGCGGTGTTATTTTTGTTTATTTGATAAGCAAAGTGACTGTGATTCTGGTTGAGTTCAGCATGGAGTCAGTACAGTGATGAAGAGAAGTGCATCAAGGGGAGCCAGGTATGAAAAGAAAACCTCGACAGTAGAACAATAAGAGAGCAAGGCAAGATGAAGCTGCCATGTTGTATGAAAAGGTCAGGGTTGCAAAGTGACCCACTTTTCACCTCCTTCTGACTTGGTTGTTGATTGTTTTGGTCTGTGATGCAACAGGTAAAATGAGCTGAAAGGAGGCATGTCTCTCCGTGCTTAACCTACTGAATGATGTAGATGAAATGTGGACTAAAGTACTAAAGTAACAGTCTTGATTGAACCACATGCAGACCAGTATTTAATTCACGCCTAACCCCACATCCTGAGTCAGGTAAGATTCCATGGAGCCAGGCCTGATCTGCTACTTAATCCCAGAGGGCCTATATTAAGTTATTGACGGAAGGTGCAATAATGGGATTGTCCCGGGTGGGGTCTTGTTATTATGGATTACATCTGAGGTCAGTAGACAACTAAATACAGCCAAGGTGGTAGTGCCCCTCCTATGATTTAACGACATGCAGGGCGTGGTTTTGAAGGCTGTCCTATGCATTTAAAATATTTGCAGCTTAGAGGGAGACATAAGCATAGCCCGCTATATATTTCATCCTGCAGCTGCATGTTGTGAATCTAAACCATTGAGTTTTGAACGGTTTATAATTAGAAAACAAATGAAAAAGTGTTTTGGAGGAAAATGCCCGGAGCCAAACACCTAAAGTTATAGAATAAGTTTGTAAGGGTGGAAATGAGTCAAGGAAGATGGTCTTTTCTGGTTGATTCTTGTAATTTGAAATGGACTTGTGTGAAAGTAATTTAGCCTTTTCCGTGGTTTCATCTATTTTGTAGTGCATTGTTTGTTCATTCACCACATTATAAATCACTGCCCTTTCAGTTAGTCTTCATATGGTGGGATCCAAAACACCAATCTGGTGACAACAATCCTACTTAGTGGGTAACTTTTGTGTGGACAGCACAGCGCTCTGTGGTACTCTCTGCATAAAGACAGTGACTGATTCTCATGAAGTAGGTGTTAAACATTTCTGAACAAAGGTTGTATTTTAGATCGTGCTCTGCTGGCTTCCCACTTAACCAATGTTCCCAAACCACAGAAAGAACAATGAACTTATTTGTTTATGAAACGTAGTAATTACATTTAAATGTGGCGTGTGTGAACGCGGTTGGTTTATTGCTATCCTGCTCTCATTTACATCAATCTCAAGTAGAACCCTTCAATGCAAGCCACGTCCCGCTCCAGTTATGGTTACTTTCCTGTCAAGCTGCTCAGGGAGTCCATGGCAACTGTTGGCCCAGACATTCTCAGTGTTATTAAAAGCTCTGCGGTCACTGGCTTGGTGCCATCTTAATTTAAACATACTCTTATCGAGACTCTTTTCTGGGCCCCTTCATATTTTAGGGACCAAATTTAGCATTCTCTGTTTTAACTGGGGGGGTTGTAGCTATGTTAGAGACACAGAAGACCAGTAGGGATCCTTAAAATACTTGAAACTATAACTGAACTTTGAAAAGCAAAACACATTCTGGGTGCTTTTTATACATATTGGAGCAGAAATAAATGAAAATGTGGTCAGAAATTCAGCTTAAATAGGGGAAGATGAGCCTTTGACTGTTGGTTAGAAATCCAACATCCACTCCTGCCCCAGTTCAGTCAGCTGGCTCCTGAGAAGTAGATTTAAATCGTATAATTTGGGAGAGATTTTGGTCTCCTGTGATCCGTGCACATTCTCCACCCCTCTGTACAGGGAAGGATGCACACACTTTACTTTTGATGGCTTGTATGTCTTTAGTGCCCGGCTACAGCTTAAAATGCTGCTGCCCTGGAGGTCAACCGATATGGGTTCTCAAGGGCTCATGCCAATTTTAAAAAGGCAAGTATGGCAAATTGACTACGTGATACTTTTTTTTTTTTTACCCAGTTCCCATCAAGAAAGGCCTTGCAGCTGGTGCTCTAAAACCACGGAAAGCAATTTTTTAAAGATGTTAGCACTCACTGGCTGGAATCACACCCTCAGCTGTTAGCGTGGCTGTAGAGTAATCCAAAGGAGCGCTGCTTACATTATATAGGTCAGCAGTTTGGATTGTTTTGAGGATTATAGTTCCTTACACAGAGCCCACTTAGGGAAGTATGTGCCTGTGAAATATCTGCTAATTTCTCAAAACATTCGTTGGAAGTTAGCAGATGAACCCATTTAGGGTCACAGAAACAGCTGAATAATAAAAGACGCTCTTATCATGCTGAAGCCAAGCAAGCCTGAACTCCATAAAACTCACCTGACTCACACTGACACACCTTGGATGAGGCACGCTCAGACGATAAAATAAGGTTAGGGCATTGTTTTATTGCCAATGAGTAATCATCTTCTCATTTCCTGTCGCCTGCAATGACTGAAAAGGGCTGAGCTCTAATCGATCAAAAGTTAAGACGATGGCAGTAATCTGATAAAGTCAAGGGAAGGGCATGGTAGAGACCTTCATAAGAGACCTTTGGACACTCTATAACATTAATCATGGTTAGACTCTATAAAGCTGTAGGATAGAGTTGGTTGGGGACAAATCTTGGTAGCTTGAATTGAGGAGTTTGAGACTGTTAAATGCTCAAAGTGGTTTAGGAAAATAGATGCGTACCCGTCCAAAATCTGTAGTTAGAGCCATTTGAAGCCAAAGTCTGCAGTCTACAAAGTTTGAGTGAAAGTGGAGGATTATGGGCTGTGAGTGGTCAAATGAAAGAAGTACACTGTTGTGTTATACTCAACTGTCGTGATCTGTAACTACTGTAAAATTCAGCGTATAAGACGCACTTTTGCTTGCCTTTAAGGTCAGTATTATTTTTCCAAAAACAGACCTCTCACAGGATTTCATGGTACACGTCCTTTCTGTTGGTAGTGAATTTCATTACCTATATAAATTTTCAGCAGGTATGCAGATATCTAGATGGGTTAATCTGACCTAGATCTGTTGAGACTGACATACTCTGGTTTACTTGTTATGGTGAATTATCTAAACCTTAGAGAAGAGTCAGAGCTGCTCAAAGGACAAACAATGTCCATGTGTTCACCTTTGAGAACCTCAGGGCAAGTTAAGGTTTGAAAATAGATACAGCTGACACAGAAAATTGCATTCAAAACAGCTTGTTTTTACAGAAGAAAGAGAATTTTTTTTTTTCCCGTTAGGAAGGTGAGCAGACAAGAGCGTGTTCAGTCAAGATTAGACACAGATGCTGATTGTATAATGTATGCAATGCCCTTTCTTGTTGGATAATATATGCATTGCCCTTTCACTTGAAGCTGTTTGCAGCCTGTGCTGTAAATGCATCCTTTGTGCAAAGCAAAGGAAACCGTCTGATGCGTGATGACAAAGTCCTTTTAGTGTTGCTTTCCATTTCCACAAAAAAAAAAAAAAAAAAAAATTGCCCGTCACTTTACTTCTTTTTCCACCGCTCTCTTATTAAAGCGAACACATTCTCGACAATAATGAGAGAACGTTTGCTCTTTTTATGTGGTGGGTCTGTCAGTATCGAGTTAAGTTTGCTGACAGTTAGAGCAGTTGCCTTTTCTCCCTAATTTTCCATTCTGTGCCTATATGTTTGAGATAAAAGTGGGACTGCTAAGTGGCACATGATTCCAAATAGTCTTTGCTTGAGTGCTGTTACTGTGGAGACGGGACCAGGAATGTGCAGCGGGACCAAGTTGATTGTAGGTTGCTAAATGAAAAACACACTTCCCCTAGTTAAAAGTATGTTGTTCTCTCAGTCCATTAAGTCTTTTTAAAGAAACTTTTAAGACGGTCTTGTGCGAAGGATGTGCTTCATTGTATGTCAACTGTTGTCATGCTGACACTCTCATGAATAAAATGTATAGTTTTAATTTCTCTTGATGTATTAGGATCGTGTTGAAAAGTAGTGCCTCTCACAGTGGCTCCAGAGAGAGATTCAGAAGTTTATTATTATGTTTTTGTGTGTAGATGAACTTATTCAATTAGGCAGAACTTAAATGCCAAAAATACTATACACTCACATACTTCAAGTGTTTATCATTATCTGTAGGGATGCAGTGGCATTTTCCCCATAGACGCATCCAAGCATCTTTACCAGGGACTCTTATCCTCGCTGAGCTAAATTATGTCGAAAACATAAGAGATACTGACAGGCTTTTATCCTTTTATTCAAATTTTAGCGACCATTTCAGGCATTTAAAGCCAATTTCATGCTGTCTGATACTTGACGAGTGACAGCCCTGGCCACAAATGCACTCAGGTGCTGGGAAGTGGGTGTGCAAAAATACATTGCCTGTCTGTCATCCAATTTATCGTATGCCATTGATGGCTTGGAGTAATTTTTTAGTCATGCAGTTCAAGTGAGATTATTCCTTCGATTTGAACTTTAAAAAAGGATATTATATCATACAAGTTTGCGTTTCTGTTCATTTTTGCGTATTGTGCAATAGAAAGTGATGGGGAATGAGAGAAGAGTCCGTGTATTGAGAAGTAGGCGATCTAAACATTTATAGGGAACCAGAATCTGAAGATTTTTGCTAAATTTCCCAAAGTCATCAGGACAATATACACCTAATTAGACCTCTAAGAAGTAGACAAGAAAGAAGGGAATTTACTTGCTTAGAAAAGTTTTATTAAAATAGCCTTTTTTTTCAGACATAGCTTATCTTAAAAATCAGATGTTGGATCCCCCTCATACTTCTGAAAATCACGATCAGCTAGTTGCATCTTGTGTCTTTGCTGTAGCACAGTTACCGACTGGGACTGTCGCTCAAGTTGATGCGACTGCTTTATTGCTACAATGTTATTTTGAATGTGGACAAATACAGGTGGCAAATGGCATTTCATTCTGATCAGAAAAATGGAGATAAAGATAAAAGTTTGAAACCAATGATGTTTTCTTTGTGATGAGTTTTGTTGGTGTCAAAATTTCTGTTCAAACCATCAGATTGGTACCGATCTGTTTTCATGTACTACACCGATAAGTTTGGCTTTACAGATTGAAAGCCACAAAACCTCTGCTCTGCAAAGGTATCTTTGGAACATCTCTCTTCACTATAAGCTCTCTTGGTAAAGTGCGCCATCAGCTGAAAGATTACATCCTCCTTAGGCCAGCTGGGGTTGCAGTACACAAAGGAAACAAAGAGAAAGCAACAGTGTAGATAGTAAGATAACTATAAAGAGCATTAGGAGTAATAGCATTGAGGATGGACCTTGTGTTCCTCCTCATTGTTATCAGAAGCACACAGAGCTCCTAAGGGTTAGGAGGTAGAGCAGCATCTCCTCGATGTGACTGCGATATTTGAATCAAGGAGTATTGCTCTGAGGCCTGCGCAAAAGGCCTTTGAAATAATGTTGTTCCGAGTAACAATGGAAGCTTTGTATCGTCCGCTAAGACACAAAAAGCTTTCTCGACTGGAATTAATAGGCAATTTAAAAAAGAAATAAGGAAAGAAACCCATTCAGTCATGCAACACAGAGATGTAACAACTGAATCAAAAGATTTTTTAAAGTCATGTCCCGATGCTCACAGTCAGTGCACAAATAAATGATTTTGATGTTTTCTTTAGACACAAGTTTCTCTCTCGCTGAAGAAATTCTGAACTCATTTTGTCTGCCGGCTGTGAGGCAGCGTTAGATCCCACTTTGAAACTCAGAAAAAAAGAAATGATAGGACTACTTTGCTGTACAGAGTATCAGTGTTCTTCATTGTTCGGCTGGTGAAATAATGGAGCCAGACTTAAGTATACTTTTCCCTTGAGCCAGCTGTTGACAGCAATTTTATGTCAGGACGAGATGTATACAGCCGGTTTAGTGGAGCATGAAGTAGAAATGGCTGACTGGATATTGAAAGAGATAGAAAGACAAGGTTTTTTGTGCGATAGTGGATCATCATCATCATCGGGATAATCTCTGTGCTTTGTCCTAATGTATTATGACCCCTGAGTGCCCTGAAAGCAAAACAGAGGAATTAATGTGAGTCAGGGAGCTATGCTATTTATTGAAAGTCTCCTCATAGCAGCAAAACAGCGTTATTTCAACTGAACATTGAAATCAGACGACCATAGATGGCATGATGTCTCATCGCATTGTAAACAACACAAAATATTTGATGCCAAAAATAGTCTTATTGTAGCTCTTTATGAAAACTTAAAACTGATGTGCTTTGTGGACAGAGTGGAGATTTACAAAAGATAAGCTGTGATGAATCAGCAGTTTTAGGGCCTGTGTCCACTGACAATTTTTTTTTCTTTTACTCTGGCAGCATTCACAATCTAGAGTTGAGAGCTCTTCTCACTGGTGTTTACTGTGGCTTGGTATGTAAGCAATCCTGCCAGGGCAAAAACAAACAAATTAATAAATAAACTTTGGTGGACACAGGCCCTTGATTTGTTGCTTGTTTAAACACCAGGTGAAGATAGCAAACACTGTCTGAAAGGAGCTTCAGGTTGCATTTGAAAAGGACTGGACATGCTAATTTAGTTATAACAGATTCACAAGTTCCTCGTGCAACAGGAAACATTATTATTTAAAACTAAACTACTACCACCAGTGCACTGACACAGTGAAGTAAAACAAGCTTGCCTTTGGACACCGATCTGTTGCAAAACAACAAAACCTATTTTTGTGTTGAACTTTACGTCTAGTTTTCCAAAGGTCCTGACATAATGATGACCAGACTCAACATCTTTGAAGAATGGATCAGATGTCAGTGAACTTTTGGGTTAATATGATATTTGGTTGCTGGGTAACAGACCAGCCATTTAAGGACGCTTTCTATTACATTAGGCCTGACAACGTGGAGGTGGAATTTGAAGCATTCTGCTGGAGCTGTGGACAGAGAGGTGGGGGGAAACGCACCGAGAAAGTTTATGTAAGCATGTGAGCTAGAGGCCTGAGAAGGCAGAGGAATGTGGGGTAGGGGTGAGCAGAATTAACGAAGGTAGTTCAAAGCAAGCCCCAACTTTTTCTACCGCAGAATGAACAAGGAAGTGGGAAAGGCTGTGCAGTATCACAGCAGTCTGAGTGGATGGTTAATGGTCAAATCTTAGTTCTCACAGTCATGGGGGGAAAAATCAGCATGAGAGACAACCTGGGTTTTGTGCTATTAACCCTGCATTGAGAGCATGAACTATATTTAGTACTCCACTTTGTTTCACTTGCCAACTTGTGACCTGCAGTGAGCAGTTTAAAGCGGCTTTCAAAAGCAAATTTCACCCTTTTCAAACTGTGGCAAACTGAGCCTTCACTGTAAGTTGCAAAGGAATAAAGTCATTGTGAATCTGCACAGGATGTGGCTTTAAATACACAGATACATAAAATACCTGCTGGCCTTGATAATTCGTAATCCTCTGGCTGTCTGAATCCTCCAGCACTCTGCCACTGTGCTCAAGTAACTTTGAAGAACAAATCCAGAGGGAAAAGAAAGGAGCTGTTTTTCTTTCTCTTGTGGCCTAAGGGCAGGTTTTTGCTTCTGCCTCTGTGGGAAGGCTGGGTATATGGGATGGGTGTGGCTTCTAAATTCTTTAGATTCACCTTTCATGTGCTTTGTTTGTAACTTTTTAGCCACAGGCCATGGGAGATAACTTCTCATATTCTGTCTTAGGAATATGGGTTGAAGTTTATCTGTTTTTGAGCTACAAAAAACAAAAACTTTTTGGCATTGACATTCAGTTTTAAAAACTTACTGTATCCTTCCTCTCGCAGCTGTAGTTGCGTTCATGCTGCAAGCTTTCTGACTGCCAGATATGAAGTTATTCCCCGACATTCTGATTGATTAAAGGTTAAGAACTATGAGCAGAAAGCATGACCCAGCTGAAAGTGGAATTGTTCTGCTCTGCTGGTGTCAGCCAGTCAAACAGAAGAGCACTCAAGCATGGGCATCTCCCTGGCAGAGGCACAAGAGATGTCTCATACTTTCCCGTGTGTGTCGCTCCTTTTCTCTGTGTGCTTTGTCTTAGAAGCTCACGTGCATGTGCATACTTGAGGGCGATTTTCTCCACTGCGCTCCCTCCCCTCACACCAACCTCTGGAACTGTTTTCACCTGCTCATTCTTGTCTTAACTGCTCTTTATTTAATGTCCTCTTTTCCTGCTAAATCCCTCTCTGCGGGTGGCTGAAACATTTATCCCCCTAACCCTTTGTGTCTCTGTGCCAGATTGCTCACATAAGCTCTGCATTTCTTATTTATATGGAACATTTGTAGTTTTCTGCACAGATCTTCTTCCAGTAGAGATGTTTGATCTGCATTGCAGGTCGTCGGTAAGATCTCATTCGGTCATAAATACTTCTCAACACTAGTTATCTCAGCAAAAAAAAGTCATTGTTCCTTATAAAAGTTTTGTATTCTATGTACTTTCAGCTTCAAGCCATTAGTTTGATTACACAAAGTCATCTCATTTACATTCCTGATATACTCGCCAATGTTGTTTTTGCCGTGGGACTCCTGGCTTTTAGGAAACATTAGGGAGCTACCTATTTTCTCCCTGCCTGGCTACCCTTCTTATTACATGCCTCAAGCGAAGTTAAGAGAGCCATAATGATGACTAATGACAAGAGAGGATCCCAAGCTGAAAACGCAGGGACGCTAAAGCGGAGGGGGGCGGGGGAAATAAATGAGCTGTGCCACCCAAACTCCCCTCCTCGTGTTAAATTTGAGATTTTGTGGCAAGTCATTAACAGCGTTAACTCTTCTCTGACAAAATCTGTCACTGCCCCAAGCAAGTTGTTTGACTGGTCTCAGTGACACTCTTTCATAGACGCTCATCATGTTACAGTGAGTGAAGAAAGGCAGCAGAGAGTTGATAGTCTGTGTAAACCATTTGGAGCTTTGAAATGTGTGCTTATGCGAATACTTTGGGTAAAAGTCCTCCTTCTTATCTGGACCACGAGTAAGTGGGGAGCGTATAATAGAAACATACCCATTCAAGAAAATGGACAACACCCTTACTTACACAGCAGTGATAAGGGTTTGCCTATATCATCAGTCACTTTTATTATTTTCAGATAATAAAAGCAAATTCAGCTGTAAATCTTCATTGCACTTATCAAGGTTTTACAGCCATAGCAAATAACACAGGCACAGAAAATGGCTGTTATTATAAAGCTTGTCTAGGTTTCTTTTGTCTGGAAGATATGTGTGTTTATCAGACTGGGCTGCTCGCTGCTTTATAGCTTCTCCTTCAAATTATGGGACCTCAAATACGCAAGTTATCCACATAATGCTGCGTTATTTCATTATCAGCAGCTCCTTCCTCTTTTTACCCTCAGAGGACCTTTCTCTTTTCTCCTCTTTTAAACTAAGAGCGAAAACATATTAAACTGTTAGCCTTAATATTTTAAGATCATTATAGCAAACAACCAAAGTAGTGTTATCGTATTGACCCGCATTAACAGTAAGACTGTTGTTTCCTCGTGATGCGTCTTAGAGAGTAGTAATTGATTTCTAGCATTTATTAAAACAGCTGGAACTACTTATCTCAAAGGGAGAGCGCTCCTCCTGACTGAGGCCTGCTGTCACTTAACGCTACAGTGCCAGGGGATTGAAGGATGAAGAGGCATAGTGAACACAGGAGGACAATAAAGCAACAATTGAGGCAAATAGATAATGAGTTTAACAAGAAAATGTTCATCAGCGCAGCAGAGATGTTAAATCCAACATTTCAACAATAAGTCGTCTTCAGGGAGTCTTGGAAAGAGGTCTTCTTATGATCAGGGTCTTCCTATACCTGAGTCATTATGATATGAAAGACATCTCCTGTTTGATGCTTCTCTTCAGACCCACGGTAAAGTGATTCTCCTACTCGAGGCGTGTTTCAAAGTGAGTCATCTGAACAGTGTCAGATGTGTAGCAGCAAAGACAAGAAACGTGAAGACACTTTGTTTTATGTTAATGACGATGAAGGAAAATTGTCTCTAATGTTCCTGTTGTTTTATAGAGCACAACAGTTTGTACCGAGTGACGCCGCTCTCTATTTTTACAAACACTGCTGTGTATCCTCCGCAATCTGTGACATTAGCGCTAATACAGGAAAAATAAGAAACTGATCCTAAGTGTTATTGATTGTACAAAAGATCTGAGCCCACTTAGATCTGTCAATCACAGCGAGCGAGCTCCAATTAAAGGTGATTAAACGGTAAAATTGCATGTGACAGCAGTAATTACGTTATCATCTCAGGCTGGCTATATTTGAATCATTAATCTCCAAGTAAACACATGGAGAAACTCTTCATCAGAACTAGAGCATATGCACACAGCCTCCCTCTGAAACTCAAACACCTTTTAACCCTTTCAAACCCACACACTCAGTCACCTCTCTCAGATATGTGTCAGTGTCATTGTTTTAACATCAAACAGGGTTTTATTTCTTTCACTTGATGTAAACAGACAGGTTTTATGTTTTTGTTGGCATGTATTGAACCTTGGTGCATAGGCGCCTGCTTACACAAAACATCTTTCTGTTATTTAACTTGTGTTTCACAACCCATTTAGAGACTTTTTATGTCTCCGTTAGTTCCATATTTTCATAAATCCACTCTTAGATGCTTCAGCTTGCCAGGCTTACCCATCCTCCACTCCTCCATTTAATCATCACACAACTCCCAGGCCTCTGAAAGCTCTTTTGTTTGCACAGCTGAAGGTTACAGCCCCCACATGGCAGTAAAAAAAAAAACTTCCCTGCCAGTGAATGTAAACAGGAGAGCACTGACTGGTTGTTGTTAATCTATCACCTTGACATGTTTCAGTCAACGCAGCCTCAACCAACCTCTGCATCTGCCCGCTCAGGGTCCACTGGTGTTCTGGCGTCTGTTCTCTCCGTTGCCAGAAATCGATTTTTTTTTTTTCCCAGAGATCAGCAATAGAGCAGAAAGCACCGTGAGATGTGAGACTCAGGGCACGTGTTGCCTTCAAACAGAGTTCTCTTACATGTTCAAGACTAAAGAGGTTGTTTTTTTTATGTCTATCTCTCCTCTCAGGGGTTATCCGAACACAAGAACTGCTGGATCACGAGACAACCCCCCACTACTGGGTCACAGTCTACGCCATGGATCGCGGCGTGGTGCCTCTCTCCGCCTTCGTCGAGGTCTACATCGAGGTGCAGGACGTCAATGACAACGCCCCGCAGACATCGGAACCTGTCTACTACCCTTCTGTCATGGAGAACTCCCCTAAAGATGTGTCAATCATCCAGATTAACGCGGTCGATCCGGACGCCAAGGCTAGTGATAAACTTACATACAGGATCACCAGCGGCAATCCCCAGGGTTTCTTCACCATCAACTCCAAGACAGGTAAGGTCGCTGTTCCGTGATGACAAGCCGTGCTGCTGTTAATTCCATCCTTCAAGCAGGCAGGAAGCTCATTCTCAGAGTCAAGAGCTTTGATTTTATTCTTTGACAAAAAGCAACCTTGGATTTAAATGTTAGCTCCAGAGTGACATGTTTATCTTGTGAAAAGAAAAAAGTGAGATGTAGCTTTAAAAAATAGATCTTTTCACATTTTCAGTTCATTTAGTTTAATATTTGAAACTATTGCTGGGTGAGATGCTAAAATATGAAACAATGGGATACGATGTGACACAATATTGTGAAATACATTATGATAGAATAGGATGCAGTGAGAAAATCTACAATTCAGTCCAACATCCAGAGCTATGAAATGTATAATGCAAAAGAATACAGCACAGCAAGCTACTACAGATACAATATGATACCATGTGCTTAAGTACAGTAGAATTCAAACTGAAAAAGAACCAATGAGATACAATATGATACAATAAGATAAGATATAATCACACATGAATTTCATGGTTTTAAAAAAGGATGCAAAACTATACATTAAACCACGTATGACTATATATGCTATGAGACAAAATAGTAAAACTCATTAAGGTACAATACCATACAATCCAGTATGATACGGTTTAATACTACACAATTCAACGCAAGACAGTTTAATATGATACAGCATGATACAATACAATTCAAACCATACAAAACGATGCTGTACCCAATGGATGATACATGTGGACGTAATATAATACAGGGACTCTCTGAATGTCCTTTCATGATGTGTCAACAATATCAGATCAGCCAACAAATACTAAACCATGTCTCATGCATCTCATGCTAGTTTGATGCTTGTGAATCTGCATCTCTCACTTGTTAGTAAAGTGGGCTATAATAGTCATGCAGAAGTTGGTAAAGTCCACCTGTTACAGGTGAGTGCAGCTGTCGCTCCAGACTGGAGGGTATTAGCCACTTTTCTTAATGTCTCCGCATAAAGAGCTGAAGTGACTTTATCATCATTCAGAAGTGGCTTTTTACTAGGGCTATAATCAACCAAAGAAATTCCGTCGACTAAAACCCGGAAATTTGAGACCCAAAAAACACACGTTGAAACACATTTAAAAACAAAATAAATATTCAGCAAACCACCGGACGTTGATTAACGTGGACGCTCTTCAATCTTCCTGTCTCCAACCGGTCTCCAGTGGGTTGGGCGAATCCGAAATGGTGAAAACAAGAGGGGTGTTCTGAGACAGGCTGTTTACCTATGAAATGGGGGTGCTCTGAAAACATCCCCATTAGCACTTTGTATGTTCCTTGTGATTTCTCGTGAGACTGTAAATTGATGCGGCAAAAAATTAGAGTGGACCAATTAAGAATTATGGTCGACTCAGCACCTATCGACCAATAAGTAAACCAGCCCACTAGGACTTTACAGCCCTACTTTTGACTCTTTCTCGGCTGTCCAAAATGAGCCCTCCATCCTCTGTCCTATTTGTCAGTTAGCTTGTGTGTATGTGATCCTCATTAATATCATAAGCCCCATCATGAGGAGTCATGAAGTAGAGAGGAGCCTTGGTAGGAGCTATCTACAGTCAGACTGGGTGAATCCGTAACTCTAACCCACAGGTCAGGCTAACAGTAAAATGCCTTTTCCAGATTTTTCTCCCCCTACTAAACACCATAGTTGTAGTACAATCTTATATCACAGAGGTCACATATTTTTACTCTATAGCAGAGATCAAGTGGGATTTCCTGAATCACAAAAAACAAACATTTTACACAATCTGCAACATGTTTTTCTCATCTCAGATATGAGCTGCTGTTGAGGTCACGAGCATAAATCTTGCATTAAGAAGTACACTCCATATGAAATCATCCTTGGAGGTTTACGACCAGACTCTAAGATGTGCTATAGCCTCGGTGAGCTTCCTGTTCCTGTTCCTGTGAAGAGGAAGAGCAGTGTGAACACAATATTTTTTGAACCCAGGACAGGAGTGGGTTGAGCCTACAGGGTTTTTTTCCACTCCAACACTCTAAAGTGTGCTCTTGCATGGTGCTCTGGAAATGGTGTGATGATTAATATTTCATTGGGTTCTTTTAAAGTTGCAGGAGCAGGCTATGTTTAGTTGAATAGCAGAGAGAAAAAAACTTGTAATAGGTGCAAAGTGAAGCTACATGTGCAGACAGAGCTCCTCTGTGAGATGAAGAGATTTAATTCAGTTCAGCTGGATATCTTTATGTTTGAGGAACTTGCTCTTTCTGTCTGTATGAACCCACACAGAGCTATTAAGCCTCTCTCTATTATAACACAGATATGAAACAAATCAAAAGCATCAGTTGGTGTAAATTTAAGGACTTTGATTTTGGCTGAAATGGATCAAACTTTTAAAATAACAGGGCTAAAGCTGTCTCTCAAACTGCAAACTGCAGAATTTGTTTTTCTTTCTTACCTTGCTTACTGACATTTTTTTCTTCTGTGAATGCAAGTGCTCATTACTGCGAAAAGAGGAATGTTTAGAGCAGCAGTTGCTCCGGTTCGTCCTCACTCACTCACGTGTGTGGTCCTGCTTCCCAAGGTTGTTCCCCATCAACATGCTGGAGTTATTTTTGTTGGAAGTAGCAATGTGAATTTTCTGACCAAATAAGGATTCATCATGTAGCATGTCTCTCCAAACAAGTCTCAGAGTGATGCAGGGCAGGGAAACAGACAGGAAAAGAAGGGAGACAATAAGCCCCACAGAAAAGGGGGGAAACCTCGGCTATTCAGACACATAAGGTTGATGTTTTGTCCGTGAGCATGACTAGATCAGCTTAGGTATGCTGATAAGAAGTCAGAGGGGGGGCTGGGGAGGGAGAGAGGTGAGGAATTGAAAATTTATCTTGCAACAAAGCAGTCATACATAAAGCTGTTTGAGCAGAGAAAGACCTTGAGCTGTGAAGGAAGAATCTCCACAATCATTTTTCTCTTCAAAATGTACTCCGGGTGTTTCTGCCCTTTTATGAGGGAGTCGTATGCGGTCATGTTAGCACCATAGCTGGAAAGACATGTTTATGCTGAAGTCCTGAGTTTCAACTAAAAGAAACTGCCTCCTGGTATTTTTGGTGCACAAGAAAGTGTATTTAGGATTTTTTCTCAGTGAAACTGATGAAATCTTTTCAGTCTTTTTCCCCACATTCAGGCGTACACTCTGAAGTTCACTTATTCCAACCTCCAGGCCTTCATTTTACTCTGCCCGGCTTCTTTTTATTTAATAAGTGCCCACAGAAAACCTTATGTACATCACTTATTGAGCAGTTGAATAAAGTCTACTTAGCCCCTCTATCTGAAGTAATTATTTCCTACTCCTAGGATTACAGAGTTTTCATGAAGCTTATGGCCAAGTCCACTGTGGGCAGGAACCCTTTACAGGACGTATCTTCTGGTGGTTTCTGTTTTATAAGCTTCAGAAGAGCTCCTAGGAAGAAAAAAAAAAGTGTTTATGGAGGACAGTGAAGCATAAGGATAAGAACCTTTCATGCATATCAAAGCATGTTAAAACTTTAATCAGTGGGACACCAGAGCCCCTTGCGTCAGGTTCAACAAAGAGTGCTTTTAACAAAGAAAACTTCATTAAATCACTGCTGTGCTGCTTTGATTTTCCTCCTTATGTGTTTTTGAAGATTGCAGCTGAGAGTGGAAGTAGAGAGGGATGAAAAAACAAGAGGAAACACGGACTCCTAGAAGAGACTTTTATTCAGAATTGGCTAAATGTCCAGAGCGATTTCTAATTGGGTTTTATTCTCTCTATATGTGGAATTTTATGTGATTAAAATAGACCTGATATCTCTCCACATTATCAACTCAATATGGCGTTTTCACCGCTTATTACAGGTTTTTGAAAATGTTTAAATTTACAGCATGCACGTCTCTGTAATTACAGTTGCTAAAATTGCATTGGAAATGTAGGCCCTGTCTTGGCATATCTACAAAGCTCTACAAAGGGGTGGGAAAAAGGGAAAGACGTTAAGGCCTGTGTTTTGTGTGTGGCTTTTGGAACTTTGTTGGGTCCTGTTCCAAGCTAACTAGCTAGCCTGCTATCACGGGCTACAGCCTTGAGCAGCTTTTTTGAGCAGCCTGTCAACCCTAAAACACATATGAAGGTTTCGCTTTGTCGCCTTGGGTGGCATCGGGTGCGCTCTGTTTTTCCACGCAGACCCACGTTGGCTCTGTAAAGCTCAGGATGAAAGGCTTAGGACTGCTTTATTTCTGCCAAGTAAACAAGTCCTGCTGTTTTGGCTTTTCTCTGACTCGAGTTTGTCATTAAAGTGCAAGGCCAGCTCTCCCCTCTTGCAGAGACTCTATTGCAATCCCACCATCTGAGAGCTTAGAACTCAACAGTTTTTGATACAGCCCGCTATAGAAGGGATCGAAACAGAGAGAGGCAGAGCCGTGTGGGGCGCAAATTGTGCCAGTCAGCTGGATATGAATTATGTGTTCTCAATCACTATGAGATCAGTGAATTTGAATAATGCTGTTGGGGTGTGAAATTTTAAAAGATGAACCGGCGTTCAGATGTATGGTGGCACAGATCTCCTCCCACCCACAGACATGTCCACGGCTGTTCGAGGCTCCTAAGCCCTGATTTGGTAGCTGAGGAGAATTGTATTTCCTGTATAAGGACTCGCAGGCTTGTCACAACAGGATCTGAGCCGTGTGAGACAGACAGAAACATAATTGTGTGCGCTTTGTGTACAGTCAGTGTCACTTAGTTGCTCTTAGACTTGTTCTACTATCTTCACTTCTGCCCTGACTTCTATGAGGCATCAGCTTGTGCGGTGAGGCGTTATGGAGGACAGGGTGATGTTTTTCAAAACAAGCAAAATGGCAGCACTTTGCATTTTTCCACCATTTCTACATAAATTTTTCCTTCTTCACAGTTGTAAGCGTGTTCTGAAACTCAAATCAGCCTGGCAACTATATTACCAAAAATGTAATGATTGATAATGTAATACAAATTATTAAAATCTAAAATTCTAAAATTTGGGAAAAAACGTCTACAATTTGTTATTCCATGCACATTATGATTATTATCTTGTCCGCTAACATGTTTTGGATGGGTTTTTGATTACTTGTTGGAAAATTACTCTTACATCCCAGAATATGACTCACATTTACGTCAGAGTAGGGCTGGGCGATATGGGAAAAAGTTAATCATGATACATTTTTTTCATATCAGTCGATATTGATATATAACATGATATAAAAATATCACTTGTCAATCTTAAATGTTCCCTGTTGTTCTTAAATAAAATCTAACAGTGTCTATTGTTAGCATGTCTTTTGCAATACAAAAAGGTACTGCATCTGTGAGGTCTTTGAGTCATTCATTCATTCATTCATGTTCATTGGCTATTGGTGTAATCTACCAAAACATGTCAGAATGCCAACTATCGAAAAGCATATTGACCATGTATTATACCGATATCAAGGGAAATTAATTATCAATATATATCGTTATTGTTTTAGTGCCCAGCCCTACATCAGAGGGTATATGAATCTGTGTTGGCCTGTACATGAGAACTGAGTTTCACTAAACTTGCTGATGCTGATCTTTTCAAAATGCCATTACCCGGTCGGATTAATGGGTCAACCTTCATTCTGAATTTGTCAGTCTGTGAATAATGAGAGTAAGTGGTGTAGAGGCTGTGATGGAGGGCGGAGCTGAGATGCACAAAGTAAGCAAATTGGAGCACAACTTTAGCAGCTAGCTAACAAAGAAAGAAAACAACTGCTTGGATGTTTTTGTTGTTGAAGCAGAAAATGTCATAGTAGTCTTTTATGTATTTGCCGTCACCCTCTCTCCTTAGTGTTAGGTTTTAAATATGTCCTCCATTGACTTGTTGAAATAACTGTAGACTAGTTCCCATGTAATAGTATTTGGGCTGGAATTACCCATCTCCAGTCAAACATCTCTAAAAACCAGTTGTTTGCAAGCTTTTCTAGCTTTACTGCAGAATAACCAAATCTTGTTAACTACAGGGGTGCAGCATCAAATAAAAACAGAGTGTGTGCACATAAGCTCCAGACAGCCAGTCCACTAGCTGTCCATTTCACTCCTCTCCTGACAGAGTTGTCAGAGAGCTCTGTGCCAGTCCATCTGAGTTGTTTGACATGAATTGCCCACCTTTTCTGTCAAGGAGTAAGCGATGTTCTCTACCTGGCGAATCAGCCTCCCTCTCTCTTTTCTCTGAAATACTGTTCCAGTGTCACGAATCTCTGGACTTTGAGCAGAGCTTTTATGCCAGAACCTGTGTTAGGAAAGGGCAACCAAGCAGAACATGTCCAAACACACACACAAACCACACACACACAACACACACACACACAAAGTTTTCATGTTAAAGCAAAGCAGGCAGAGCTGGAGCAAAGATCACTGTGATAGCTATCTTATCTTGAAATTGCTCATTACTCTCCTTCCTGTTGTACCCATTTCACCTCTCTATGTGTGGCATTAGTACTTCCTCAGTGCCCTACTGCCGTCCATCGACTTACAGGCAGGTTTTCATTAGTAATATGAAATAGGCTTGTAATATTTGTGCCTAAAGCCTATAGAGAAGTCCACCTTATAACAATGGCACTAACCTATAATTGCCACCAGACAATGATGGAGTTCTGGCTTGTCTTAACTGGGACATGGCTGTCTATACTTGACTGTGTTCGCACTTTTATGGCAGCTTTGTCTCCGGTAGTTAAACAAAGATACACCCTGGTTAACTCATCTAATTGTACCAAACTATTTCGGCCCATCCTTTTTTGGTTTCCGTGAAGTGAGTTGCTCATTGGTATCAATCTTTGGCAAGGTTGGATACCTTCTGCAGGTTTTATGAGCATTTGTCATCTCCGGGGGGGTTGAATGAAAAGGTAAAAGGAAAAAAGGGCCACAGGGACTTGCAGCTGCGTATTATCCACTTTCTGTGGTGCACAACTCTCAGTTTTGAGGATGAAAACCCACATACTCACACTCTCCCACACAAACACACTGCTGTTATCAGTGGTTTACCAAAGCCCCAACCACTATCAGGGGAAGTGAGATAGGAAATGGATACTTCCAACAACTTCCTGATTTTTCCGGTGATTTGGGGGCCGAACAATTGTCACAGCTCTCAAAAGAGATTGTGAGAAGTAAACGTGGAAACGAAAAATAGCTGTTTTTTTTGTCCTCTCTTCAAACTTCAAAGAGGCGTCATGGTGGCTTAGTTGGGTAAGATTCATTTTCACTGCACTATCTTTGAAACAAATCCAACCTGGGACCTCTGTGGCACGATATCTTTATGTGGCATTCATGGTCTTTACACATAGTAAAGTATCCCATATCCTGCAGTTATGAGCGTCTGAAGTTTGCACGTTATCTTGATTGATTTTCTAGGAACATAGGGTGAGAATTAGATTAAAGAAGATAAAACTAGACCTTCAGTGGGAAGATTTTCTCCAACAGAGAAGGAAGAGTTGACATTTACGAACCTTCTGGCCCCATCAAACACAGCAAGAGATCAGTTGTTTATTCAGTGACTTGTGTAGCTAAAAATCTGCAAATGCCAACTTTTATTTGCAGGGGTTACAAACCATGTGACCTTAAAGCAATCAAACCCATTTTAGACATTAAGGTAGATCAGCGAGAGTCTTGAGTCTTCTAATTTAACTTTTCTCTGGCAGTGGCAAAACAGGCTGAGGTCAAGCCAGTGTATTGACAAATGTGTCACAACAGGGAAGCATCGCTGTCACTGTGACGAGGGAGGCGGAAAGGTAAACCAAAGCTTAGATGACTAAACAGACGAGACACTTGCTGACACAGGGATGTCACCGCAAACTCAAATTACAATGTGCTGTTCTCTGCTTTAGTATAAATGTTTGAGCACTGACAGTGTTCCTGCTCAAGGTTTAATGTGATCAGAGACACCTTTGCTAAAAACATCAGGTCGCCACTGTTGGTGCAATTTGAACACTGACTCAAGTGAACCAAATTAAATGTTGAAGGTGCCGAGGTGCCTGAAAAATAGCTCTGTAAAGACCCACAGTGGGTAGTTCCTTTAAATTTGAACATGGACAGCATTTTTGACATTTAGCTTCCTCAGAGCGGTGTGTTGCTTTTGGACTCCACTCATGTTAGCCGGTGTTGGACTGTTTAAAAGCCTCGCCTCTCCTGAAGTAGGCATACCAAAACTCTATTATGCCCACTCAAGAAATAAAAGCAAGCTGATGTTGAAACCAATGATGTTACCCCAGTAATGACTAGTTAAACTTGTTAGTTTAGGCGTTTATTGATATTTCTATTATTGTAGATCTAAAATGCTATACGTGCCTGAGCTCTAGTGCAGCCACCTTCTACTAGTCCAGACTGTAATGGCCCGCAACATGTTGCTATAATGGTCCACTACCTGAATGAGGTGCATTGGTTAAGACCTGTATCACTAAATGTGACTGTGGTCTTAAGCTTTGAAGTAAATGAAATTCTAGTTTGTATCATATTGTCCTAGTCAAGCCCACAACAATGCTTTCTGGTTGGTTCTGCATATAATGTAGGGCTGGGGCGATATGCTTTTCTCCCGATTCGGTTCCTCTACGATTTTTTGGATGCCGATTCGATTTAAATTGCGATTCTACGATATTGTCAATTCTCTCGATCTTTAGTCTGCATTATTAACAGTTTGAAACTGTTGAATGATTATGATTGTCTACTGACTATTCTAGGAACCATATTTCCCCCAAAAATACACACCACATGTAAGTCAGTGATTTCAGTTGTAAATCAATTTTTGAACAAAAAAAGTGATTAAAAAATTGTAAAACAAAAAATCTGTTACTTATGTGAATCGATTTCTCTCCCACCCTTAATTTAATGCTTAGGCCAACATGTAATCCATCAAGGTCCTAAGGTGTTCATTTGATAGGATATGTATCAAGACAATTCCTCAAAATCTCAACATGCCAAAAATATCTTGCAAGATCAAGCACTCACACAACTTCCTACTGTTAATGTCTTTATTAGCGAGACTTGTCTTCAGCATTGCATGTCCACAAATCATGCTGGCTTAGCTTAACACTCCAAGTGAGTACCTTGGTTCCTCAGCTGCTGCTCTGCTTTTAAATGTCCCATCCGTTCACACACTGTCCAGTAACATTCACTTTCATAAGCGCTAAGGAACCCGAATCCCCTGTACCCCCGAGTCTTCCATGACGCGGTTGTCTTTCCAGACCACAAATAAGCCTTGCAGCTGTGAGGTGCTGAGATATCTCAATCCCAGTGTAAACACTGCTTGTGCATTTAACCGCCTTTTAAAGACCCCTATGCATTAATAAATGTGTTTGCAGCAGGTTTTATGGCACTTCTTTGTTGCATTTGTCAAACTCAGAGTCTTTTTGGACAACAGAGCAGAGCTTAATTTGAGCCTCACAGCCTCTTTAACGGCATGCCAAGCATTGCTTCCCTTCAAAATAAAAGAGGACAGTTTGCAGCGGCGTTTTGTAAACTCGGTTTCAAGCCAGCGACAAAGAGCTCCTACTTTGATGTACCAATCCCTTCTTAAACTCCCTCGGTGCTTTGGATTTTAATGTCTCACAGTTTTCATTTGAGAGCGTAGATGGCACCACGAGCTGTGAAAACAGATCCTTCTCAGAGTGTTGTTTTAGGCTCGAGTGGAAGACACTTAACTCGTAATGAAGCTCCGAATATTGATATAGTTGTCTGGAGTTGAACATTGGGTTCAGGATAAGTAATTTGTTGCAGTGTTCATTACTTTCCTCGCACAGGAGAGAAAGTGCAAGGGCTTAAATAATGAGTTTTCATAGCTTAGTGTCAGCTCATCAACAACGATGCTAAATATCTCAAGGACTTAAAAACCGCGCCACAGGTCCAGCCACCACAGAGACACAGACACATTCCCGATTGTCTGGAGTTACAGCTAAATGTGTGTCACGTAAATATGTGTGTCACTCCCAAGAGTGCTAATCACAGCAGCGGTGCCCGGGTATGAAGCGGCCCCAACAATGTACTGGACTCCTTAACTCCCTCCAGGGCGTCCATTTTGGAGCAGCGGTTGTAGCGCTCAAGGACATGGTTGAGAGTGCCACTGCTGCTTTGCTGTTGTTTTTCTCCCCCTCTCAAAACAGCATGGCTATAATTACTGTCGGCCCTGCTCGGCCCACGCCTCAGGATGGCTTTTGTGTGTGTGTGTGTGTGTGTGTGTGTTTTGTCAAAGGCTGCGGGTTGGGAGTGCAGACTTCATTGGCGAGCTCTGGCTTTCCAGCCACTCATTTTACAGCTCTTTAACATTTTGGTTGAGTTTGAACGGTATGCACCTTTATTGGCTGTAACGCCTTTGCAAACAAAGTCCTACATACAAGAAGCTTTCCTGGTGAGCGTGTTACTTTCTCCTGATTGAGAAGACTAGCAGAATGGATATGGATTTTTGCAAAGTTAAAAAAAACAAGTTGTTGTGACTTGTTTTCAGATGGTGATATCAGTGTTCGGGTCTTAGAGTGGGCGTCGAGTCCTGTGGTCAGAGAATTGGCTGCACGTCAGGCGAGACTGGAATCAAAAAGCGAGTTAAAGTAGTTTCAGCTACAGTGCCTCATTCACTAAAATCAACCCAGACCATCCACAGTAGGTGCTGCGTATTTTCCCTTTTAAGATTTTATACTTCCTTCCCAGACATCTCTGCATCTTGAAGTGGATGTGGGTTATGTGCTCCATCAAAATTCTTAAATACTTCAACCTTAGAAATGTGAAAGAGCTGCAAAGTTGAGCTGGTGGTTTGAGCCAGGTTTGAAGAAGACTTCAAGCCTAAAAAAACAGATTGAATAAAGAATTAATCTACAAGTTTATCATCATAAAAATAACCTGCTGCTCTTTCAAACTTTGACAGACTGCTTCCCTAAAAGGTGAAGGTTTACTTTAAGAAGCGATTATCTGTTGCATTCAGGACATATATTCAGCATAACCCGTTTGGCACTGAGCGTCACCATCCTACTGTGAGGTCTGCACCCCGCTGTTACCAGAAGCAAAACTGGATCTGGAGGGAGTCCCGTATTTATTAAGCAGCCTTGATATTTATGACACTTTGCGAAATGTATAGCAGCTCTGGACGCGGACAATTTATCTCACACAGGATATGAAATCTGAGCGGGCTCACCAGCTGAGGTTCGCTGTCACTATTTTAATATATCAAGCTACCTCAAGGAAGTGGAGTCCAAAAAAAGTTCCTTCCTTCTTCTCGTGCTTGGCGTCCTGAGTGCTTGTGTGCGCCCTGAAGCCCATCTCAAAAACAAATGTCTCATTTTTATCACCAGCTGGAGGTGCTGGTAATAATTTCTGTGTCAGATGGAGATTTAAAGAGAGGAGAAATTACTCCTCCTGAGCCAAAAGGTACAAGATTTTAGAGCAAGCCCCTGCACCAATAAACAGAGGCGATGTCCCACTTTGCGGCGTTAAATCATCTTGAAGTGTGCTTGCATTTGCAGCATCCAAGTGAGAATCCGGTTCATAAAATGAGACTTCTCTGCAGTCCTACTAAGGCTGGACTTACACCAACTTTTATTACCCAGAGGAGGCTTCAATGCAGACCATCTTTTGTGTCCTTTATTATTATTATTTCTTCTCCATTGTTGGGCTTATCTCCTCAATCCTGTGTGTGTTCTGATTCCATTACAAGCACTGTATCTGCTATGATAGCTGGCCAGGCTTCGATTAGGTTGCTGAATTGCAGAGGAATTATAAATCAGAGCCACAGACTCGGTGTGGTTAATGCTGTCATCTGTATTCTGCTCAATAATACATGTACAGAGAAAGGAGTTACCTAACGCAGCACACAGGGGAGCGTAAAAACATTATCATCCATCAGCTCCAGCCTTGCTAAAGCACATGAATAATTAGTCAGCGCAGTCTGTTTTGATGTGGCACAGCAGAACTATTAGCTTTGATGGTAATAATCTACAGCTCGCTGGCTCATGAAGCGCATGCTGATCCTCGGCAAACTTTCTTGCAGACATCGAGCAACGCTGCAGAGAGTAAATCCTGCAAGACGTATGAATTTATTAAACTTAATTTGTGTCGTCGGCGTTGATGCACCTCTTTTCACTCGGTGAGGGAGTATAAAAGAGCTGTAGGAGGAAGCTTTCTTTTTGTTTTAATTTAGATTTCTCTTCCACATTTGTACCTTAAGTGGGTGTTAGTGTTGTATAATTAGCATTCAAGCATGATTTGTGTCTTGATGTAGGCATGTTGGATTAGCATCCAAAGGAAGTCTCTGGTGTTTTTTTCTCTTTTTCTGACAGAGTATCAGTAGCCGTATATCTCTGCAGCTCCCAGTGAAGATTAAATAAAGCTTAAGTAGGAGAGGATAAAAAAGGGGGGGAGCATAAGCGCCTTGCTCATATACCTCAATTGCAGTGCTGAGGGAGGGCTATTTCAGGACCCGTAAGTTGTGGCCTGCTATTCTCGTTGTAGGCATATGTGCCATTGATGGGTTTGGGTTTCGGAAATCCTTTGCTTTATGCTAATCAGGCGCAGTGTGGCAAGCAGACAGCTCTGCTGCGGTTGAAGTTGGCATGTCTACTCTACACTCAGCGTCTCTGCAAAGTTGCAATTACACTGCTAGTGAGAACAGAATGCTGCTTTTAACATAGCCATGTAGCATTATCCGTCCTCCTCTTTCCCTCTCTTCTCTCCTCTTGTTTGTGAGTTTAATTCAAAATTGGATTAGCTGGGAGCTCAGGACTCGAGTTTGTTTAATTTTAACTTATTTTAAAAGTCCAGCCTAACAAAGTACACGTCGTGTGATTGATGTCACACAGCGTCAGTGATCCGACTTTGAAATGAAGGATAGCACTTAAAGGAGATCCTGAAACCTTTCATCTAGAAGCAGGATCTTTTCTGCAGCTTTGTTCTCTCTCTTTCAAAAAAAGAGTGGAGAACTGCAGGCGATGTCTGGCTGACTGTCTCTCTGTTTATTCAGCTTGTGGAAGAAGTTAAAGCGGAGTGTCAAGGCTGCGCTGCTGTTTGGGTGCTATTTGCAGACCTTTGTGATATTTCACATATGTTAGGCAGTGTGGTGGGCTGTCTGGCAACTTGTTTAACCAGAAACAGGGGAGCGCTTCAGTGGGAGCACTCCTCCGGATGCAGACTCTTCGCTCATGGGTGACTGATGAGATAACCAGCAGAGTTTAGATCATGTCACCCAACAGCAAGCGGGAGGATTGGGTTAAGTTTGGTGTTTTATTTTCCTTTAACTGCCTGAAAACTTTAACTTCGTACCTCTTTGACTCTGTGCTTTTGATTTGCTGACAACATTAGCTTTATACTTAGTCATGTGGCAACACTCAGGCTGTATTTGAGTGCTGACATCAACATTTGAAATATTTGAAATCAACTTCTTTACCTCTGATACAATACCGATATTGATCAGATATTAGCACAAACTTGTGCATGATAAGTTTTGCACTCAGCTACAACGTTTTTTCCGACTTCAATGAAAAATACTGCCACAGGGCCGACATCACTCCTACTCCTTGGTACTTCGTTAGTACCTTAGTACACACTGTTGTTGTGAACATATGGGCTCTACATGCTGGATCCCGGTGCTGCTAGATAGGAGTCTGGAATAGACCGCTTGTATCGGAGTGCTGATATCTGAGATTTTAGATGCAGGCTGTTATAATCCGATGTTTGATTTTTTTTGTTGATATTGGACCAATACCCAATATCAGTATCATATCGGGACACCCCTAAAAATGAAAGAATGAAAAGACCGTTAAAGCTCCTGTGAGACTTTTTTAGCTGCCTGTAAACCAGGTTGAAATCAATGTTCGTACTTCCTAATGACCTGAAAGAATACACAAGACAATCAATGCAAACTGTATTTTTTTCAATTAAGTCATTTTTAATAACTGGCAGAGGGTAGGTGTCAGACCAAGATATTAACAGCATGATCGTAAGATTCTACTTGAGTGATACTTTTGACAGGATGACTTTTCTTTAGTCCCAAGACACTTTTAACACCTGCAACTTAAAGTTCAGCAGAAGGGAGGGGAGCCCAAACTGACAAAGGGTGAAATTATGTTAAAAAGTAGAGTGTTCAATTCTTAAAGTTTGCCGTCCTGGAGTACGAGGAAGTCCAGAAACTTTACATGAGGGAAATCCCTTCCACACACTTTTTGAAGTTCTTGGCATGGCAAAGTTTGAGAAAGAGTATAATGTCTATTTTAGGCTGCCTATAAATCAACCTGGCCCACAAATCTGTTTGACTCTGTTCCAGGTTTTTGTGATCTACAGTTCAAATTCCTTTGTAGTTACCTGATGTTGATATTTATTAATATCACGGTCATGATTTGTCTTTTACAGGTCTGGTTATGACGACTTCAAGAAAGCTGGACAGGGAGCAACAAGATGAGCACATTCTTGAGGTAAGCCTTCAACTTTGGAAAAAGAAAAAAAAAAAACGTGGAGAGGGCCGAGTGGAAATGGGTCTGCCTTTTATTTATGTAAAAATGAGTCAGTAAGGGGATGATCAGGAACCTTAAAGGTCAAGAAAAGGAATTTCTGTATCTGAGTTCTTGGCATTTGGCGCTCACCTCGGCTGAGCACCACATGTTTCCAACAAAAACAAATCTTTCTGTGTACGCAAGAAAAGGTTGGTTTGGAATCATTTCTCCTTATGCTGATTCCGGATGAGGTTGGAGGTGAGTGGGAGATCCTGGTGACTGTGTCTTTGTTCTTTCCCACTGTTCCGTCTCGTGGATGGAGCAAGCTGGGACAGGAAGCTGTTGTCAAATCAGCGGGCCGATGTCTATACTTGTGGCTTTTAATTGAGCGGGGCTCCGTTCTCTCCCGATGCCTCCTTCCCGCCCTCCCTCTCTGTCTTGCCGAGGTTGATAATAGCCATTTTAATTGTGTTTCCGGTGCTGACAGGGAGCAGATTGGACGCCTTTTAATTATTGTTAGAAGTTACACAATTCACTGATCACTGAGGGACAGTTAATGCTGGTGCATCTGGTGCCAGAACGGAGTTGCATTTCATTTTCTCATTGTAAATTGCTTTACACTAATTACCTTACAGGACTGGGAGTAATTGATAGGTATGAAAGTCAGGAAAAAAGGTAAAACTAAACTCCTGGAGGGAGCATTTAGTTGATGAATCAAATCAAATTTGCTCCGAAAGAAGTCCAAAATTGAACCATTTGCGAAATTACTGTTTAATTCGTGAAAAGATATGAGGACTGAGGCCAGCGAAAGTCCTCTTTTAAGCTGTGGGCTCAGACTGCTGTGTCCAACATGTGGTTGAAAGCTGTAGAATATCCATATTGAAAATGGTATGGCATTCACAGTCTTTGTGTCTGCTGAAAAAAAAGGAAAAAATCTCCGCCTAAGCTGAGTTCATGAATGTTCTTCATTTATTTCATTTGACAAAACGCCTTCAGACACACATTTAATAACCACATTAAACACTTAGCTCAAACTCTTTCCACTTTAATGCACTGCCAAATTTAACATGCCTATTCTCTTCTCACTTATGTCTTTGTGTTCTTTGAAATGTTTATGAATCTAGCTTGCAGTAACTAAAAAAAAACTGCTCTGAAACAAGAGTCTTTTCAGACCATATCTAATTAAAGGTCTCTCTTGTGTTTACTTCTTGTGTTCCTTAAATTACCCCTCCAGCTCAGAGTTGGAGGATTAATGTAGGGATGCAACTTTTCCCCTAAAAGAGTAGAAAGTGGCCGAATGAGCACAGCCGGGGAAGAGCTGTGCAGCCGCTGTGATTGAAGAAGTTTGTGTCTTTAGTTAAAGGCGCCCAGCAGGAAGCTCTTTATAGGGCTAAACATGAAGCAGCACAGACCCCCTCATGCCACAATTCAACCCCCTCAGTGTATCCAGCTAACAGAGGGTTAATCATGACTCGGAGGAATGCATATGTGTGCACATGCCTTTGTGTGTGAAATAAGCACCGGCGGATCAAATCAAATTAAAGTCCCAGCTTGTGTCGATCTTTTTTTTTTTTTTTGTACGAGCTTGTTGAAGGAGAAGAAACCAAACATGTGGGGCCATGTGGAACATGTGGAGCAATTAAGGTGGGGGCTGTGTCAGCATTGTTTGCGCCAAATGCCAGGAGGAGGTGGAGGGAGCACAGGAGGGGAGGGGGAGCTTTTGGCTTTTATGATGAGATGGATGGGGGTTGGTAGGTGTTAGTTGTGTATCTCTGTGAGAGAGAAAATGAAAGAGAGAGAGAGATAGAGCGAGCAGACAGGCAGAGGGGGAATTTGAGAAAAGGCAAAGCAGCTCCTGATGTCTGAGTGTGGGCTCTAGTAGCAGGATGAGAGGCCTCCGTCCCAGGAAGGAGGAGGGGAGGGGTGGGTAAATAGCAAAAGTGGGACATGCCAGGACATGCTTGAAATTCAGGCCTGGGACTGCAGAGAGAGCATTATAATGGAAAAGCAGAGGTGAATGGGCTGTTCACATCTGTTGTCTGGAGCCTATCCCAGCATGCAGTTGGCACGCAGCAGGGTACAACCTGGATAGGTGGCTGTTCTGGCCAATTTTACCTGCTTATTAGATCCTTTTCAGTCTATTACAGGTTTTTCTTTCATCCAGGATGCCCAAACCTCTTAATGTCTCAAGGTGACAATTGAATAGAAGTAAGAAGATTAAGATGAGATGGGAGAAAGAAAAATATCAACTTAGAAAATATACAAACACTTCAATAACAACTCTGTTTTCAACGCCATTTTCACTAGAGAGGAGACACTTGGAAATGTTGAGGAAAATACCTGGATGAACATCTCTCATCTAATACTCAGGCATAAAAAAACGACTTTCTGATATCACAGTCCCTCACAAATAAAGGTGGGAATAAGTTTACCGCTCAGAGGGATCACATGAGCAAATAGTTCAGCAGAAACCGTTTCTCTGGACCCGGGCCCATTTAAGAGCGGTTGAGGTGAAATGGAAAACTTCACCGTGGTCTGAGGAATCATACCTGACATTCTCAAACCTGGATCTTCCATTCTAAGGAGGACAGGACCACCCACCATGATATCAGAGCACAGTCCAAAAGCCAGCATCCTTAATGGTACTGCATGGCAAGTCTACACACCTAGGCAAGACCTTTACAGAATACAGATGCTAAAGAAACTACATTCAGCATGAATTACAGCAGTTCGCATGACAACAGTGGAATAGTCTGGATGCTTCACTGGCCTGCCTGCAGTCCCGACTTGTCACTCACTGAAAACACCATGACGTGATTAATAACTGTTGAGCAAATGAATTGGATAACATTTCACTTTCAAAACTCGAGAAGTTGGTCTCCTTGGTTGCCAAAAATTTTTGGCAACAAGGAGAGATGATGCAACATGATGGTAAAAATGTTCCCCCGTCCCTGTTTTTAAAGCTGCGCTGCTGGCATTAAGAGCACATTGTCAACAAACAATAACTTGCTTCAGTCCTTTTCACTATTCCTGATTAAATACTTAATTCTGTTTTTATTAACATTTATAGACGGTGTCCGAACTAAAACGCCTTTTGAATACATCTGTTTGAGCTTTCCTGCCTTCAGTTGAAACAAACCAAAATGCAGTTTCTAAATATTTGACCAAGAATTTACTATACAGCTCCATTTTTCTTTTCCATTCAAACAGTACACTATGTTCCCATTCAATAGGGAAGTGCTACCCTACCCTTGGAGTAGCTTTTTACAGAGAAACTAAATTTAGTCCCTATTCTCTAGTTGAAAAGGCTTTTAAAAACTCTTCATCAGCTGGAGTTGTTTGTCCTTGGTCCTGTGGCAGAAATTCTGCACTTTGAGAGTAGTCATGTTTAATAACAGAGACATACGTAAATAGTGTAGACATTATACAAGCGTTCAAAGTTTGGCTTTAGTCAAGTTCTTCCAAATTGAAAGCCAAGCACAATTTACCTTCTTGTAGTTCTTGACTTTCAAAATCCTGCACACTTCCCCAGGTCATTTTAATTAACATTGAGAGCATTCAAACACCATTAGTTACATATGGCTGGTCAGCGTAAGCTCTAAGTTTTGCAATAGATAATAAGAACATAATGGATTGGCTCCGTTCCCTCGACTTCACAGCAAACACACACTCCCTCGGGTGTAAATCTTATGACTTTTTTGTGGCTTTCCTAATTATCAAACAATGGCATTTGATGGAAAAAAAATCTAAAGAGAGGCACGGCGTGATGGATGGCAGTGCAGCCAGGGTGAACCTGAACTCTGTTACACACACATCGCAGTCTTTTTCCCAATACAAATGGCAGCTCCCATACACAGAGTGTCTCCTCAGGCCATTTCATGTTATTATCAGACCCAGTATGTACATATATGAGGCCTAAAAGCTGATGTGAGCACAGGACAGGCACAACATCTCCTCACTAAGAGAGACATTCACTCTTTAGTTTAATTTCATCCCGCTTAATGAATTCTGCTCGTGTAAGCTGCACGCACAGCTGCAGACACGGTGAGGAAAAACAAAACGGCATTACATTAGTAATTGAAACGATGAAACCCAATGGTGTGTGTGCCTGGCCTTGGACTCCTGACTGTTTTAGTGAAGCACTTAACAGATGGTTTTAAATGACTGTGACATTTGTTCTGCCCCTTCCACTGTTATTTTGCAGCTTCAAGCTCAAAATGCTCCCGTCGTTGCCAGCAGCCAGACGCACGAGTTCAACCCTTGAGCCGTTTTTTTTGTGGAACTAGATAAAACTGCGTTTGTTTCGGTCGGCCGGCAGCCCTGTGCTTTTGATTAGGCTTCTCAAACTGTGGGAAGACGCTTCAATGTTCAATCATGGCACACAATACAAAGAGCTGGCATGCCAACAATTGCACTCACTGTCACACATGAAATTAAAGCCCTCTTAATGATCCAGTTTCACAGTTCTGTCTGTTGCACAGAAAACTTCAAGAGTTTAAAAAAGTCTAGTGATTTTGGTAGAAGAAGGTGCTTGTAATGTTTATAAACTGTAAAATGGTAGTAAATCAAACACGCAGCATAAGAATTGTGTAGTCGCTGCTGCCAGAATGAAGAGATACAGATACTTAAGATTCATTTGCACCCGTGAGTTTATCCTAGATCAGCTAAACTAGCTAGCTACTGCAATTACAGATAAACAAGCTTCATGTTATTACATTTGTTTAAAGTTTGGTGACCACAGCAGTCAGTATGTTCACATGACACTTGAAAAAAACGGAAAAGAAAAGTCGGAGAACTGTGATTAAGACACCCAGATAATGTGATTGGAATTCGATTTTCTCTACCATGTAACCAGCATAGTTGGAGTATAATCGGACAATGCATGTGCGCCGTGCCCCGTAACCCCAGAACAAAAACACCAGGGAAAAAAATGGCACAAGGAGTAGCGTGCACCTCATCTGCAGAAAAAGTAGCGCGTACATCATGTATTGCAAAAAAACGCTGTACGATGCTCCATCTTCTTGCTTGAAAATGCCCAGCAGCAGCTGTAGCCACTTCTGACATTGTTGTCGACAGTTGTATGGGGTCAACCAGAAACAGTGCCGCTGGAAAGACCAATAATGCCCCCTAGTTTTTGGGAGGACATGTTCACGTCAGTAATTTGATTTTCTCAACAAAAAAAAAAAAAAACGAATTATGAGCTTAGTCTGATAAAGCTATGTATGTAAACGCACCGAGTGTTTACAGTTTATAGTGTCAGTGTAATCTAGCATTGTTGCCACAGTGTCAATAGGCAGTGATGGAGTGAGCTGAGGATTACCTTTGGTGCATTGAGCTGATTTGACATGTCCCTGACTTGATAACAATCACCATTGTTGTAATGTTTTGACCAATCAAAATCAAGTATTCAACGCAGCCAGGCAAACACAATCAAAGTAGCTGCATTGATGAATGAAACCATGGTAACAGGTATTCACACTTGAATGAGCTAGTTGTTACTTAAAATGTGCGAAATATCTGCCTTCTGCTGAACCAAATGTGCTTCTCTACATTTTTATATCTCCATAGGATCATTGACGAACACAGAGCCTTGTATTGAAAGCACAATCCCTGAACTTGTCACATTTCTTTCAATGCCCAAAACGTAACTATTCAATTCTTAAAATGTACAAAATCCTCCTGACAGGCTTTTCCTCACATCAAACAGAAAGAGGTTTCGCTTTGACGGTCATACAATGAAGCGACCAGAGTTTGCACTTTTCCCTCTCTTTTTCTTGAATCAAACATAGACTTTTCTTTCAGTTTTGTAGATTTCTGTTGGATAATCTTGCCCCACAAAGCTAGCGGATTTTGATTGGTCGCTTTAAGAAAAAAACAACTCCCATTTCACAACAGCAGGACGTATCCTCAGAAGAGGAGCGGGCTCTTGGATCCTCCTAGAGATTAGATTATTAGGAAAAAAATATGACACACATCTTGTCTAGATTTAAGAAGGCTTGTAAAACAGCCTCTACTGATGTGTTTTTGTCTTAGTCAACAAGTGTATGAGTAACAACCCTATGACTGAAAGCCTCAGAAGGGAATTGACTTTATTTTTGGCTGCTGAGCAGACAAATGATCCACGATGAAGAGTATCATAATCACAGTTCCCTTTTCTAACCTATTTTTGTATTAGTCTAGGATTTGGAATGATGAATGAGGCAGCGCTCTTTACAAACAGCAAAAACAAAGTTGTTCGTAAAGCTCAATAATATTCCTGGGCTTGTGAACCGATCATAAATTATTTAGATTTTTCACACTCTGATGACGCATCCATGACTTGCTGACTCATAAAGATATCCTGGTTTGAAGCGTATTGAAAAACGATCAGAAACAGACTCCTGACCCGAGGAAAGAGAGGAAATCCAGCACAAAGTACATAGTAGAGGGTTTTCCTTCTTGTGTCAAGCTCTCAGTGTACACTCTCGCTCATTTTGCTTTTATTGTCTCCACAGATCACTGTTACCGACCACGGCGTTCCTGCAAAATCCACCACTGTTCGCGTCATCGTCCGAGTCCTGGATGAGAATGACAACAGGCCGCAGTTTTTGGAGAAAATCTACAAGATCAAACTTCCAGAGCGAGAGAGGCCAGAGAAGGAGAGAGCCACAAAGCGAGACCCGGTGTATCGTGTGATAGCTTCAGACCGCGATGAGGGACCCAATGCGGAGATCTCTTACAGCATCGAGGAGGGGGATGAAAATGGAAAGTTCTTTATCGAGCCAAAGACCGGTCTGGTGTCTTCTAAGAAGTTTTCCTCTGCTGGAGAATACGACATCCTTACAGTGAGTTTATCACATTGCTCTCAGCCTGATAGTCTCTCCAGTGAGCAGTGAATTTCTACAGCAGATGCCGGTTTGTGGTTTTACTGCTTTATTCCCCTCTTCTTCTCACGTTCCTGCCCCCCTTGTGCTCCTCGCCTCCTTTCTTCCCTTCAAAACACCCAAATCAATTGGTCCACACACTTTGCTCCACAGGTGTGTCATAAAACGAATCACAAAAGCACTTAAAGTAGCGACTCTTAAACAGAGGCTCGCATTGTTCCATTTTTACGGGAGAGTGAAGCGTTCCTACTGTGGTTTTCATTTCTGCAGGGTCCTCGAATTAGAATAACAAATTTGTCAATCACTGATGTGTCACTACTGTTTTGGCTATTAGCTTACTGTGAGATAGTCCAGCACATCGGAAACAATTTTGACAGCTGCTTTTTGGAAGGCTGCTGTAGAATTACTGGGAGAAAAATTGTGTGAGACTGAAATATTTGACAATCCTCCACCTGTGAATTAAAAAGCAAGAATTTAACTGTGGTTTAGTCATCACAGTTAGCTGTCATGATATTTAACAGTCTTTTTTTTTTGCTTTACTGATTCTTTCTTAGGTTTTGTATCCTCACACGTCTCTAGTTATATTTCCTGTTACAAAATCAAACTGCTCACTGTGGTGTACAGTCATAGAAATCCACACAATGGGTTGGTTAACAAAAGATTACCGCACAAAAGGTGCTTTGTTATTTAAACTAAGCAGCACCTTGCCATGTGGACAGCTCAGAGGACAGCTGTGGTTAAGATTGAGACACAGACCATTTAGAGAAAAAATTCCTTCTTGCAGTGCTTCACCTATAATCTATACCCGCTGTGTAAAGTGTTCCCTGCAGTATGTTCTGACTTCAATTTAATGTTCGTCCATGTACTTTCTTGTAAGTAAATGACTAAACTTCACTGTTTACTTCTGAAGTATTACAGGCAGAGGAGCTGCCAGAGCTCTGCTGGAACTCGTTTGTAACAAACAAAATGTTACATAAGACCAACACAGTCTTTCATTCTCTGTCCCTCTCTCAGATTAAAGCCGTCGACAATGGGCGCCCTCAGAAGTCCTCCACTTGTCGCCTCCATATTGAGTGGATTCCCAAACCGGAATTGCCGGCTGATGCTGCCCCCCTGCTTTTCGAAGAGTCCCCTTACACCTTCACTGTGATGGAAAATGACCAAGTGGCACATATGGTGGCCGTTGTTGCCACTGAATCCTCGGATGTTCCTGTGTGGTTTGAAATCACAGGTATTTTGTCCTCATTTACATCTTTGACGTTTTTCTAGTGTGCATGCACAGTGTAGAAAAGCTCTTCAACAAATAAATGCTCCTTACGTAGAACAACTTTTACACCTGAAGACTAACAAAGTGTCTGTGTGTGATATGACTCAAAATATGGAAATATGAAACTAAAACCTGTGCAGACAAGACAGTCATGTTTCAAGATTATTAGCTGGCCTTCTCGAGTTCTTTGTAACAGAGAGCTGTGTTAGCTGCCAAATCATTGCAGAGCAAAAGTACACCTGAGTTTTATTTTACCTCAAAAAACAGTAACGTAACAAAGAAATAAGCTATCTGTTGAACACAGCATGAAAAATGTTTATTATATTGTGAAACAGCTACAACAAGAGACGATATACCCATTCAAACTGGCTGCATAGGTAGCGCAAGCTAGCTTCAGTCCAAGCTAAAGCCATATTGACTCTTATCTGAGGTTGTGTGCTATATTCTGTGATAAAACGCAATCATTATGATAAACCAATGTTTTTGTGAAAATGTTATTCCTAAAACTAAATCATACTGTTTATATATACAGTGATGAAAGAACAAATATGATGACAGTTAGCTTAAGATGACAACTAGCATAGCAGATCTTGAGAGAAGAGGAAAATTAAAAACTAAAAAATCAAAAAACTGACTGATAAATCACTTCGATGGACCTTAAACAATAGTTTAATTTATCACAGATTAAAGCTCCTGTGAGGAACATTCAGTTTTTGTATATTTTGGCGCCCCCTGTAGACAAAACAGTCTGTACTTATTGTGTCCAAAACATGCTTGAGAAGTGATTTATGACAACAAATCTCATCCTGCTGGTTTTTGACAGTCAAATGTGTCATTTATTGTGAATATTTGTCTATTTCATAAATGTCCAAAAACTCCTTATTGTAGCTTTAAATTGTTGCAAAAATAGGAACAAAAAACCAAGCGTTTTAATTCATTTCTGGTGGTAGTTTAAAGATTTTGTTTCTCTTTCTAAAGGCAGAGCACATTTAAAGAGGCTTTTATGGCTGTTATTGTGTACAGACCCTTGATCATTCTAGCATGTGTTAAACAGTACAGCCGGTTTAATTTAAAACATTTACTGAGCTTACTTCAAAACCGTTATTCTCACTTTACCTTTCTCTTTTGTGGATCACTTTGGCTAATTAAAAACATTGCAGAGCTAAGATCTACAGACAATTGGTGTTGATGTTTTCTAAAGCTCTCCTTTGTCCGCTAACTGAAATGCAGTCTGTTTCCTTATGAAGTGAAATTGGCATCCCTTTATTAAAGTATTTGGATTGAAATAGTCTACTCTGAATGATGATAGACACTGAATGCATGAGGCTTAAATTGACTTCTTCCAAAAAAAGAGAGAAAAAAAATGCTTGCCTCTTCTTCTCCTTTCCTCCCAGCCTGTCCGCCCTCTAATCAATGCCTGACTGACACATCTCTTTTCTTCTCTTCTCTCTCTGTGCTCTGCTTCTGCTTCCTTCTTTTTCTCTGGAATGTTCTGTTTGGTTGGATTTTTGCAAGACGACATAGAGGATACTGAGATGTTTTACATCCTTCAGATGGCTTGTGACCACAACTGTACAGCAGAAGGTAGCTGCTGGGATCTCCTAATAGGCTGTGCTGTATTAAGAGATCATCCCACACTGTGTGTTGGTGCTGCCTGTGGGCTGTGGTTCAATTGTGTTGTGCCGCTTGATTGATGTTGTGCCACTTTTTTCCCATACAACATGTGACCTGATTACGAGCCTCACATAATCCTCCTCTCCTTACATTTTGTGTATTATAGCTTCATCTTATTCCCATATTGTTTAGTTTATCTTAAGAGTTAAATATTGTGTAGCTTTCAGAGGAATGCTCTGTTGTTGTATATTCATCACTTTGAGTTTTTCATCCATTCTGTGCATTTAAGAGTTTATTGCATGAAATAGCTGCTACGTGAATAAACAAAGTAAATGACTCCACATTACTTTATCTCTTTATTATGATCTAGGACATCAACACAGCAGAAAATTGATGTTTATATGTCCAGCTCAGCGCCCCCACTAAGTGTTTGTGTAACCTTGCTATATGAAGACGACCAAACAATGATTTGCCGCTAATCCTTTGTTCTTTTTTTGTTTGTATAAAAAAAAATTATTCCACAGGTGGTAATTATGACAGCCGCTTTGACGTTGGCAAGGCCAGTGGAACCTTGATTGTTGCGCGGCCCCTGGACGCAGAGCAGAAATCAAATTACAACCTGACGGTGGAAGCCACAGATGGGACACGAACTGTCAGCACCCAGGTAATTGAAACACTAATGAAATGGTTGGAAGCTGATGAGGCAGTTGTCATGGTCCTGTTTTTCTCATGCGCGGACTGGCAGGAGGGAAGTGATGGGTAATGAGTGAAGCGGTGGCCAAAACCTCCTGTTTGTTGGGGTATGTTTATGGTGTGATGCTATCATTGCTCTCAACCGGCCCTGAAAATGGACAGATTATTGGGTTTGGGTTTCATTACAGCCCTGCACAACCTGACTTCTAACACAGCCTGGTAAAAATGAGCAGATATTACACACAAAAAAAACATGGGATGCTGTGTTGTGTTTTGAGATCTTATTACACTGCCTGGAGCTGCCTGTTGGGGTTGATTACATTGTGTTTTATTACCAGATTTGCTTTTGTATTCCCCTCTAATAGCTGAAAAAGCATGAATACAGATCTTTTTATTTTAAAAATGGTTGACATCTTGGAAAATATGCTTTTTTGCTTTGACTGGATTTAGATGAGAAGAATGATACATCTTAAATCTGTTTATTAGATAAAGGGCCAAGTTAGCTAAGCTTAGCATAAAGAGAAGAGGAAGCCGACACTATCCTAAGGTTAAAAACAAACTTTCTCTGTCTGGCAAATAAAATGGGAATTTTTCCTCATGTAATCTGAACTCTACAAGGACAAATGTGTAAAAAGAATATCCTGGAGCTCAGACAGGACATTCATATTTATATGACAATCTAATAAAGGCTATAAGAATTTTAAAGATATGAGAAACTTTACCTTTCATGTTAATTTGAGCATATTTATATGGAATTATCAATCTTAATTTTATCTCAAGAAAAAGAGAAAAAAACGACAAAAACACGAAAGGAAGAATGGAAAACAAAGAGAAAGAAAAAACATGAATAAATAAAAGAGAAAGAAAAAGTAAGTAGAAAGGAGACGAACAACAAAAAAAGAAAGATCTTGAAGAGAAATAGAGAATGGAAAAAGAAAGAGAAAGGAAAAAAGGAAGAATGAGAAAATGGAAAGAACAAATACATATAAATCAAAGTTAACCAAGAGAGATTTTGGGTTCAATGAGTTGGTTAAAAAAGAGAAAAAAAAGATAAAAGAATAAAAGAAAAAGAGATAAAAATACAAAAGAAGAAGGATTAAGATAAAGAAAAAAAGAAGAGGAAAAATAATGAATAAAAGAGAGCAGTTAAGAAAGCGAAAAATGATAGTAAGTTAGCGAAAATAATGAAGTGAAAGAAAGAATAGAAAGAAAACTAATAAGTAAGGAAAAAAGGAAGGGAAGAGAGATACTGTAAAGGATAAAGGATGGAAAGGGGATGAAAGAAATTATGAAAAAGAGCAAAAGAAAAAAAAGAAGTAGGAATGAATACGATCACTGAAAGGGTTAAATAACAGGGTATAGTAAAATAAAGAAAGAAATGGAAATGAAGGATTAAAGACAGGATAAGAAGAGAAGGGAATAAAAGAAAGGATAAAGGAAGAAGAGAGGAAGAAAAATTAAAGAATGAGTGAGAGAAAATAAGGAATGAGAGAAAGAAAAAAGGAGGGACAGACGTAAGGATTAAAAGAAATAAAAGAAAGAATAAAAGAATGAATGAAAGATGTTTAACAGGAAAAATAAGAAAGACAGGGATGAAAGAAAGGAGGAATGAGAGAATGGAGGAAAAAGAGAAAATGAAATGAATCAAGAATGAAAGGAAAGGAGTTTCTTGTGAGTACAGCTGAAGTTTTGAAGCCTGGCTGTAGACCCTCATTGTTCTCCACCATCTGAATCCAGCCCGAACTTCAGGAATCTTCCATTGTCTCATTCCTGACGCAGAGCTGCTGTGATGATGGTGGCGTCTAGCCAGAGTCTTTTTTTAAGTGTACATTCTTCAGCTCCCTCCTCCTCCTCCTTTTCCTCCTCCTCCTCCTTCTCCTTTCTGCTGTCTCTCTGAACCTGTGAACCTTCTCTTCCTTCTCTCTGAGAGGAACAGATGGCCTCTGTCTCTCCTGAATGGACATGAAATAATGAAACATCTAACACACATGCATATGCACCTGTTACAGTCTGGAAACTGGAAAACAGTCAGGTAGAAAGATACTTTTTATGCTCAGAGTGTGGGACTTGAAACCTACGTGAGCCCGAAAGATAAAACTAAAAGCTATTTCCAAAGCAGTGGCACACTTTCATTTTAATATATTAATATGCTGATTTATTCCTACTTGCATATATCTCGCTCCCCAGCTGATACCAAAGCTGAGCCGCCATAATACAAGCTTTTAAGTATGCAAGTTGTCTGTAGTTTTTGTTCACATGGTCATGCCTTGTCCATGAGATTTTGAACATCGGTACATGGTAGTTTGGGTCGTATGGGATGGTTGCATTCAAAATGTTTTGTCCTTTGTCCTCAAAGGGGAGCCACAGAGAACTGTAGCTGCAAAAGAATCTATTTGTTGTCACTCCGTATGAATAAAGCCTTTCATCATCTGGCTGCTGTGCTCCACTGAGCCTCGGATGAAGCGCCGCCTTCTCTGGCATTTTGCAGCTCATCCACGGAAGCAGCACGTCCTTTAGTTCAGTGCAGAACTTTCAAAAGAGTCACAAAGTGCCTATTTTCTCATCCCTGATTTCCTCTCCCCATGAAGCACTTTCTTAAGAGCCTTGGCAACAGAGACTTATTTAAAAGCCTCTCAGCCATTCTGCATGCAGTGACATTTTTTAGTTCAATTAATCACAGTCAAAGGTCTGCCTATTGAGAAGGTTTAGTGCTCAGCAGGACTTGGTTCTGTACTGCAAAAGTACAGGCAATTATCTAGTACATATAGTGTTTCAATCTGCGGGTCACCTAATTGACTTCTATACTTTGTATTGACTGAGTACAAGAAAGTATGTACCAGAACACAGTGTAACCTGATGGTAACTGATAGGGTGACAAATATTTTTGTTCTATTTTGTATATTTTTAAGGTTTTCTGTTTATGCACAGTGAGCAAAGATGTGCAAATATTTAAATCTTCTCATTTCCGATTTCTACTTTTATCTCTTTACACCACCACCCTCTTGGTTAATTGTTGGTTACTAAATTTAATATTTACTTTTTTACTATTTAATTTTTTCATTACTATTCAATTTTTTTAATTTAGTAAACAACTTACCCTCTTGGTTAGTTGTTTAGTAAATGAAATAAGCATGTAGTGTTGTTTTTTTAATTATTATTATCAAATAAACATAGGAAACAGGATGATTTTATTCAAAATTTAAAGACTTCTCTGACAAATAATTCTTGAACATGAAATCAAACTTTTTAACAAACTGTGAGATAACCAAAATTTGGTGTTAAGAATTGACTTTTAGGAGTGGGAGAAGAAACTGATCCAGCAAAGTATCACGATATTTTGTCTGGTTATATATCATATCGTCTCATTTACCAAGTATTGATTTTTCAAATTAATGGCTAATATGAAGTCAAATCTATGATAATGGAAAAAGAAACTCAACTGTTTGTCCTGTGAGGTTGGCAGAGGTGACATCATACAGCAAGAAAAAGTTAGTAATAATATAATAATAATAATAACTTTATTATAAATAGCACTTTTAAAAACAGAAGTTTACAAAGTGCTTCGACAACAGTTGCAAGCACAGAACATCAGCACATGAAAATAAAAACAGAAGCTCAGTTAAAAACAAGGCCTCTGACTTGAAGGCCAGTTTCATTTTTCATAAGAAACCCAAATATAAACAAGGTTTGCAAGATGTGCTACATGAAATAAAATACAGTGTAAATAAGACAAACATAAAGGACAGCAAAATGCTAAATTTGGTAAACAGTTGAAAAAAATTATATAAATTGCATTGCATATTGTATTGCAATACTCACCTTATTGCAAAATGTTAAAAATAGCAATAATAACGTATCGTTGGGCCACTGGTGATTCCCCCCCCCCCCCGTTAACTTTACAGTATGGCAGAGCGGATGAACTTCAAGAAAGTCAACTTTTTACACACTTCCACAGATTTTCTTGGATTCGATTTGATAAACGTAGTATCATAGATACTATTCAGACCAGAAATAGGTCACATACTGATCACTCGTACGGTGTGTCACATGCAACAGTGCTCTCCTTCTTATTGCCCGCAGATCTCAGATGTGCTTATCATAGTATTTATTAATAGAGCTGCGACTGATAGGCTCCGCTGCAGATGTGTGTTAGTGTGTCAGCCTCAGCTGCGTATACTCAGCTGACCGCTGTGGGTCAGCTGTTTTCTGTGGAGGGAAACAGATTGACTAAATTTGTGTGCTCCATAAACCAACTTTCTGATTTAAGCCAGTTGTCTGAGAGTTCCTCAGAGCCAAAGATGTGACTGAAAAAGTATCAGCTGAGACTGATACTGTAGTATACTAAATATACTATGCTATTGATTAATGGATGGCTAAAGTAGGAGGTGATCAGGATGTACCAGTTTTACACAAAAACAAAAGCAGCGTTAGAAAAACCTGTAACTCTCGCTGGCCTGAGATCTGAGTACTTCATATTTCTGGAAGCCACCCGAGTGTTTTGGCTACTAACTTGTTTATGTGATAACACTGTTCAGCACTGTCTGTTAATGTGCCGCATGCTGGGGAGTGCATGTTTTATGTAATCGTAAGAAGTACCCGGATAAAGGGCAAAGGTTATGGAAAGGTTGTGCCAAACCATCATGAAAGGGATTAATTCACTTCCTGAATAAGGTTTTACTCATTATTCTTGCAAACCAGCGTCAGTACATTCCTCTCGGTTAATCTGCTTGATTGTAGAAAGTATCAGCGCAGGTGTTGAGTAACCATTTTTCTTTGTCTCCTTTGTGCTAATAGGAGAGAGAATTTCAGCGGTAAATCATATGCTAAATAGTTGTTTGTCATGGATTTGTTGTCTTTGGAAAAAATATTTTATTTACCCTTTAAAACAGTCGATACAGGGTTTCACTGCAAATGAGATCCACCTGATCACACACTCAGAGCACCTCGTGAAGGCTCAAAGTCAGTCTTATCTGTTCCTCAAATCAAAGTCATGTGGAAGCTTTGCTGCCAGACGCGCTGGCCTATTTTCTCACTCTTTGGAATTTTTTTTTTTCATCCTTTTTCTTCTCCATCTCCCTCCAGCCCTCTTTGTCTTTCCGTCTGATTTTCTTCTTCCTGCTTTTTAAAGGAGAGCTGCGCATTCATTGGCCGGGTGTGCAGCGATGATGATTATTCTGTTTGGTAAGAGAAGAAGCACAAATGAGTGCTGGACCTCTGTGGGTAGTGGGCTGTGTTAATCCTGTTTTGGGAACATGTTGAAGTGCTCGGTGCCAGTGCCCTGCCTTTGCCCAGAACCTGCCACCTGGCAGGGGGGCCTTCCTTTCCTACGTATGGCACAGGGGACAATGGGCACAATGAGAGCTCCCACTTGTCTTGTTTTAGCGCGGAGCAGAAGAAGGGATTGGTTATTTAGAGGGCTCTGTTTCCATTGTGGTCATTTTAAGCTCACCTTTTGTGTTTGAATGTCTCGTTTATTGTCACATTACAATGATGAACTCCAAGCTGAAAATTGGGAATAAAAATTTGATCCCTCCTCGTTGTGTACAGAGCTCACAGTCAGTGGGAAGTGAAGCAGTTGGCTTTCTGTCATGTTTTCCATCTGACAGTTATGTTTCTACGAAGGCGTCTGCAGAATCAGCTGATGTAGTCGAGGGCTTTTGCATTCTAGCGAGGGCACCTCATCGCCAGAAACCGCGCCAACAAGGCAGCCTCGGCACGCAGCCCAGCCTCCCTCCCCCCCCTCATCTCCAGCTATACGACATACTCCCTTGGCCGTGCAGAAGCACCTCAAGCTGTTCTGCACACAATCTGTTCCTGGTCTCCTGCTTCTCCTGTTATCTGGGTCCACATTACAAAGACTCTGTTTGTGTCTCAGTGGAAGGTTCACCTTATTCAATCATACTTCTGTGCACTCCTTTCCTTATCTGGGACGCTTTTCTTACATTTCCCGGACTTCTTTTTTTGCATTTCTGTCTCATCTTTTGTTTGTGCATTTGTTTCATTTCCACCCACAACCTGTCTTCTCTAAGTTTGACCATTTCCCTTCAGCTTTCGATGGCTTCTCGCTGTCACTTCTCTTTCTTACTCTCATCTCAGCCTCACAGCAGTTTTTTTTTTTTTTTGATTCTTTAGTATCTCCATCTGTCACGTCTGTGTCTCAGTCCCAGTCTTGTTCTTCTCCAGCTTTCCCAGAGGAAGCAATACACAAAGACTGTCGAGTTTTTATTCCTCCACACCAGTTTCTGCTGCAGTCAGGCTGTAGTTTGCCGTTTTTGTGATGTTTCAGGGCAAAGTTCCTTTTGAAGTGTTTTAGAGCCTTCTGGCAGAGGGAAAGCCAAGTTTGTGTGCAGATGGAGGATCTAGGGAGAGTGCTGAATAGCCTTTTGTGCGCCTTCCTCTCTGTATGAAATAGTACATTGTGGATAGATGTGGGTACCGCTGACCAGGTTCCGTTCCCTTTCTGAGTCTTGACAGCCCTATCAGCCCTCGCCACCTTACTCGCGATTCACGTGATGTGTTATCTGACGCTTGCCAGATTGAGACACATCGGACGGCCTCTTTTGTGTGGATGTATGGGTGGCAGTAAAAAATTTATGAGCCTGGGTGTGTGTGGGTGCATGCGTGTGCGTCTTTGCGAGGTGGATTGTGAGACATCAGGGATCTAGTGCCATATGATGTCTGGCATGACATGAGAAGACACGCTTGGAATGAGATGGATTGTCAGCCTGCCGATAAAGCAAAATACACCAGAGGCCCAATTTCAAACGCCTTTATTCGGGGTTAATGTCTCATTAGAAAAGTGGATTTATTTAGAATTACCCACCCTGATTAGCAGTGTGACATAGGTTGCCTGTGACTTATGGCAGACAACCAGCGAACAGCGGTGACAGACAGCATGCGGCCCAGTGCTCCCCCTGCAAGATGACATCTGTGAGCCTCAGCGGCATTGCCAACATCACAGCACAGAGCAGATTGTAAATGTTATCAGTGCTGTCAGGTTGAGTCTATATTTGTCTCAGATATAGACTCCACAGCGCTCCACAAACAGTATTAGGAAAAGAAACAGCATTGGGAAGTTGTGCTGACCACAGATCTGACAAATCCTGGTCAGCTAGTGAGCTGTCAGCTGGTCAGAGCTTTTTCCGACCCTGTTCCCTTCCCTGTTCCGGCACCAAACAGCTCGGCTCTGTCTGTTCCCTGACGGGACATCACCCCCTTGTGTTTGGTATGCAGGTGTCTAATCTGGGCTGATCCCTTTGTTCCCCATGTTTGGCAACGATAGAAGCCCCCCTCGCTGGTCTGGGAAGCAGAGATGGCATTCCAGCAGCTCTCCATAATCCTCTGTCGGAAGTCCAGTAGACGAGTGGCTGCTGTTGATAAAACATGCTCCCAGTGGAATTTTACAGTTTGGGGATGTTGTCTTTGTTTTAGGGGTGGGGGTGGGGGGGGCACAAAGACGGCACTTCTGCTGTCCAAAGAAATGAGTGCATTTTTAGAAATTTGTTTCATTGCAAGTCGAACTGTTGTTGGTGCATGCATCTGCAGGACGGCAAACAGACCAGCAAAAAAAGGGTTTAAAGATCCTCAAAAACATTGAAACAACAACCACAATTTCTTTGGCTGCTTATGCTGAGGTACTTCTTTAGTGGGCCACCTACATGTTTCTTCAAGAGGAGCTATGTCAATATGTTTTATTGTGATTGTGATGCTCCTTAATTATCATGCGGTGCTCCTAACTTTCTGAAGCTGGGAGCTTCAGTGCCAGCATGGGGAAAATGTTAATTCCAAGAAAATGTTCACTGTCAAACCCCTCATTTACTCTTTTTCCTCTATTCTTGCGTGTTTTCGTGCCACAATTTATGGCATGTTATTATACCAGGGCGCCTCACATCCTCACTGCCAACATGTCAGCTTGTGTATGTAGCCGCTCATTAGAGTTTGTGTCACTGTGTGGCGTGGAACTTGCGGTCTGTGTGTGTAAATCAAAGATCAGCACGGAATCAGATATATTTGAGGGGACCAGCTAGTCTGAACAAGCTGAAAACAAGTGAATTCCAGCCTCCAGCCTATTTATGCAGGTTGTGAGCGTTTGCTTGTTTTGACTTTGCACTTTTTCCTGCAGCATGAACTGAAAATCCAGTATTTCTTTTTGTAAATCTTAAACTACCAAGAAGACCCTAGTGTATTATTCATACAGGGGTCCACATAATGGAATAACCGTCTTCATCATTTTAATCAGATCAACACGGTCAGGTTCTGTTTTGACTGGTTCAACTGTAATGACAGTACCAAGAGTCTAAACTTAGCACAAGGTGACTCAATTTGAACTGTAAAAATTGGATTCTCATATATGAATATGTGGGTTGAATTAGGAGACAGCGGCAGCATAGCATCTTAAAACTGAATATTTTCCACTCCTCTGTTTGACTCTTGTAGGTGCTGATCCGTGTCATTGACACCAACAACCACCGGCCTGAGTTTTCTCAGAGTTATTACGAGGTGAATGTCTCTGAAGATGAACCGGCAGGGACTGAAGTCCTGCAAATCAGCGCTGTGGACAGAGATGAGAAGAACAAACTGACCTTTACACTCCTGAGCAGCACTGATCCCTTCAGCCTGAGGAAGTTCAGACTAGACCCAGGAACAGGGACTCTCTACACCACTGAGCGGCTGGATCATGAGACTATGCATCGACATGTGCTCACAGTTATGGTAAGAATCGATACACACTGGCGTTCAGACAAAAGTCAGCTCAGTTCAGAAGGTTTCTCAGTGTGGTTTATTTTGGTTTTTATGTGTGTCACACACTTTTCAAACTTACGCAGTTTGCTGTTTTATAAGAGATCTAATTACCGGTATTTCTTAAGGGTCCTCATGCTCATCTGTCCCTGTTTCTCTTCCTCTTTCCTCTGCCTATTTCTTTCTGAATTCCCAATTTTTAGGTTCGGGACCAGGACATCCCAGTGAAGAGAAACCTTGTTCGTGTTATTGTCAATGTGGGTGACACCAATGACAACGCACCCTGGTTCATCGGCACACCTTATTCTGGCCGTGTGTTTGAATCTGCAGCCGTTGGCACAGCCGTACTGCAGGTCACTGCTCTAGACAAAGACAAGGGCCATAACGCAGAGATCCTCTACAGCATTGAATCAGGTAAACACAAAGTTGCTGTGCCACTCTTGCTGAGCCAAAATCTGAGCCCTGGGTTTTGTGTTATGTTAGAAAGCCGTCATTGTAACCTAATGCAAATGAAATCAGCTCGTAAAAATGTATGAGTCATCTGGAGTCCTGCAGCCCACTGGAACTTGATCATGAATGGAATACTTTACAAAGAGTGGGAGAATATTGAAGACTTTGTCTAAGGGTCTTTAAATACGTGGGAGATGGGCAGATCCCCGCTCAGAATTTCCCACGATGGCTTTTTATTACAATAAGCTGCTCTATGAGAACAAGAAACTTGCAGCTATTAGCTTTTTGTTGGGATCTGTGCATATTTAACATAGCTGAAATGACTCAGAGTATCCCCTTGTTTTAGTCAAATTATGGGCTGAGGATGTTTTGACTGAAAAGGAAATTAGCATTTCTGACTATTGGGCTGTGGTAAAGTGTTTGGTAAAAGAGTTCAATGTCTTTATTTCAGAGTTAGATATGATGGAATTGAAATCACATCCACATTAGTAAATAATTCTTCTGTCTGTTCTTCCAGGAAATTTTGCAAACTCATTTGCCATCGACCCTGTTCTCGGGACCATAACAGTGGCCAAAGAGCTCGACCGCAACAGCAAGACCCAATTTGAACTCACCGTTAAGGCATCCGACAACGGATTATCTCCACTGTCAACAACAGCCACTGTGCACATCGTGGTGACAGTCTCTGACAATGCAGCCCCCAGATTCACTGAAAAAGAGTTCTCTGCAGAAGTCAGTGAATCAGCCCATCCTGGAAGTTTTGTGAGCTTGGTGACAGCTGTCAGCCAGTCTTCCATTTTCTACCAAATCAGAGGTGGCAACATAAACAACGCTTTTGACATAAACCCAAACTCTGGAGTTGTTGTGACCCAGAAAGCTTTGGATTATGAGACCGTCCCCCAGTATGTGCTGATCATCCAGGGAACCAACATGGCTGGACTTTCTCGCAACACTTCACTTCTTATTCATCTGAAGGATGAAAATGACAACGCTCCGGTCTTCCTCCAGAGAGAATTCAAAGGAGTAATCAGTGAGTCAGCCCCCATCAACAGTGTCGTTCTGACTCCAGAAAACACCCCTTTTGTCATTCGTGCCACTGATGCTGATTGTGACCAAAATGCCATGCTCATCTACCAAATTGTTGAACCCTTTGCACATAACTACTGTGCCATCGACTCAAGCACCGGAGCGATCAGGATCACAGCAACTTTGGATTATGAGCAGAGGAATGTTTTCCGCTTCACAGTCCAGGTCCACGACTTAGGAATGCCACGCCTGTTTGCTGAGTCAGCAGCCAACGTGACCATTGAAGTCATTGATGTGAACGACTGCCCTCCAGTTTTTAGCCAAGATCTGTATGAGGCGACCATCATAGTTCCAACATACAAAGGGGTAGAGGTCATTAAAGTCAACGCAACAGACTCTGACTCTGCGCCTAACTCCAGACTCCTCTTCTCCATCTCTGAGGGTAATATTGGTGAGAAATTTCAAATGGATCCAATCACTGGCATTATCTCAATTCAGAATGTCACACAGCTCAGGAGCAGATATGAATTAAAGGTTAGGGTTTCTGATGGCAGATTCGCCACTGTAGCTACAGTGAAGATAAATGTGAAAGAAAACAAAGAAAGTAAACTGAAGTTCACGAGGGAGACTTATAAAGCCTACGTCCGAGAAAACTCATCTGAAAAGAAAAGACTTAAAGTTGTTGCTGTTGTTGGGAACCAGGTAAACGAGCCTTTGTTTTTCAAAATCTTAAACCCCGACAGCCGCTTTGAAATCAGCCGCACATCTGGAGTGATCTCTACCACTGGAATCCCCTTTGATCGAGAAACTCAGGACACCTTTGATTTGGTTGTTGAGGTCACTAGAGAGGACAAATCTGAAGAAGGGGCTCATGTTCTTGTAACTGTGACGGTGGAAGATGAGAACGACAACAAACCTATGTTCGTCAACCTCCCCTATCATGCCCTTGTCCAGATGGATGCAGAGGAAGGCCAAGTCATTCGCCAAGTTACAGCAGTGGACAGAGACCTGGGCCCGAATGCAGATATCCATTACAGCCTGAAGGAACACCAAGAACATTTTGAAGTAAGCCCCTCTGGTGAAATCTCTGTCAAAAAGAAATTTGAGACAGAGTCGCTTAATGCAGACTTTGTCATCATTGTTATAGCGAAGGATAATGGAGAGCCAGCACTCTCAGCAGAAGTGGAAGTGCCAATAACAGTGGTTAACAAAGCAATGCCTGTGTTTGAAAAGCCTTTTTATAGCATTGAAATCCCTGAAAACATCCAGTTACACACACCAGTGCTTCACGTTCAGGCAAATGATTCTGAAGGCCCTCGTATTGTATACACCATCTCTGAGGGAGACCCTTTCAAGCAGTTCTCAATAGACTTCAACACAGGTGTCATTCATGTGGTTCAGCCTCTGGACTTTGAGACACATCCTGCGTATAAGTTGAATGTAAGAGCCACAGATTCCCTGACTGGAGCCCACTCTGAAGTGTTTGTTGATATCATTCTGGAGGATGTTAATGACAATGCCCCAATGTTTCTGTCCAAGTCCTACTACGCCAACATCTCTGAGGCCTCTGTCATTGGTACTTCTGTTTTGCAAGTAGACGCCAGGGATCTTGACACGGGAAACAACCAAGAAGTGTTCTTTCAGCTGGTTGAGGAAAAAGGGAAGAGTTCAGAGTATTTCAGCATTGACCGTGACACAGGGGTGATCTCCACATCTCAAGTTGTCGATCACGAGGAGATCCAACAGCACGAGTTGAAAGTGCGAGTTGTAGATGGAGGCGTCCCAGCCCTCTCAAGTGAAGTCATTGTGACGATTGACGTCACAGACTTGAATGACAACCCTCCCGTGTTTACAGAGCAAACTTACAGAAGTACCATCAGCGAATTGGCCCCACGTGGGCACTTCATCACCCAAGTCCAGGCGTCTGACGCTGACAGCTCAGACAAAGACAACTTAGAGTTCTCCATTATCTCCAGCAATGAGGACCAGAACTTTTCCATTGACAAAAAAACAGGCGCTATTGTCATTTCCAACCATCGCAGGCCTCATATGCAGCCCCTGTACAACCTCAATGTTTCAGTGTCGGATGGTGTATTCAGAAGCTCAGCACTTATCGTGATAACAGTTATTGGCGCCAACTTCCACAATCCAACTTTCTCTCAGGAGGAGTATGTGGTTGAGCTTGTTGAAAACTCACCTGTTGGAACCTTGGTGGCAGAAGCGAAGGCGACAGATGATGACGAAGGCGTTTATGGGCAAATATCCTACCAAATTGTCAATGACTTTGCAAAAGACAAGTTCTCTGTCAATGAAGATGGTGAGATCTTTACTTTGGAGAGTCTTGATCGTGAGAATACAGTCGAGAAGGTTATTCCAATTTCACTTGTAGCTAAAGATGGTGGTGGAAAAGTTGGCTTTTGTATAGTCAATGTAATCCTCACAGATGTCAACGACAATGCCCCACAATTCAGAGCGGCTGAATACAAAGCCACCATTTCATCAGACGTCCCGAGGGGAACCTCTGTGGTTAAAATTGCTGCTTCAGACATGGACGAGGGTAGCAACGCTGACATTGAGTACTCCTTAGAAGCAGATGTTGACAGTGTGGAAGAGAACTTTGAAATCCACCCAACCTCCGGGGTCATCGTCACCAAAGAAAGTCTCATTGGACTTGAAAACGAGCTCTATGCATTCTTTGTCAGGGCAAAGGATACTGGGAATCCACCCAAATATTCGGTTGTGCAGGTTTACATCAGGATCGTTGCACCTGAGATGCCAATTCCCAAATTCACTGAGCCACATTACCGCTACACGATCGCTGAAGACCTTCCCATTGGCACAGAGATTGACGTGATTCAGGCCCAGAGTGAGCAGCCAGTTGTGTACAGCCTTGCCAGAGGGAACACCCCTGAAAGCAACGAGGATGAGGTGTTTGTTGTGGACAGAGACAGCGGGGCCTTAAAGCTCCAGAAGAGTCTCGACCATGAGATGACCAAGTGGTACCAACTGACATTGCTTTGCCAAACCAAGCAGGAAAACTTTGATGTTGTGGCTTCAGTCAATGTTAACATCCAAGTCAAAGATCTAAACGACAACAAACCTGTTTTTGAATCAGACCCTTACGAGGCTGTCATTGTGGAAAACCTCCCAAGCGGGACTCAAGTGATTCAAGTCAAAGCCAACGACCAAGACTCTGGAACCAACGGCCATGTTGTGTACAGCCTGGACCCAAAGCAGAACTCACAGGAGATCTCTGAGCTGTTTGCTGTCAACAGTGAAACCGGATGGATCACCACGTTGAAAGAGCTGGACCGGGAGAAAATGAACAAATACACAATCGCAATCCTCGCCACAGACCAAGGAGACAAAGTCCAACACAGCACTGGCACCAGAGTGGAGGTTATAGTCGCAGATGTGAACGACAACCCGCCGCGCTTCACTGCAGAGATCTACAAAGGCACAGTCAGCGAAGATGACCCTCCTCCCAGCGGGGTGATCGCCATCCTCAGCACCACAGACGATGATTCTGAGGACATCAACAAACAAGTGAACTACTTCATCACAGGTGGGCGTTTATTATTTTGCAGAACAGATAATTAGCGAGCCACGAGAGTTTACTCCCTGCTTCTTTGTGTAAGTTTTCATAAACAGAGCTCAGAGGGGATTATCCGTTTATGCCACTTAATGTGATGATAATATCTCATCTTTGAAACATGACGCAGTCCTATTATCTGTTAGGAGTCTGAGTTATCGCCTAATCTTCTGAAGCTCAAGGCAAATATTTAGGTCATCAAAATACAGAAATGAATAATTATCTGAATCATGCTTTGAACTGAGCTGGGGAAAAATACTTCCTCTGGTGCTGATTTAAATGTGTGAATAACTAAGCCGAGTCTGAAAACATCAAGAGGAGTTAAAATCCAGCAAATGTGAAATTCTTGTAGGTTTTGTGTCTGTTTTAATTTGCAGGACTGCTTGTCTGCAAAACATGTTGGACTAAGATGCTTTGATTTACAGACATATTAAATAAAGAGATATTTTAGTGATGTATTGGAGAATGTGTAAAATTAGGGCAGTGGTAAAATTCAGTGCCTCTCTTGTTGATTATTTTAAAGAGGTTTATTTCTCTCTGACACTGAGCAGGAGGGGACCCACTCGGCCAGTTTGCCATTGAGCACATCCAGAATGAGTGGAAGGTCTCTGTCAGGAAGCCCTTGGACCGTGAAGAGAAGGACAATTATCTACTTAACATTACTGCCAGTGATGGCATCTTCACCGCCAAAGCCGTCGTGGAGGTCAAGGTACTGGACGCGAATGACAACAGCCCCGTGTGTGAGAAGGTAAAGGAATCTTTCCCTCGACTTTGCTGTGCCTTCAGTGTTTCATTTCAGCTTTTTTGTGCCGTTTTCTTCCCCGTTTCAAACTTTAATTTCCTTCTCTTCTCCATTTTTTTTCACACTTCATCTGTCCCACAGTCCTTATACAGCGAGAACGTCCCAGAGGACTCCCCAGCCGGCAGGCTCATCTTGCAGGTCTCCGCCACAGATGCTGACATCCGCTCAAACGCCCAGATCTCTTTTGAGCTCCAGGGAGTTGGATCTGAATTGTTCAGCATTGACTCTGTTACAGGTGTGTATGTGTGCGTTTACAGGTAATGAATAGATATGTGTCAGAAAAGTGCTGCAAGTACCAACAGTGTAAGTGAATCCATTATATTGTTTCATGATTTATATCTTTGTATTTCTTTCAGTCCTGAAAACTCTACAGATCCACAATCAGGGGTGGGAAGTATCAGTTTATAAAAAGTCATCATACAGTTACTTAGTAGCTTTTCTGTGTACTTTTTAAGGAATTTCCAAAATCAGCCTTTTTATTTCTGCATTACTGTGGCACACATTTTACTTCTTTACATTTTAAACTGCATTTACTGCTGAATGAAAAAAAACGAAGGGGAGAGGCCAGAAGTGTTCACGCCTGGCATCATTTGTGTCACTGCAGGCTTGTGGGCTGATAAATGTTAGTTCACCTTACCAAAAGGAAATAGCTAACATTTAGCAGAGAAGATCATGCATGCTCGTGTTGAAATCACAGCAAGAAATAATCTTGCAAAGTTAGAAACCCTAACCCTAACCCTAACCTACAGGTTTGCCCCACCAGAGTCACTAACTTATCAGTGCAACCTTTTCCTAAAAGAGCCTGCACCTCTGTCCAACCATAGTAAGATAGATAATGAGAAACAGCTTGATTTTTATTAGTGTGAGACTTCCTCCTCGCTGGACTGTTAACAGTCAAGACTTAACGCTATGACTTGTTGAAGGGGGGCCTCGTCTAAAAGTGCCAAACCACCCGTGAAAAACAGTGCAACAAAATGATTCAATAACTTCAAATCGGATGGGTTAAGAAAATGGCTTCACACACTGATGCTCTAATATTGGTTATACCTCATTTGTTAGCTAAGGGAGACATGCTTTTACATAAATACATGAATTTTGTTTTTCTCTATTTAAGGTAAACTTGAAGTACCTCCAGCTCTCACTTCACTATAATCTCAGACTTGTGGTTTCACTTGAATACAGTAACTGTACCTTTATTTATTATTGAAAAGACATTTCACTCTTTCCATTCATGCTCACAGCTGACATTGAGTTGAATTGCATTCTAGCTGTGGTACGGGTTATCTAAAGAGTCTGGAAACAGCATGTAAAAGAATCTAATAAAAGACTATTTTCACTCTTCACTTCTAACCACAAAGCTCAGCATGACAGCAGTCTTTTGGCTGCACTTGAAAGATTTAGCATTATTATCCCCCCTGCATTGTTGAGGTTTTTTTCCATGATTATTTGTGCTTCTGAAGGTGTGTGAATCATTATCAGCAGCAGAGGTGGCGCGCATGTTTTCTTCTGCTCGGTTGTTATTTACTTATTAAATTTTAAAAGCCCCAACAACATTTCCCTGCAGGGCAACCGGGAGACTCACAGCAGCACTAAAATACAGAGTTGTGCACTGAAATTGAATTTATGACGGTTATACTTCTTGCCTGCAAATAATGTCTCGCCTCTTACTCATATGTTCCATCTGGCCCCGAGGGTGAGGTGAAAAAAGAAAGGAGAAATAAAAGTAGCCTGTTAATTACCACCAAACTGATTAGAAAATACATGCTCAGCCTGAAGATTTAAACAGCTCGACAACGCAGCTGCCAAACTTCTGCAGAGATTTACTCACACAACAGCGGACGTGAGGCCACAATGTCACAGAGCTCTCTTTCTGGCAACTCTTGATGTTTGATTTCAAGCAGCAGCGCTACTGTTACGAAGAGGGTATGTTATAGACTTTTTACAGTGTAGACAAGTTGTATTATTGCAGATGAGGACCGCCAACAGACTCCGGAGTTTTCCAGAGAGATTGTGGTAATGTTGGCTGCCTTACATTTCAGGACTCTTCCAAGCTGCTCTCAGCTTGCCAACCCTGATGGTTTCCTTCATCAGCCTACTCTCTTCTCCCATTTTCTCTTCTCTCTTCTAGTACTTCAATTACTTATTTATTCACCTCCTATCTCTCTCTCGCTCTCTCTCTAAAGCCATTAGTTGTTCGGATGTTTTATGCTTGGTTAGTGGACAGTAGAGAAGGAGCTTCGAGTGCCAAAGAGCATGCATGCTTTTTCTTTTAAACTTAATCTCTGACTAAATTGCCTCCACAGATTTTGTAGCTGTGTGTAAATTGAACCGTTTAATGATATTCAACTCCTAAACTGCATCCTCTCTGTTCTTACGTATGTTTTCCTGCGTATTTTGCTCAAAATTGTTCTTCCACGTCTTTAGGGGAGTTGAAGACCTTACAGCCTTTGGACCGAGAGGAGCAAAGCCAGCACAGGTTCAAAGTTCGAGCAGTGGACGGAGGCGGCCGGTACTGCGAAGCCGACATCCACATCACTGTGGAAGATGTCAACGACAACCCGCCGCAGTTCTCATCCGACCCCTACACCATCACTGTGTTTGAGAACACAGAGACGGGCACTTTTGTGGCAAAACTTCAGGCAAATGATGTTGATACGGGTGAGTCCTGAAGCACTCTTAACAGTTGTTAACTAAGAGAGAAAAAGGCTGGAGTCCTAAAGCTTTTAATGCCCGGTTAGAAAAAGTAAGGCAGTATAGTAGTTTAGAGTCTAGTTTGTTTAATAACAGCAAATGTGAGATTTCCATTTGCATATAAAAGCCTAAAGAGGAAAAAAACATCTTTGTGTCAATGTGGTTAGATTCTTAGATTTGTCTTTGCTCTCTATTCCAGCTGAGTATGTGAATATGTATCCACCTGATGATGCTACCAAAATAGCAACACTACTTTCAACATTGTTAAAGCATAAAAATGTTAAAGCAGAGATGCTGCAATATTGTCAATTATTTTAAAGCTGCGATTTAAGTGATGCCTTTCCATGATAAACAAAAGCAAACCAGACAATTAGATAATGAAAGTTGTGTAAGGGGGGTAGGTGTAGATGGAAACAGCCCTGTTTTTACATTTTCCTCATAATATACTCACAATAAACTAACCATCAAAAATCAGCAGAATGAGGTTTCTTCGTCAAAAGACACTAGAGCATTTGAAGGACAAGACAAGCAAAGACTGTTCTGTCCGCAGGGTTCCTCACAGGAGCTTTAGAAAAAATAAAAATCATGGAAATACTTATTTTTATATCCATAATTAGACAGGGTCAGTGAAAGAAAATTGACAAAATTAACTGATTTGAACAGCTGTCTTGGTCCAGTTTAATCGAATGCATAAACTAAGCTCCCTTAACAAATTCTATATCAATATCTATGTATATATACAGTATAAGGCAAACTCACTAATAAAGTCAAAGTGACTTCATCAGAGGTTAATGGTGAGCAGCAGGATTTAATGATACAGCTCACATAAAGTCATGCATTAAATAACCATGGCGTTAATGTAGTATGAAACAGGTCTTTTTGATGTAAGGTGGAGCTTATTTTGCTGCTGGATGTGCAAACGTATCAGCTGTTGTTATCTGCTTGTTAGGCTAACACCAGTTAATGAGTTAATGAGAAGCACCAAGTCCAGCTGAGTATTCAGTGTCTCCAGCTGGAAAGCCTGTAAAACACCCATGCAAAAATTAGCCCTGGGCAAGAAAAGAGCAGCATCCTGAATTTGGTTTTGATAAACTACCTAAAATGTCTAAACACACTGTAATTAAAAAAAAAAATATTGGTCTATCAAGTAACCAAATACATGCCTGTGTTTGAAAAAGTCAACAAGTACTTGTGCTGTGAGTGAGTAATGATTTAGATTGTGTTAGATAAATATCTGAGAGCCCCTACGAGGCAAAACAAAGCATTAGTGCAGCACTTGACTAACAAGTGCCAATACATTATGCTCCAAACACAGTTAATGGCAGAAATGCTTTCCTTAAGGTCACATAAAGACAGGCGAGTGTGATTCGAGAATAAACCTTTAATGGAGTTTTAATCAAGGCGGCGTTCGGAAAACATACACATCTCTGCTAAACACTGAATCACAATTCAGAGGTTATTATCTCTCCTTTCTCAAGCTGCATTACGCTAAATGGCAAGAGGGAGGGATAACAAATGTGGAATTTCATGAATGATCAACCCTTCAAATTAAAAGCTCCATTACACTCTAATGAAATTCTTCTCTCTTCTTGCCGAATTCTCTAAAGGGCTGATTGCAATTTTCTATTTGCCTGGTGCAAAGCCACAAGGCCATATTATTTATCTCAGGGGTCTTCATCTTCAAGCAGTCATTCCCAAACACAGAGAGGTTCACGCGTGGATAAGACTGAGAACTAAAACCGCCCTGTTAAACAGCCGTTTAAGCGCCTTGGGACTTTATCCCGGAAGCTATTGGCCCTGCCGCTCCAGATTACACGTTTCGTTTATTGGAGCAGGACATTCTGGCTTACGGAAACATTTCAGCCTGTTCACTCTTTTTTTTTATATTCCCCGTTTTCAGGTCCTTGTTTTGGGGCGGACTGACAGCTTGACAGAATAAAAGCGAAGCTCAAATTGGGCCCTTCAGAGTAAAACGTTAAATGCTAAAAGGAAGGCGCTGGTATTAAGACATTTTTTCTGCCCTTAGGCCTTTTCTGGTACAAAATATGCTACAGTTCTTGACTATCAAGGATAAGGAGAGGAGACTTGAAGGAGAGGTGTGGGGAAAAAGGTGCTCCCTGCTGTTTTGCAATAATCATTTGGAGTTGCAGCGAGTGAAAGCGGAGGGCGGTTTGATTAGTAGTCCTCTCACATGTGTGGGAATGGCACACTTTGACTGATCTCTCTAATTTGTCCGTCTTGTATTTGTTGTTTTTGGTGGAAATATCAAGCAGCGTTCAAAAATAGCCATTATAGCTTTGACTCAGCTCACTCCAGTCCACCAAAGATGTGACCCTCATCTCAAACTGCTGCTTAGAGAAGTCTCCTGCTTTATCTTCCATTCATATTTCACTCAGGACCTGTTCTTGGCGCTGGCTGCTTCTGTGCCACGGCCTGTATGATCTGTCTCCCATTTGGCTGGAAGATGTTTGATACTCACCCACATTACAGCTTCTCTGTTCAGACTCTGAAAAGCAGCACTTATCAGAGAGGAATAGTTATGAACCTAGACAGAAAAGCACACCCAAACTGCTGCCCTTGATGCCTGATAAACTTGAAGTTATGCAAGCTCACATTCCTTCTCTGGCTCTTTTTTGTTCGTCCAGCCTGAATCGGAGTGTCTCCCTCTGCTCTCTCTCTTCTGCCTTGCTGCCGGTGTCATTCTCTCTTTATTCGATTGCTTTGTGGAGGAATTTAATCATTTTCTGCTTCTTCCACCCTGGTGCCGTGCCAGATTCATACATGTTCTTGACAATCTTTCTTCCAATACTGTGGAGGAAGATGTTCTTAAGCACCAGCTGTCCTCAGAATGAAATCTGTGTTTCTGGAGAGATCAGTTCATGGTTAGAAAGTTTGCTTTTAGCAATCATAGAGAGACTTACACGGGGGGACAAAATTTGCTTTTATACAGTCTTGCAAATTAGGATTATTTTAATTGATTATCAAATAATTATTTATAACCGTCAAAGTTATAAGACAACAAAATAAAAAAGGTCAGTTCAAATCGATGCTGAAATATCTCGTTTTATTCAACCACATGCCTAAAACTTTATAGATCAGGATTACAAGTTTTTCATCAAGCAAAGTGACTTGGATTAATATGAAAACAGCTGCTGCACTCGTGTGCAAATAAGGCTAATTCTGACAGATAATCTTCCTGCTTTACCCCCAAACGCATATAAACATGATTAATATGCAGAGAATTTGATCACTAATCAAGACCACTTAGTTGACATTTGATAAACATGTCAGACTGACATTAAAGCTCTTCTGAGGACTCTTTGAAACACTCTGAAATCAATACTAAAACCTCCGTCCTCTTCAACAGCAAACCAGTAACCAGGCTCAGTTATTTCTGTTCGGTTGTTTTATATCCTGGTCATCTCAGCTGCCTCATCTAGCTGACATGATAGTGAGCAACTGCAGGAGTAATCAAGCTTTAAAGCTCCTTTGGGGAACTTTTGGTTTATGTCAGTTTTGGCACTCCCATGTGGACAAAGCTATCTTTGCTTGTCTTGTTCTCTACAGAATATTGTATTAAACTGTCCCTTTAAGAATTTAAATTCAATAAATAAAAAAGAAAGACTTTAGGAAGTTACCTTTTTTTTTTTTTTTTTACAAAGGAGGGCTCCAAATCCGTGCAACCCAAAAGTTCAACACTGGAGCTTTTAAGAAAGCTTTTGCTTATTTTAGTATTTTTGATTGATTTGTCTGCTGTTTATTGGGCCTCAGAGACCATTATAATCTATTTTTTTTCTTGCTTTCATAATAAAATCTTAAATATTTGAGCTCACAGCTTCGCTACAAAAAAAAGTTTAAAAGTCTCAGGTATCTGATTTTTTTTTCAGCTGCCATTCAATAACTTCAGAACACTCAGGCTAAAAATCACTAATGACGGAAAAATAAAACTACCCACTTATTTTCTGTCCATCAGTTGATACTCCAGCTCTTCCAAGAACTGAAACAAACTTACACTTTCAAACTAACCTGTATGAGTTAGGGATTCACCAGTCTGATATTTTGATTGGATATCGTCTCCGATATTGACAAGTTAACTGGATCCAATATCTGATGAATGACGCCGATCCAGCGTTCCCATCCAGTCTTTTATTTTCTTTAAATTCATTTTTCTTTTAGTACACGGAAGTCTTACTTCTTTTTGCTGTGTGCTAATGTGCAATTTGTTAATAGATAATATTAAGTAAATTTATATCCTTATTAATTTATTACCTTTTTTTAACAAGACTAATGTCAAGCCTGATACCTTCATTCACAGGGCAAGATATACAGTTCATTCATTCAACAGTAATATGGGATCGGTATCAGATATTGGCCAATACGCTCAGCCCAGGTATTGGTATCAGATTGGATCATAAAAAAATGGATTGGTGCATCTTGAGTATGAGTCAAAACAGCCAATCCAGTTTCAGCACAATTCACTTAACCACCATTAAGCAATCACCTCAAGGATGATGGGATCCGATGAAAGTGATGGGGATGGAATGAGCCGGCTTCCCTGTGGTAGAGTCTGTTCAGCGGGATAATAGGATCCACAGAGGACAGGGGCACTTACCTGATAAATGGGAATATGATAGCGTATTTCAAATGGTGGCCACCTGCAGAAAGGCGTTATGATTATTATTGTGATCCGTCTCTGTCTTGTTGCTTGGAGCGTCTTGCTAGTGGGAGGACATGAGTTATGAGGATGGCAGGGATTAGACGGTTACAGCACCTGTTTATCAGCGGCTCGGTGAAAGATGGATGTTTTGGAACGAGAATGGAAGGTGACACTTTTAATCATTCAAGAATCAATAAGTCAATAGAAGAATCAATACGCTTGTTCACGCCCTGTGCTTAACGGAGTGTTTCTCTTGATGGGGCGATCAATCTTCGTGATGAGCACACATTTCATTTGGATGTGTGTCTGAAATCAACAGACATCAACAGACAATCTTAGGTTGAGAGTTGTAAAGACGAGATCCTTGTTTGGGAGACAGCCCTGATTTCCCCTCTCTCCTTCATTCCAGGTGTGAACAGCAACATCCTCTACTCATTGGTCGATTCTGCGGATGGATTTTTCTCCATTGATGAGCACACCGGTGTAATGAGCCTGGAGCGTCCCCTGGACCGCGAGGTGCAGTCCACATACGAGCTGAAGGCTCGTGCCAGTGACCAGGGCTCTCCACGCCTCTCCACGCTGTGCCAGGTGGTGATCTCCGTCCTGGACATCAACGACAACCCACCGGTGTTTGAGCACAGAGAGTATACAACCACAGTGTCTGAGGACGTGGCAGTGGGCACTCAGCTGCTCAGAGTGCAGGCAGCCAGCCGGGACACAGAGGCCGGCGGAGAGATCTCTTACAGCATCATCAGTGGGAACGAGCACGGCATGTTCAGCGTGGACCCTCGCACTGGTAAGTAGTTTCCTAACGGCTCTTACTGTGCTGAAATTTGGGACTACTTCTACTGTAATCATATTTGTTAGGTAATTAGAAAAACAACAAAAAACTTCACCAGATAAAATGTACTTTTCTTTTACTCAAACCAGAGTTTGTAGAGTTTGGTGCATTTTCACCCATCAGCTCAATTTGTTACAGCTAACCCTCCTCTTACTTTCATTTCCACAGCCAAGTATACTGTCTGGCGCTTCACACATGAAGCATGTTGGCTGTGCGACAGCTCCAGAATAGCTCCATTTTCATGTCGGAGTGTTTGTCCAAAAATCAGGCTGTACAGACCGCTGTTGTGAGCAGTGAGTCTCGCACATCCAAAATCTAAAAAATAAGGCTTGCCTATTTTTTTTGTATGAGCCACAGTCGGCTCTCGGCCAAAAGAGACAGAGAATTGATAAGTTAAGGGCGGTATGGGCTCTGCATCAGCTATATTTATGTCAAGGCATTAAAGATATAGCACACAAGCACTTTGAAAATACTTTCAAAGCATTAAATTTTTCATTGGAGAGACTACCCGGGAAGAAAGAACTTGTTTAGCACTTTCTTCAAGACTTGAATTATACTGGGCTTTGCTGCAGACGTAGGGAGATGACATATATATGCCTGAGGAAATGTTCAACTCTTATTCTAGCAATTGTAACAGAATACTGTCAAATCATTATTGGTAACTGTTCAGTTTGATTAGTTTAGTCAAATTTGATTTCTTTATTTATGTATTCAGTCATTTAGTTTTCTAATCCTCTGGGAAAGAGATAACACACATGCTTTTCTTGAACAAAAGAATTCAACAGCGATATCTTTGAATGTGGAGTTCAGCGTCCTCAGACTCATCGCCCATACCATCTTACATTTGTTGAGTCTACACACTCTGCATTCCTGTCTTTACCGTATCACAGCATCACGTTAAGTAACTATTCTGACAAACAACAACAAGAATGCACTTATCATCAAGCTGCCCCAGACTTACCGCGTGTAGAGACATTTTTTTGTTTGAAAAGCTCTCCACTAATTCGTCTTCACTGAATTGCGCTGAAATTTTAAGAAACGTCCCACTGTTTTGACTCGGCGGGGATTAGTTATCAGCTTCAACACAACACCAAAGGAAATAAACAGGGAACTGTTCTGTTGTCTGGCTGCAAGCGAGTGAAAACAGCTGAGCTGAGCAGAAGGTCTAAATTTCAAATGAGTGTAAATGATGGATGACGGCTTGACTTCTGCTCCGTGGTGCATGTCAGACAAAAAGGTTTGCATGTGGAGTTCAAACCTGTTTAAGAAGTCATGATAGAAAAGGACGAAAGCGCTAGATTTTATATGTCGGTTAACACTGATGTGTCAATTCTCTGAGTATCCTTTCCCCCTCTGTCTTTCCTTTTTTTCTGTAGGTGACATCTTCGTGATTGAGCCGTTGGACTACGAGGTGTCCCATGAATACTACATCACCATCGAGGCTACAGATGGTGGCTCGCCGCCGCTCAGCGATATGGCCACTGTGAACATCAACCTGACTGACACTAATGACAACAAACCTGTCTTCAGCCAGGACGTCTACACAGCCGTCGTCAGCGAGGACGCCGAGCTGGGAAAGATCGTGATGACGGTAAGAAGACACACCAATGGACACGTTTTCATTGAGAGGTTGTTGGAAAAAGACGACATAATGAATCTAAAAGTGCCTGCAGAGTGAAAAACCGCTCCTCCGCTCTTTTAGGTTTCCTTTAGTCTGCTCACCTTCTCCCTCAGCCCCTCATTTCCTCCCTTGCTGCCTCTCTCCTCTCTGCCCATTACTCACTGCTTACACTATCACATATCAGCACCTGTGGCAAATCACCATCTGGTGGCACAGCTAAATTAGCACCAATGCTCTTCATGCTCACTGGCTCTCTGTTCTCGAGCATTGTCTGACACGCATATTCAAGCAGCTTTAACTTAAAGGCCTTTGACTCATTAAGCACCTCGCCACGATCAGCCTTTCTCTACCTTCTGCATGTCAAAATTTCACCCAAACTATTTCGGTATGCCCTCCCTGCTCCCTTCTTCTCATAAAAGACCTCTGCTTATGGCCGTTAATCTGTGTCTAATGTACCTGAATATAAATTATACATCGGGAAATTTGATTTTAATACCTGTCATTGTCTCCTACTTGTAAATCTTCTCTGTCTGATGATTTCCCAGAGGATGCCTTTCAATATGTGATGGTTGGGGGGTTTTAGGACTCTGTCTGTGTGTGTGTGTGTGTGTGTGTGTGAGTGTGAGTGTGAGTGTGGAGGACGGGAGAAAAGGTTTTATGCATAAAAGAACTTGCAAATGGGCCCAAGCTAGCCATGATTTCAATTGCAGAGTGCTCTGCAAGTAACTTCCAGAGTACCGTATTTTCCGGACTATAAGTCGTACTTTTTTCATAGTTTGGATGGATTTGCGACTTATACTCAGGAGCGATTTATATATATTAAAAGTTTATAATTTCACATATTTGTTATTATCACACTAACAGCCGCTAGAGGGCGCTCTGTTCAGAAGTGACACTTAGGATGAAGAATTTGTTGGATTTAGTGATTTGGAGTGAGATGGAGAGTTTGGTAAACTCGTTTTGTCATGTTCTTTATATACTATAGTTATCAGAATAACTGTTAATCTGTTACGTTTGCGTACCAGACATGCATTGAGTTTGTTGTTTATGCTTCATGTAGCTGAATAACCACCAACATGCTACGTTAGCATACCGTACACCTATCCAGCCTGTTCTCTATTCTGTTATTATTATTATAACCTGCTTTTTAAGATGAAATAACTATTCATGGTCTTGTATTTTGTGAAATAAATACTCCCCCAAAGATGTGACTATACAAGTATATGTTTATTCTTCTTCATTATGCATTTTTTGGCTTTTTTTTTTACTTATACTTCGGTGCGATTTATAGTCCGGAAATTGCGGTATCTATATTTTTCTGTCTCAGAAATGTCAGAAATAACTAAAAAAAAGTCTCGTCTCCTTGATTTAATTGTCTGATTGATTCATAGGTGATGGCTGAGGATTTAGACGGACCCTCTTACAGTCACGTGCGGTACTCCATCGTGGACGGCAACCAGGGCAGCCCGTTCACCATCGATCCAGTCAGAGGAGAGCTGAAAGTTGCTCGCCAGCTGGACAGAGAGCGAGTAAGACAAACAGCAGATACAACGCTGACTGTACACAGAGTTGAAACCACAGAGGAACTAATTGCACTCTATGCAGAATCCAATCAGAGTCATGTCAGGCCTAATAGGGAAGCTTGTTTACTGATCTCGGCCGCTTTATTGCTTACAAAAGCAGCTTTGCTTGTATGCTAATTCTCCCCCCTCTGTGTCTCAGACTTCTGGGTACACTCTGATGGTGGTCGCCTCAGACAACGGGGTGCCCTCGCTTTCCAGCAGCAGCAAGATCAACATCGACATCTCGGACGTCAATGATAACCCCCCGCTCTTCTCCCAGGCTAACTACAGCCTCATCATCCAGGTGAGAGAGTGGGGAAAATGGGGTCAGCGTGGAAGGGTGGAAGGCTGGTTAGAGGCGGAGCAGGAAAGAACAAGGAGAAAGAGAGGCAGAGAGGTACCGGGGGTTGCAGTGGACACAGAGAGGGGGATTAACAGGGAGAAATAATGGGAGACTAGTGTGCGACTAGAATGTCAAGAAGCGGGGAGGAGGAAGGATAGAGGTAAGGACAGGGGAGGAAGGAGGAGGTGGTGAGGAAATGGGAAGACAGAGGCTGCATCTTAAGTATGAGAATGCAGACAAGGGATGAAAGTGGGAATGTAAAGATCGTAAGCTGATAGAGGATGAGGGAATTTGGAAAAACAGACAGATAAAGAAGACACACCTGAATCGCGGTTTGGTAGATCAAAAGAAGGGAAAAAAATACTGGTTTTAAAAGTAGGAGGGCAAATGATTCATTTCCAATTTTCCTGTCCGTTTAGAAAACTAAAACAGCAATTTAAGAGAGGCTGTGAGGAGGCACGGTACACATTTCAGACAGCACTAGCACTTCAGGATAAAACGTTGTTTTGACTTTGTAAAAATCCTGACTGGCTTTATTTCACTGGCTGTGGAGCCTTGATCAAAGTGAAGCACAAAATCACACTAAAGCAGAACAAGACGGGAACACGGCGCGCATATTGTACACAACAGCAGGAATATCCAAAGGTCGTTTTTCAGTGCCGGATAATTAAAGTGAGTTTGGAGTCAGGACCTTAAGAGTCAACAGAAAGGACAGATCTGAAGCCGCTTCAGGGACACGCAAAAAAAAAAAAAGAAAAAACACAAAGCTTTTACTGTGAAACTGACATGCTGCTTTGACTGGAGCTCATCTCATCTCTGCAACTCAAAGTCACAACGTCCAGGACCAGCTGCTGGACAAGGTCAACTTACAGACACCAGCACAAGAATCATAACAAGAGACGATAAAACCATGATCAGAACTAAACACGAATCTCTTCAGCAGAAATAATTGGAGGTTTTATCTTCATAGTAGTGTACAAAGTGACAGGATGTTATGTTAGAGGTGTCAAAAAACTTGCTTTTCTCAGAATTTTGGATTAAAAGTCAGAATACTGTTGCTGTCTTCAAAATGTGTCCAGAAGTTAAAATTTGTTCGTTTTTAGCTGAAAAAAATGGACATGAGGTTCCAATTCAGCCAAACTCTGTGAGTGCAGGTCTCACGTCGAAGAGGTGAATCATTGTCAAACTTGATGCAGCTCAAGAGTTTGAGGAGAACTTCCTCCTCTCACCACAAATATTAAACATTACCCTCTTCTCTATCCCACAGGAGAATCAACCGAAAGGCGCAAGTGTTCTCCAGCTCGCCGTGACCGATCGCGACGCATCCCACAACGGCCCACCTTTCACCTTTAGCATTGTGGACGGGAACGAGGGCGATGCTTTCCACATCAATCAGCAGGGAGCTCTAGTGGCCATGGGGGCGCTGAATAGGAAAAGTAAAGAACACTACCTACTCCAAGCACAGGTGAGTCACTGCGCCGGAGAGAAAGCAGAGTTGAGAGGTTGTATTGATTTAACCGTCAGGCCGCAGCAACCCGATCTATTTGTCTTCCCTCTTTTCCCTCCTTCTACCTTTTCTCTGTCACGCTCTCTCATTGCTTTCCTCACCCAGCTAGTAAATGTTGATCCATCCACCTCTTAAAATACATTCTGGGTAAAGCTTTTACCTCGTTTGAAACTCCACGTGAGACGTTGAATCGGAGCAGGCACAAAATGAAGCTGCTGCAGCAGAGTGCAGCTCACAGGAGAACCCATAAATCAAAAAGGTTTGCTTTGAGTTGGCGTGATCACGTGTGTTGATGTGTCACCTTAGAGGAGAGAACAGAGGGAAAAAAAAACAAGTGGGCAGATGGGACATGAAATGTGGGTGTGATGTCTTCCCTACATACAAGATGCGCACTCAGATTTGAGTCTGTTATTTTTTTCTCTTGCTGAGCGTATGACCATCCGTGAGAGAGTGTGAATGTTGAAAAGTCTGATTTAGACATATCCAGTTTGTTTAAATATCCACTTCACTTACAGTGCACGGTGGATGGGAGCACAGAAAGAGTGTGATTGCCCTCTGCTGTTGGGAAAATAAAGCTTGCAGATGAGGACATAGACTGTAAGAGTGCAGCTCTCTCTAATTCAGTGGTTCTCAAACTTTTTTTTCCCCAAGGCACACCAAAGGACAAGTAAAAATCTCAAGGCACACCTATTGTGCAAAATAGCCTTTATGCCACGTGTTATCACTCATATCATGGAAAATATATATATAAATGTGTATAATTATATAAATTAAATGCAACAAAGACTATATTACTCAAAATAGTGTTTTATTAATGAAATATTTCAAAAATCAATTTTAAACTTCATCAAATTAGGCTTCATCAAAGGAATAACTCACAGATTTAAACAAGACAGGTCACAAATAAAAAATGAGGCAAAGGAAACTCAGCAGAGAAAAAATGTTTTCATTCCTGCTCCGAAGCTTGGCATTTAACTCCTTAACACGCCCAAATATGTCCGCAAGATAAGCCAGCCTGGCGCAGCAGCTCTCATCCGCGAGCTTGTCCTTATGTGGAACAGCGTGTTCACGTGAACTTTCCAAAAGCTCATAAAGACAGGATAGGACTTTCCCCCCCGTGACAGGCAACATACCTCTGTGTGTGGAGGATCTGTGGTGGGTTGTCAGCGGTCTCAGCACTGGTGGTTTGTGGTTTGCTCCACACATGGAGAGAGCGCTACATTTTTCCCTCTCGTGCGTTTCTATTTTTTAATGTTTTATAATTCCCGCCTGCGCAACTGTGCAAACAGCGAAATATGTGGTTCTCGTTCAGGATGGTTTATAAGAATTGTTTTAAGGTATGGCGTTTGCCTCTGTATTAATCTGTATTAATTACCTCATTACCTCTGAATTCATATTGTTTCATCATTACTTGCTCTGCAACCACAACTCTGCATGAGCTGTTGTTGTTGTTGCTGTTGTTGTTTTAATGTTGCTGCCGTCCCCTGTCTCTCTCTCTCTCTCACCCTCGTTCTCTATTCTCTCTCCCTTACTCATTCTCTCTCTCCTTCCTTCTCCCTTGGTCTCTTTCTCTCCCCCTGCCCTCTCTCCTACTCCTCTCTCTCCCTCTCTGTATTTCTCCCCAACCCAGCAGTGGCTTGGTGGCTGTCTAACATGAGTCTGGTCTTTCCCAAGGTTTCTGCCTGTTAAAAGGAAGTGTTTTCTTGCTACTTTCACTCATGTTAGATAAGATTGGCCAAATCCCATTTTAGGTTGGGTCTTGATAATTCATCGAACAACGAGCGTAGTCTAGACCTGCTCTTTTTCTTTGGAAAGTGTTTTGAGGTAACGACTGTGGTGAATTGGCGCTATATAAATAAAACTTGATTTGATTTGATTATTATGAAATGAGTGCATACAGAGTGCTGATATTTTGAATAAAAAAAAAAAAAAAATTGTGTAGTTGTACATTGCAATAATAATGTAGGCCTATGGTTATCACAAAATCCCACGGTACACCCGGACTTGCCTCACGACACACCGTTTGGACTCTAATGCATGCTTCTCTTTGTTCTCCTCCATGTTCAGGTGTCAGACAGCGGTAAACCACAGCTCGTCTCCACCGCTTTCATCAGCGTTCGCATCATTGAGGAGAGCGTCTACCCTCCTGCGATCCTTCCTCTGGATATCTTTGTCACCACAGCTGGGGATGAATACCTCGGAGGAGTCCTGGGCAAGATCCACGCCACCGACCAGGACATCTACGACACCCTCACCTACAGCCTCGCCCCTTCTTCTTCTCCACCCTCAGACGAGAGCATCGCCTTGTTTTCAGTCTCCTCCTCTGATGGTAAAGTCATCGCCCTGCGCCCGCTCGACGTGGGACACTACCCCCTCAATGTGACCGTGACAGACGGACGCTTCACCACGGCTGCCGACGTCACCGTGCACGTTAGACAGGCGGCTCGCCAGGCTCTGGATAACTCCATCGCGGTGCGCTTCGCAAACATCGCCCCTGAGGAGTTCATCGGGGACTACTGGCGGAACTTCCAGAGAGCGCTGAGGAACATCGCTGGAGTCAGGAGGAGTGAGGTTCAGTTAGTGAGTCTGCAGCCTTCAGAGCAGGGAGATCTGGATGTGCTGCTGACTCTGGAGCGATCAGGCAGCCCGTACCAATCTCAGGAGGTAAACGCAACTATTGGACATGGTTGTTTGATGCTGAGAGTACACATGATTATGTGGTCTGTGCTGCACAAAAATATCATCAACATGATCATTATAACATCTTAATTCATCTAAATTTTGTGTGACACTTTCTGAGCCCAAAATGAAACAGACAATTTTTCTATTTTATCAGACTGATGTTGAAAATCTTTAAAACATGAGCAAAAAAGTTATACGTCCTCCCTAAGAGAGTAACAGTCATGATTATAAGTGATAAATGTGCAGACAGACAAATAGATCAGTGTCAAAATGTCAGAAAAAAAGTGACAAATTGCCTCCCAAAAAGCTCTCCTAAATGTCATCTCCATATTGTTTTTGTCCCACCAATGCTCCAAATATTCAATATACAACAAATAAACAGTAGCCCTGACATTTAGAAAACACAGCCTGTGAATTGGAGTGCAACTTACCTCAGTTTGGACGTACCAAACCGAGGTAAACTGGAGCACTGACCAAAAAACAAACAAAAGACAGAAAAAGGCGAAAATGACCCGTTCTTTGGTTTTTACCAGACGCCAAAGAGGAAGTAGTATTTTGAAGGGCTTAAAATACTTGTACAGTCACCAAATATGGTTCACAGGAGCCCAGTGGAGCGATGACAGATATGATACATGTATAGCTCTCAAAGTCATTCACTCTAACCATTTAAACTACATGTATGTGCTTCACTCAGCGTCTGCATCTTGGCCAGAGCAGATTCTGACATTGAACAAACTCAGACATGCGCAGCGATGCCAGGGCCCACTCAATTCTACCTGCCGCTGTAACTTCTCTTGGTGTTATTTCAGGTCGTCTTCCGAAAACTAAACTCCTCTGCCGCCGTCATCGAGGAGATGACAGGAGTCCGGATCGTGCGTGTGGTGCAGAAGCTCTGCGCCGGGCTGGACTGCCCGCTGCGTTTCTGCGACGAAGTCATCACCCTGGAAAAGACAGCCATGTCCACTCACAGCACGGCTCGCCTCAGCTTTGTTACACCACGACACCTAAGGACAGCAAGCTGTCAGTGTGAAGGTAGATAGACCCCTCGCCAAAGCACATTCCCACTGTTACTTTCTGTTAGAAATACTAAGAGGTAGTGTGTGTGTGTGTGTGTTTAGGTGGCAGATGTCCCGTGTTGAACAACCTGTGTGAGAGCAGCCCCTGTCCTGAGGGCATGGAGTGTGTGCCAGATCCCAAAGATCCTGTTTACAGTTGTGTTTGTCCAGAGGGCAAGAAGGGAAAATGTTCTGGTAAGATCGCCCACCTTTTTAGAAGCGTGTCCACACCTGGTTTTGTCCCTCCTTTTTGTTCACACGTCTTTCTCTTTGTTTCAGACGGACACTCACTGACGTTCAGCGGCAGCGGCTATGTGAAATACCACCTGATGGAGAACGAGAACAAGGAGCTGATGAAGCTTTCTCTGAGGATGAGGACCTTCTCCAGTCATGCTACCATCATGTATGCTAAAGGAACAGACTACAGCATCCTGGAGGTATGTCTGTGCGCTCTCAAATAGATCTGCCCAGCCTTGTTTTCTCAGCAGTGACACTACATTTATTCCCTCCAGCTGCTTTGGAAGTGGAATGATAGCCTTGCTTATCATAATTAAGTCTAGACTCGCTGTGCCTCTGCGTTACGACCCAGCATTTTTATATCAGACAGCCCTAATAAACACTCAACTGGCCCCCCCCTTTCCTCCCGTGGGACTTTGCCAACTTACTATGCTGAAGAGTTCAAAAAGCCATTTTAAAATCCCCTTTCACATGAAGCACTATGGGAATGTGGCGGTGGGTTGAAAAAACTCGCACACAAGAGCTATTTCGGTGCTGGGAGGGAAACAGCGAGCACTTTTCCACACATTCCTTTTCCAGTCTGTCTGCTGTGGCAGTCTGCAGAGTCAAACCTGTCTGGCTGAGAGGCGGTTATTGTTTTCCAGGCTGCCATGCGAGTGAGTTGTTTAATATCTGCAGACCGTCTCAAGGCGTGAGCAGAAGTTTTTGCAGTGTGGCTGTAAAAAAGAGTCATTCCGTGCTTCTTTTGTCAGGAAAGCGTGTTGCTCTCTATTAAGACGTAATTAAGTTTTGGCATGCTGATGAATTGTTACTCACTGTATTCTCAGAGAAGGAGTGATTTATCACAGTGTCACACATTGATTTATCACAGAGAGCTGATGGTTTGATAAAGACATCCCCCCTGAGTTATACTCCATTAAAGTGGTGATGAAGAGAGAAACAGTCGAGCAAAACTGATGGGGAGAAAGTGTGATAAAAGTCAAATGTTGACCATGTTTGGGGTTTTCAGATCGTGAACGGACGTCTGCAGTACAAGTTCGACTGCGGCAGCGGCCCCGGATTGGTGTCGGTCCACAGCGCTCAAGTCAACGACGGCGAGTGGCACACTGTCTCTCTAGAAGTGGACGGCAACTACGCTAAGCTGGTGCTGGACCGGGTGCACGCCGCCTCAGGCACAGCGCCCGGCACCCTGCGGACCCTCAACCTTGACAACAGCATTTATTTTGGCGGTCACGTACGACAGCACGCCCCCGCTCGCCACGGTCGCAGCCTGCCTGTCACAAACGGGCTGCGCGGCTGCATAGAGGCCATCACCCTGAACGGCCAGGAGCTGCCTCTCAACACCAAAGCGCAGCGGGCGTACGCCATGCTGGAGGACATCGTGGACGTGGCTCCCGGCTGCGCGCTGGCACCCGTTGAGAGCTGTTCCAGCAACCCCTGCACCAACGGAGGGAGCTGCACCTCGCTGGCTAATGGAGGTACATTAAGCTCGGCTCAGCTCATTGCTCACACTCTGAATCGACCTGGAGAAACTCGTGTGAAGTTCCAGTTTTTAGATCTGCTCCTTTACTTTAGTAACTCCACATTCATTCAAGTTAGCGAGTTCTAATTGGGCCCCAAATTCTTACCTGATTGTGAATCATAAATCAAACTGATTATAGTCAAGTGAAGCAACTGTTACTTTCAACAGGCATCTTTTATCAAAGTTTGATCATTTGTGTGTATAATTTGCTGCAAGCGCTGTTTGCAACACACGGACTCGACACTTCTGCATCTGTTTCAAATTAAAAACCAGCCAGCAGTTCAGAGTGCATAATCCCTCTCTGTCCCTGGAGGGCTTTTGTTTTGTAAAACATCTGCAGGACGTATTAAGTTTCAGTAACATCGGCGAAAGAGGAAACAGCGTAGCAAGCATACTGAGGCTCTGTGGTACTACTCGAGTAGATTTCAATAATGCAGAATATAAGAAGTGGGCCACTAATGTGAAAGGTCAAGTTATTTGGCTCTTTCTGCCCCTGACCTTTATGAGTGGATGACCTTTAGCTGCTGTCAGAGACAACAACAAGTGATTGTTTCCAGACCAGCTCTGATTTGAGTGTAGTAGTTTAAGCTGCATACTTGCTCTGTGTCATGGTCTCTATTTACTCACCAGTTCCTGTCAATGTTTTACAGGCTACTTTTGCAAGTGTCCTGCATCGTTCATGGGCACCCACTGTGAGATTGGGATCAGCCCCTGCGCTTCCAACCCCTGTCTGTACGGGGGCACCTGTGTACCTCGTGCAGGCGACTTCTACTGCCAGTGTAGAGGACAGTACTCTGGACAAAGGTATGACGCCAGTATCTGTAGTATCAGTTTTATCTGTTTAAGTTGAAGCTAGACTTCTAGATGAACTGGGTGCATTTGTATCATCATATATATGCATGAAATCTCTCTTACAGATCACTTTACAGCCTTACATGTCCTTCATAAACAAAGAAAAAAAACCTGTATTTTTCAGACTATAAGGCGCACTTAAAATCCTCATATTTTCTCAAAAATTGACAGTGCCCCTTATAATCCAGCACGCCTCATGTATGATTACTTGTGGTGCTGACTGACCGATTTTATATATACCAATTATATTTATTTAATAGCTTCCATGTCATGTGACTAAAAGACCTAAAATTCATTTCAAATAATAGCACTAAGGTCGGACAACAAGACACATTATTTGATCATTTTTTATTGTGCCCCTTAAGTTCTTCGTGTGCTCCTTACTTTTTCAACTTAGGAGCACATGTGCCTCTTGTGAAAAAAGTTAGTGTCAAGCCCTGCAAAGACACGTTAATTCACAGTGCACCATATAATCTAGTGCACCTTATCGCCCGAAAAATACTGTATCACAGTTTTAAAAATAAATACAATCTGTGTCAACATGTTTGAAGAGTAAGGCACTGATACATTTTTAACTACACTCCTTCTGAATTTAGGTGTCAGCTGGGACCGTACTGCAGAGACAACCCTTGTAAGAACAGTGGAAAGTGTATCGACAGTCTGGATGGTCCAGTCTGTGAGTGTGAAGTAGGATTCCAGGGAGACAGGTGCGTCAATACTGAGACTCATGAGCAAAACTTCAATTTCATTATGTCTCAGAAAAGGAAAAAAAAAAGGTAGGTTTGCTCACTCACTTTGGCTGACTTGCTCCTTGTGTGTGTCAGGTGCCTCAGTGACGTGGACGAGTGCATGAAGAACCCCTGCTCAAACGGAGGACAGTGTCAGAACACATACGGCTCCTTCAGGTGTAACTGCTCTCTGGGCTTCAGCGGGCAGATGTGTGAGCTCCGCGCCGAGGTCCGCAACGAGTTCGTCTCCACCTCTTGGAACATCGGCCTGGAGGAGGTGATCGGCATTGTGGTCTTCGTGTCAAGCATCTTCATCCTTGTCCTCCTCTTCATTATCATCCGCAAGAGGGCGTGTCGCAGCAAGTCAAAGAGTGATGACGACAAACACGGCGGGGGCTCAAACGTGCCACACTCCTTCCTGCAGAGACCGTTTTATGACTCCAAACTGAACAAGAACATCTACTCTGACATCCCGCCACAGGTTCCCGTCAGGCCCATCTCATACACTCCCAGCATTCCCAGTGATTCAAGGAACAACCTGGACAGGAACTCATTCGAGGGCTCAGCCATTCCAGAGCATCCAGAGTTCAGCACCTTCAACCCCGACTCCATGCACGGACACCGCAAGACTGTGGCTGTGTGCAGCGTAGCACCCAACCTCCCTCCTCCCCCACCTTCCAACTCAGTGTCAGACAGCGACTCCATCCAGAAGCCAAACTGGGACTACGACTACGACAGTAAGTTGGATTCTTGATAACAAAACGGTGGTCTCTTTATCATTTGGTGCTCACATCTTTGAAACAAAGACTCGTTTTTTTTACCATTACCATCTGTTTTCGGTTTAATCCTTTTGTGAAGATATTTTAATTAAATTTTTGGTAGCACCATTTTATGGGCCCTTAATTTCATAATTATTTCCTCGGGAGCATCCTTGAAAAACATTAATTTGCGATTAATAGCAGAGGAAATGGAGGCAATGTTTAATAGTTACTCTTCCATTTAAGTAGTTCTAATCATTTTGGAGTTTGAGCTGTGAGTGTTTCTGCAATAAAGCATTCAATTAAATCACCGTAGCAAAATAGATACCATTAACACATCCGGAAACATTAACTTCTACCCTGTATGCAAATTATTAACCCTTAAAAAAGGGAGGTTCTTGACAGTGGAGCTCAGCACTTGTGGTTTTGAATTGTTTGCAGTTAATACTAAATTCTGGGCTACACAAGTCTTGCTTACACTGTAAACACAATATAAAAGCTGAAAAATTTTACAAAAAGAAAAAATCTGTGGTCATTCTGAGTTTATATTTGTTAGGGCCTGTGTCCACCAGTGGCGTTTTATGTTCTATTTTCTATACAAGACCTGTAGAGATCAGGATTTTAAAAAATGTAAACTTCTGAATCACCACCGCACTCTTCAGTGTCATATCTTTGTCATCAACCAGTCAAAATCAAGCACGGACAAGGCTTCTGATATCACCTCTGTCAGCAACAAAAACAAATGGGGGTGTTATTTCCAGGTTCAGATCTTCTTCTAAGCAATGTTTATATTTACCTCATAAAATTCCACAAATTTAAAGCAAGTATGAAGCACACAGAGAAACTGCCTAACAATCACTACTAAGAAAAAAAAGTGCCAAAAACATCTTTTGTTACCTAGCTGGTGTTACATGCCCTGAAAATGAGGTCATGGAAGCAAAAACCACGATAAGTGTAAACAGGCCCTTATTTTTTCAAAAACAAATAAGGGCCTGTTCACACTTTACTTTAACAGCAAAACTGGGATAAAGAACAAAAGGGCTCACAATCAAAGGTGAATTTGTTGTGTTGAGTTTAACAGCGTTGCTTTGCTCTGTAAGGGATGTTTGTAGGTTTTCACTAAAATCAAACTATGCCAACTCTCCTAGCTAAAGTGGTGGACCTGGACTCATGCCTGACCAAGAAGCCTGTAGAGGACAGCGCATGTCACCCTTACAACACCCGGGGCAGCATGTCTGAGGTCCACTCGCTCAGCTCTTTCCAGTCAGAGTCCTGCGATGATAACGGTACGCTAACACTCAGCAGTTTCCTGTCCCTTTAAGAATAAAGATGATGTATTGACAAGATGTAATCTCGCACTTATGAAGAGTTATTGATTTCCTCTTCTGTCTGATCAGCCTGCAGAGTTTAATGACAAATACCTTTTGCTTGTTGATGATCATGCTAACACTGTTTCTCTGCATGCTCAGAGTGGATGGCCCTAAAATATGGTGTCTCTGGGGTCACTTGTTCTTTTCTCTTTCTTTTTGCTGCGGGGCTTCAGCTCCCATATGGATCAAATCAGTCCACAGATCCAGAACAAGGTTTTAAATAGGGGGTCCGGCCTGTAAGTTTTCAATCACCTCCAGTACAGACGGAAGCAATCACGGCATTTTTTTCTGTGTAATTCTCCCGGGATTGTATACGTTTGTGAAAACATGTCCACGCTCAGCTCCTCACAGGAGTTTGATGACTTACTCAGACAGCAGTTCTGTTGTTTCAAATCACTCAGGACGTTCTTGATCTTTTATTTACATGCATGCCTTTTCTTCTTTTTCCTTTGTTTTCTTTGTTTTTCTTTTCCAATACATAGCTAAAAAAGGATGTTTGAAACAAACATCACGGAACATACCACAAGGGTATAAACTCATACTACATTATGTTCTCCATTTCCTTTTCATATCATGTTTATTTCCCTCATGTCATTATAAGAGAATCATGCAGGGATCGTGCTGCTCATAAGTCATCAAACCTTCATCTCTTACCTTCAAAATAAATTGAATATTACCTAAACAGTTTTTCCTATTTCCTCCAATCATTTTCAAACACTCAGAGGAATTTGTGTGTATTCATGTTGGAAATGCGTAAAAAAATCTCCGGGGAATTTCACTGATTCTTCCATCTGTACTGTCAGTGGCACCCCATAGTCTTTCAGTATGTTGTTGTTGTGTTATCTTGCACAAACAAATCCAGACCCCCGTCTTCCATTATGTCTCCTCTCATGCCATCTTGTGCACAACCATGAACCCCTCCCCTCTCCCAAACAAACACTTGAGATACGTCCAACAACATGGACAGCGACATTTGTGGAATGTGTCGCGCATGTTGTCATCACTCCCGCCACCATGAACTCCATGTTTTATTTTGTGAAATTTTAAAAGCATTTGTACTAATGCTGGATCTCCTCCTCCCTCCTCCCCCTCTCACAAGCCTCCATAGTGACAGTAATCCACCTTGTCAACCGTGCTGTTGACTTGGTGGAAAGAGAAGGTACTCTTTTATTGCTTCCATCTGTCGCTAGTTGTGTCCTTGGTGTTGGGTTGTGGAGTGTCGAGGATGTAGAGCTGCCATTCTCTTACACTGACAAACAGCATCCAGACGTCTGCCTCTAAAGCATCTAATTAAAAAGAACAAACACTTAATTAAAGAGTCATTAAACATGTTTCTGTATTGATCTTTGCCAGCATTTGATTACACACCTCCAGTAGTCTGTTTAAGAAAATGGCAGTGGTGTAGTCCACCACTGAACCTGTCATTATCCTTATTTTCTCTTTCAGTATTTCATTGTCCTCATTTCATTCGTGTTATTAGCTGGTTGTTCTCTCCACTCAGGTTTTAATGTGACTTCTTTTCTCTCTCTTTCTCTCTCGCCTCCTATTAAAGAGTCTTTTTTGGCTCATGATCTCAAGAACCCAAGAGGTGACTTTTTACATCTTTGTTTGCCTGTTGTTTTCTGCTGTTTCTTCCCTTTAAATTTTAACCACTAACCCTTAACGCTCAGTCAAAACAGTGGGTGAAACCCCCTCGATGAGGGAGCGTGACACTGAGTGCTGTCGTACTGCACATGTATGAGTTGACTCTGTCTCTGCTCTTTGTATTTACCACCCTGAGAAAACTTAATCAGTGCATGGTTTTGATTCTGTGACAAAATGAAATAGATCAGTTTTAACCGTAGCACTGTTTGATCAAATACTGTGTTGATAGGCAAACTGAAATCCAACTCTCTGGAGTCTAAATTTGTGTTTGTGTTTTTGTTGCCTAAAAAAATTAACCCAAACTGGAACCTTTGTAAGTGTGAACCTGGAGGTCAATTCTTGAAGTGGTTGAACAAATGACCTTTTCTTCTGTAATCTGATGTATTTCCCAATGAAATTAGTACAAGTGGATCTCTCTTAGTGGACGTTGCATATTGACTACAATGGTTTGATAAGAAGCCATAGAGACATGTCATAGAAGAGTTTAATAACACTCACCCTTCCTTCACTTAAAGGGATATTCCGGCGTAAAATTAATTTAGGGTCAAACACACCATAACACCGAGTTAGACACCCCCTCGAGAGATGAATGTTGCAGACAGGTTGTTTCTCTAGTTAAACTAACTTTATATCCCTTGAAGCTGATCTGTTATATGAAACTCTTGAAAAAATGAATGTCTGATCTGACGATAACAACAACCCACCAGCTTACAGGCAAGTGAGGTTTTACCCATTAGGCAGGTTAAGCAGGCAGCAAATCAGTTCAGTTGAATGAATTTATGTCAAAGCTGTTTGAACAGGCAGAAACCTTGAACAGAACCAGACTCGTTTAAGACAGTCATCTGCTGCTACTGCATTGGGTTTAGCAAGGGGATAGAGGGAAATACAGAAATAGAGAGATGGACAGAGGTGAGACTGATGCATGTAGTTGAAGCAGCTGGAAAGCAGGCAGGTCCACATGTCTGCAGCAGCGATCCAGAGGAGCCCACAACACAATGGAGCACAGTGACTCTCAGTTTGATGTGGCAAAGCAGATGGCTAACAGAAAAAGACATGATAGATTTGATGGATTTGTACTCAATAGCCATTTAATGATAAGGCAGCCACTTTTCCGGCCATGTTTCTACAGTAGCACAGAACTGACAAACATACGTGTTTTCACGTTACTCCACACTGGACTTAAAGACCAATGTGACATTTTAAGAGTATTACAGCAGGAACATCAGGAGGATTTTTCTGTAATGTAGATATTTATAATATTATAAAACTAGACAAAATGAAAAAAATAACAGAGAAAGATAAAACACGTCTCACAGTATCTGTTAGTCTGTCAGTGTGTCTGCAGTGTGTTGCTGTCACAGTGGCGTAAAGTGTTTATTAATGAACAACCCGTTGTGTTAGTGTGATTTTTGTGTTATTGTTGCATGGTGTGGGTTTTGATATTAACACGTCTCATACTGTTTGTGAGTTGGTGGACTTGGATGCCGGACCTTAATGACTGTGTCTGTTGTTGCCTCCTCAAACAGGATATCACTGGGACACATCTGATTGGATGCCAAGTGTTCAACTTCCTGGAATCCAGGAGTTCCCTCAGTATGAGGTTGTGGAGTCGCCCGCCCCTCTGTACAGTGACCCGAGTGCCATCGACACCGACTACTACCCCAGCGGCTTTGACATTGAAAGTGACTTCCCTCCGCCGCCAGAGGACTTCCCTGCAAACGACGACCTGCCGCCACCACCTCTGCCTGAGTACGCCGACCGCTGCGACACGCTGCGGCCTCTGGGCAGAGATCTGGACCCTTCTCCAAGTGGTCCAGGAGGCTCACCCGGGGTTCGCCAGCGTCCGGCTCTGCCCCAACTATACAGTCTTAACCAGTACCTGCCGCAGCACTCCTACGCCAGTGACTCCGGCGACAATGAGGGCCAGGGCGCCACCTCCACCTCAAACAACACCACCCCGGCTTCCACCATGGGCACCAGCGGCTACAGAGGGGGCTACCCGTTGGGTTGTAGTCGGGACTTTGACTCGTCAGCTTTGGACAACATGTCCATGTCTCTGTACACGTCCACAGCCTCCTGCTCAGACATGTCGGCGTGCTGCGAGGAGTCCGAGGTGATGATAAGCGACTACGAGAGCAGCGACGAGGGACCCTTTGAGCGGCTGGTCATCCCGGGGCTGGACTCCCAACAGCACACTGAAGTCTGACACTGGATCCAAACAAAAGTGCCTGAACCCACAACTACACCTTATGTTCGCCCGCCACACACCATCCACATGTCCACACAGAAAACACAACAGACACACAAACACTAAGGATCGACCAATACTCGTCATCGGACGATTTTTTTCCACAGATAGCCGATAAAGTATGTTTATTTTAAAACGCAATCATATGGCTTTTACACAGCCGCCTGTCTCTGCCTGAAGTCACCACTCTTGGCGGTGTAATAATGTCGCGCCTACAGTCCCCACTGATGGGCTACAGCCAATCAATACTCAATAAGCTTCTAGGTGCAGCTCCACAGCAAGGCAGAGATAGAAGAAAGTGCTCTGTGAAGCAGCGGTATGCTGCCGCTGATTGGATGAGAGACTCCTATTCCTTTTACTTACAACTAAAAGCTCAAGTAAACCAAATAAAAGCAAGCAGCAGCTACTGTAATCATTACAGAAATAGCATTGTTTAGCACTGGAGCAGATACAGATCAAGAATACACCAAGTAATACAGTTAACTTTAGCCTGCTTCTCAACAAACGGCAGTCAATGTCAAAAATAAGATTCTTCAACTTACACTTCTCATAAAACCACCACAGTTTTCACAAACACCATGAAGCATGGAGAGATCAAACAAAAGAAACTAACAAGCAAGTAACACCACCGCTAGAGGTGCTCCTTGGTATCTGAAAAGCTTACGGAGCTAGCATGTGCTACTTCCGGTTCGTTCTCATTTCAAAATAAAAGCACATGTTTCAAAATAAGCCCAAAATATACATTTTTACTGCAAATGAATATAATGGTTCTTAATATCGGTCATTGGTTTTCTTGATTACTAATAATCGATAAAAAAACAAACAAAAAAAAACATATTGGTCGGTCCTTAACACACACACAAACTCACACACACACACACACACACACACACACAGTGAACTGAGTCAAACACAGGGGTTGTTGAGACTGGTTCAAGGGCCAATCGGCTGAGGGGATCTCCTGAAGCTATAAGAGAAACTCTGTAGCATCTTAGCGTCTGCTCAGTCCAACTCCTGCCCCTCAAAGTGGGTGGTGCCATTGCTTTAAGTAACCATCATCATTCACAGGAAGTGGATTGTCTGAAGGATAATCGTTTCAATGTAAAACAAAAGCATCAAGAGGAAAAAAAAAGAATATTCATGATGACATCTTTATTTCTATAAATAAAACCAAGCAAAGTTTTTTTTATACAAATCCTCATTTTCAGTGTAAATTTAACTGTACAGTTTTGATTTCAAAGTTTACTAGGTTTTGTAGATATTCTATGCTTTTATTTTCAACAAAAAAGACTTAAATGGTGTGACATTATCAGCCTTACTGTGCTTACATTCACAAAAAAAAGAAACATTTAAAAAAAGAGAAAAAGAAGAAGAAGAAAAGAATGTGGCTTTTCCGAAATCACGCAATGTACTCGTAAAGTTTATCGTCTCCTGCTCATTTCAAAAAGGGTCTTCAATGAACGACTGCATATTCTCGTGTTGTTTTTTTTATTTGTTTGTTTGTTTGTAAATTTTGACTTTGGAACCTCTTTATTTTTCCACCAAGAAAATGGGACCCAATATATTTATAGTGCAGAGTTATCCATGGACACGTGACTTTTTCAGGTGTCTATGTGTGTGTGAGCAATGCTTTGGTCTTGTTAAGGTTTTTATTGAATACTGCCACGAGCTCACGCTTTCCTACTGGCGATAAATTATTCCTAAAAAATACTGCTGCTGTCTGTCTGATTATTTCTCCACTGGGCTGTTACATACTGCTGGTTTCAAGTCATTGTAGTTAGTATAATGGGGATACTAGGCAGGCCCTGAACTCAAAATAATTATCTCATGCACACAACATAAAGAAATATTACTTCTTAGGACTGCAGGAGCTTCTATGATACACCACTTTTGCTGTTGGTTTTGTGAGTATTATAACAAAGTAAATAATAGGAACCCAAACTTTTCATATTTGGCCTTAAGGGGTGCTGGTGGAGACAATGCAAGAGCAGAAGCCATCCAGCAAGCAGAGCTGTAGGACTGACATCACACCCCTACAAAGAAAACCCACATTTAACTTACCCCCTAAGGTTTGTACAGAGGAGCAGATTATTGAAACAGATGTGGTTTTGCAAAGTTCAATCAGTCTTGTTTTGTTTAAGTGTTTTCTGTATTTTGCAAGTCTAGTGAAGAAACCATCAGCCTCCATCAGTCAGCAGAGCTGTCAATCATGAAAGAACACAGACTCCGTTCTTTTTAACTTCAAACAAGTAATAAAAACATTTTTTGGGGGGGTTAAACACTTTATAACAAGGATGACATGAGCCGTTTGTTTGGGGAAAAAAATGATGAGTATCTTAAAGTTGGGGTAGGCAGGAATCCATAAAGAAGCATCTTTTTTTGTAGTGAAAATACAAAAAAGCTTTTAATATCAGTCAGTAGCTATTAGTTATTGATGACATTTGGTATAATAACGATATCGCTGTGTTTTGTTATGTCTGTGTAGGCAACATTTTAAATTTTTTGAGCGGTCCGCTCTTTCTCCACCTCCCCGATCTGATTGGCTGTTAGGTGGATGCTGCTTCTTAGTGCTGATTGGTTGTGAGGCAGACGCTTTTCCTGTGTCACTTAGGAGCCTGAACAAAGTTAGCGTGCTACAATATCGGACAGTAGAAACCAACCAGAAAGTACAGAAAATCATCTGAACCCTCCTTTAGCCACGACTGCCAACACAAGCAAGAAAACGAAGTAAATACCGGAGACTCTGGCGGAATAACGGGTGCTTAAAAAGGAGGTAGACCACCTGGGCAAGAGCTAATAAAGCTGGTCAACGATGATGGTGGACGCTTTGGGATGTTACTGACCCTGTAACCTTTACGCTGGACAGGTAAACCGCTTCAACAAGTAAGCCAAGTGTCTGTAACAGTAGTGTGTCTTGTCAAACGGGACCTGCTGCGTGTTGTAGCACCGCTAAACTGTTTACCTCAGGTCCTGGAGTTTGTCACTTTATCCTAGTTTTAGAAGTCCTGCCAACATTGTGTTTGATGGTAGTTTGTTGGCATCTACAGTAGCACCAATGCTTTTTACTTTCATGTTGACTGGGCCCCATTTGTAATTACCTGAAATATTTATCTGCAATATGTATGAATTTAATTAAAATGATATGAGCGAGCAGGAACGTCTGTTTGTGGGCGGGGCTTGATGGAGCAGAGAGGGAGGGGAGAGGAGGAGCTGAGGGGAAAACTGATTGGGAGGGGTAGTGTTTACATTCAAGATTTCTCCCAAAAACTGGCCCTTCCTCAGATCCTGCCTACCCCACCTTTAATTTTCAAGCTTGTTCCCTGACCAGTCTGTAGTAAAGGAGAAGCTGTCCTTCAGCCTGTCACCAGGGGAAGCTCTAACAGTTGTAGCTTCAATAGGGCCAGCTCACTTCAGTCGTAAAACTAAGGTTCAGTTTTCATTCTGAATATGTTACCAAATATGTTGTCATGCAGCACTGTAGCATCTATGGGGCATAAGGTCATATTTTCCATATTTCAATGTGGAACAGGCTGATCCAGGGTAAGAAGAACACTGTCAGAGCATGTGAAATAATCAGGGGAGCACGAGTCAGACATACATGGATGAATTCAAAACGCTGAACTCTCCATCACATCTTGTTTCAGTCCTCTTCTCAGTCTGACAGCTCGGTGTCACCTCTCTCCTCTGCCTCCCCGAGGCTGTGTGTATCAATAAAGCTCGCTTGTCTCACATGAGGATGAGAAACTAACATGACCCTGATAGCTCCAGGCCTTATCCAGCACCACACTCACTCTGTGTTTCTTACTGTTTGGACTGTGCTGACCCGGTCACAGCTCCATGCAGGACTGACTGTTGTTCCTCCTGGGCTCTGCAGTGAAGGCTGACCCTTGACCTCCAGTCAGGACAGTTGAGTCACTTCACATCTGCTGTGACAGGCCAACTACTGTCAAGACATCCCTGCTTCATCTCTAATGAGTAACATCATGCCGCTGACCTGACAGCCTGTCCGCATGGAAGCAGTTTCAGATGAACCGCTGGAGAGACTGCAGAGTTTGCTGAAGCTGACGTGAACACTCAAAACAACCCCAGTACCCCAAAGAAAAGGGGTTTCTACATCTCCTGTGTCCTTATAATGACATAATGAAGACACAAGTGCTTATTGAGGTAGCATATAAAAAAGAGAACAATTTTTTGGTTGCCAGGTTGAACTAAACTGCGATTAACATTTGTGCTTCACCAACAAGACTTTCTTTGTTTTTTTCATGGGAAAGAGCCTCAGATTCACAAAGCTACCATGAATGAAAACCCAATGTACTATTTTTTATGACCTAATCACTTTAAATAGAGGCTTTATCTTGTTTAATAAACCCAAGCAAGAGAAAAATAATGGAGCAGTTATTCCTTATTTCTCATTTTTAAAGCCTCAAATCATTCATTTTGAAATAAACGTTCAATATTTGAGCAAAGATGATTATTCGGTGGTTGGAAAATTAGACAATCCAGTGTGTGAAGGCCTAAAAGCTTCTGAACTAATCCCTATTTACACCCCTGTTAAAAAACTTAACAGCATAATTTAATTACATGTTTACAGGCAGGTACAAGAAACATATTTGATCTCATTTCTGTATTTATCCACACTGTGCCACAGGCAATGTTATTTTATTAAGCTTTATTTTGGGCAGGATTTTATAAACCCTTTGTTAGAGATCTGTATCCTCTGAACATGTAGCACTCGTTTGCACGTCATTTTTGTTTTGTTTTTGTTTTTGCTGTACAGTGATACAGACCTCTCTGAGTAGGCAAAGTCACTAACTGTCAGGTACCAATAGTGGTACCTGACAGGTACCACTATTGGTAAAAATTACGGAATTACCGAGAGCTTTTTTGCTTTAAATCTGTATACAGGTGGAAGGCAGAACCAAGTTGTCCATAGTATATACAGTCTCTGGTTAGGACTGATGCGAACCACAATTTTACCACCCCAACTTTCTTGAAATGTTACGTCCATTCAAAGATAAAGAACAACTCAGGCTGCAGGGAAAATGAACATTAAGAAAAAAAAAAGGTTGACTGGTCCTTTGAAAGTAATGCTTTATTTGGAAGTGGTACCAACTTGCAAGTCTGTGAAATGAATGGCCTCCTCCTTCTTAATTTCTCACTAATTTTTCCTCACTGAATATCTGACAGTAATAAGAACTAAATCAAATCTTGTCACCCACCGTCCTTGAGCTCCTTTTTCAAGAGCACTTCTGTTTACACTTTTAAACTGTCAAAACTACTATTTAATTTACTCAAATACCTTTTTTTCTGTGTACATTCAGTAAGTGGGACAGAAATTTACCCAAGAATTCTTAAGATGCTTTCCCACAAGCTGTGTCATCATGCTGCTCTACTTGTCAAAGCACCTCAGAGCAGATAACGTTCCTCCGTTCTGACAGTTAAATCCAGGGTCCCTCTGTTTATTTCAATCAGGAGAGTCAAGATGAAGAATAAGAATATATTTATCAATTGTTAGAATGTTGCTGGGCAGAAAGTATTGGACTCTATGGGTAGATTCTGAGATTTTAAGATGACTGATCTGTGAGGCAGCTGGATGATTCCCCCATGGAGTCCTGAAGCTGCTGGTGGTGGTTGCTGATGACTTGCTGGGACCAGATGGATGAAGTATGGAATTGATGATTCTGCAGAGACCGGTGGAGATGGGGAGGAGGAGGGTGCGCACAAACCAACAGCATGAAAGAACTAAAGGCAGAGATTTTTTTCTCTTTTTTTAACCCTAGAACACTATCGTCAGTGATTTTCACCTGACCAAACATGTTTACATGATTTTTATTATGTTGCATTTGTCTGAGTATCATGGGTCCCTGGGTAGCTTCAGCATTGACTTTGACGTCTTTGTAGGCATATTTGTTTCCCTGATCCAAAACCTGCTTTTTCCTACAGGCATGTGTTCGGGTGATTTTCACCTGGCAATAGTGATAGAGGGTAAGTAGGTTTGGGTGGATTTGATAGCTAATAAAATTTTTTTGTTCATGAATGCCTAATTTCAGTTATTTTGTTGCATTTTTATATGGTCCCCTCATGGCACTTTTTGTCCTCCCTTTGTACATTGGACAGTTAAAAAGCAAAGAAAACTACTTTAATTTGTCATGTATTCTCCTATTTTGATATATTTTGATGACAGGTACTTTTTGGGGTATATTATTTTGGTTAAAAATCACCCGAAAATGGTGATGGTGTTACTAATTTTAGGGATAGTGTTCTAGGGTTAAAATGAGAGCAATTGGATAAAGACGACACTGGTGAATAGCTGATTAACCAATGACTGCCCTGAATGATGACAGAGGGAAAAGTGAGTGAGCATGAGAGTGGGAAAGAGACTTAGGTAGCTGTGTAAGCAAACACCGTCTTGAACTTACGCTGGAGCTACATTTCTCCTCTTCTTAGGACTATTGCTTGCACTCATCCCTGAGAATGAGCCATTCTTCCCCAGCCTGGCTGCAGAGTTTAAGTTATTTCCAGAAACAGCTCCACAATAATGTGGAGAAACTAGCAGTGGTGGGTAATGGAACCACTTTGCAACAGCTCATGTGCTGCTTAATCTCATGCTTGGTGGATCCAATTAACTGTGGAAATGGTACCAGGTGTTTTCCATCGACTAAATTAAGATTTTCATACCTATTAATGCATTATTCATATAAGTGCTGCGGGGAAGCAGTTCTGTGGTGAAAGGAGATGATCTGCTTCAGGGAATGCTCTTAGTGGCCTTACTCAAGAGGCTGTAATACCTTTTGACCACCACAAGAGGGCTGCATATGACAACTCATGATAAGACAGGCTGTTTCTGAGAGCCAAAAGCAGAAAAATACGAGGTGGCATGTGCAGTCTCATTAAATGATTTCGCTCAGTGGATCCTTGTGGATGAATGAAGAAGAGCAAATCTGATATTTATGAATCAGTCGGTTAAAAATCTTGGTGATGTTTGTGAATACATGATGTCAATTCAAACTCTGCATCATCTCCTCTCACTCCGCTCCATCTATCTGTGAAAACTCTTTTTGTTCTAATCCACCGGCTAAAAAAAGACAAATATACGTCACGATTTATGCAGACTGACAGACGGACAGAAACTTGTAACAGTCGTGGTAATCCAGATTTTTGACAACAAGATTACTTTTTCATAAATCAAACACTGAGCTGCGATTTTCCATTAGCAGAGATTGTTTGCACAAGACTGTTAATAAATGCACGCAGAGGTTCCTCATACTGAACGCAAATATCACACGCCTCAAATATGAAGTCAAGTCAAACACAACTGCCTGGTTCAGAGGTACATAAGATAGAAGCTGATTAACAAGAAGCTATCATTCTGTTTAAACATGTCTATATAGAAATGAATGTCTGACAGCACTAATCTGACCAACAGGGCCAAAAAAAGAAATCTGCCATGTCATTTTTGAGAATGACGCCAAGAGCTCCCTCCCCTGACCTAGAAATGTCTCTGCTCCTCACAGAGACTGGGAGTTGATATTAACATCGACCCACCTCAGCTGTCCAATGCTCTGGTATTATTCTCAGACAAAGCAGGCCGGGGGAAAACTGTGGGCTGCTGCACGGAAACAAAGACACTTGTTGAGGTCAGCCGGTCACAACAGAAGCAACATGCGTCACAAGTGAGGCGAGGATTCCCGTCTTGTCTGTCTTGGTTGCATTAATACATCCACATGACATGTCTCAGAGCGGTGCAGTCGTTTCAGTGGGTCTGTGTTTGTTTATGTTCACGATGAGTCATTGTGTCAGGTTGTTCAAGCCTAAAAGTAGTGAACAGTTTACTTTTGTAGGGAAACATACAGAGGAAAATTGTGGCTTACAAGGAGGAGGTTGAAAGTTATTAAAGGATCACTCCACCTTTTTTCACAAGAAGACCTGTTTACTCCTTATCAGAAGTTGTCATATTTGTATATTCTCTAGAGCACTTTGACAACAGTATGCTGTTGTCATGCTGCAATGATTTGTCTCCTCCTGAGTGTGTTCAGTGATTATGGAAGAGTAGCAACACTTTGACTACAGTTCATAAACAGTTAAAGGGATATTCTGGCCTAAAATTAATTTAGGGTCAAAAACACCGTAACACCGAGTTAAACACCCCCTCGAGAGATGAATGTTGCCGACCACTTGTTTCTCTAGTTATACCAACTTTAGTAATGACGGCATGATAGCAATACGCAGCGGTCCCAGGAGTCACGCACTCAACCAAAATGCCACTCTATAGCCACAAATAATGCTCAGAACAGCACTTAACTTCATCAACAGTACATATAGGGTCCCAGTCATAGCTCTAGCCACCAAACTTCTTTTAAGCATCTATTTATTTCTTTAGCAAAGAGACTATACACAACTCACCCACTCTCTTCCAGCAGCTGCTTGTTTGTACGGAGATCTCAGGTGAGTCCATTACCGCAGCCGGGGGACGCAGCTCTAGGAAGAACATTTACAATAATTACTTTGTCATTTCACTGAAGTAATAACCATCATATTAATCATTTTGCACTGCAGACACAGGTTTCCTTATAGTATTTAAATGTTTAATAGTTGTATGTACATAAACCTACAAATACTACATAAACTTTACTCTGAAAGTGTAGCGATTTGAAACCATAGACTGTATATAGAATAGTATAGTATATTAGTATAACTATATAGTACATACAGTCTATGTTTGAAACGCATGCACGACACATGGTCACTAAAACAGGACTGGCTCTGCCCGGAGTCCGGACGTCACAGGATCACAGAGCAAAGTCAGGGGCGGCAGTAGCTCAGGAGGTAGAGCAGTCATCCAATAACTGGATGGTTGGTGGTTCAACTCCCCCCCTATCCCTAGTCTGTCCGTTGTGTCCTTGGGCAAGACACTTAACCCACCTTGCTTACAGTATGTGTCCTCCACTGGTGAAGGTCAGAGTGGGCGCAAAGTGGCAGCCACGTTTCCATCAGTCTGCCCCAGGGCAGCTGTGACTATGAAGCCAGTTTACCACCACCAGGGTGTGACTGTGTGAGCGAATGAATGATGTATCCAATGTAAATGTTGAGGGTCGCTGAGAAAGCGCTACATGAAATCTGATCAAACAAGTAAATTAAAATGTCAAGCACAATAAAATAATTAATATCTTCTTAATGACTTCATAACAGGTAATACTACAGAGATATAAAATGTACTTAAAATTATGAGTAAAATGAGGTTCCTGTCTATGACAAACAAGTAAACTTTACTTAATTTATTTAAATAAATATAATTTAAAACTTAGATGTAATTAAGTAAATGTTACCTAATATCTTCACAACTGTTATATTTTATGGAAAGTCAAATTTACTTGATACTGGCAAGTGAGTGTTACTTGATATTGCAGCATCACATTTTATTTCAATCATTTGCCTGCAAATACTTACAATATATATATATATACATATATATATATATATATATATATATATCTTTTTTAAAGTAAATTTTGTGAGTTATTTTTTTCCGTGTACCATCCATCCATTTTTACCATTCTCTTGCATTATTTGAAAAGTGTAATCGAGGATAACTTGGCCCACCTTAAAAAGGAAACAAGAAACTTAATAAGTGCAGGACAGTTTAAAAATAGTGCAAAAACATTCCATAATATTAAAAAAAAACACAATGATCCCCAAAACCAACAAAAATACCAACCTATAAGAGGTTTAATCATACTGTCAGTCAGTGGGAAACAAATTCCTCAGTTAACTCTCCAGGGGGTGAGAGTTGGTGGGTCAAATCAACATCAAAACACAAAAACAAATAGTCTGGCTGCATTCACATTAGATTAAATCACAGGACAGTATTGTTATGTGTTTGTGTATAATCATGTACCGTGAAAAAAAAATGTGTCTGTATGTGCGTGAGAAAGACACACACAAATGCAGAGACCACTGACCCCAATAATCCTCTTTCTACCAGCATTCACATCTCTTTTCCTGGGTGGAGCTCCGCTGTTGTCATGGCGACCAGCCAAGTGGAGGAGGGGAGGATGAGGAGGAGGTGATGGGGGAGGAGAGATGTGGGGGCAACAGCGGATAAAAGCAAACAGTCGTGTTTCTCTGTGAGATGTAGTGATGAACGGTGAAGCAGCAGAGGCACGCAGCGCCTGTGTCGACATCACACTCATTACATTACTGCTGTCTCCTCATTCTGCTGACAGCTCGCTCAAATGAGATTCATGTGTGTTTGTGTGTGTCTCTGTGTGTGTGTGGGATGGGGGTCCTCTGGGCACCCCCCTGTCCTCATCATGGGTGCACCTGCCCTTTTCTCTCCCACACATAGCACTTGTCTCCCACTCTCGTTTTTTTTTCTCCTTCACCTTTCGCCTTTTCATCCCCTCCCCTTCCCACAGAACTCAAACTGGCTCACTTGAACCTGTTTCTCCACTTGCCATGAGGAAACTGTACAGCTTAGTGGATTATCAGACTCTGTCTTTTCAAATGTTTTCTTTGGTCTTTTTTCCTGTGAGTTTTTATTAGCAGCCAAAAAGAAAACAATCCCTAAAAACCTATGAGAATTTACCAACAGCTAGGAGGTTATTTTAAGGAATAGAATAGGAAATACTTACATTTCTAGCTAACTTCAGGTTAACTGGAAAAGTATTTAGTATATTTACTTCTCACTAATAAAATGTCAGCTTTTATTGCATTGCCCAAGG